AAATATATAATGAGAATGCACTCAATAAATAAACTATTTATTTTAATTAAACTAATATAATTTCGAAAATCCTTAGAATATTATTATAATTGAAATTAAATATAAAATTAAGATCAATAAGAAAAACCATTCTCAATTACAAGATTTTATAAATGTTATCAGCTGTTAAATAAACTATGTCTGATCGTATACCCAATATAAATTAATTCTTCCTTACTATATTATCATAACATAAAATAATAATGAATTACCCTTGATCGTTTTTTGATCCATCTGAATGTAATAGGTGTGTGGATTTATTGGGAATAAACGATTCCCAATAAGTTGGTATTGAACCAAATGAGAAGGTTGCTTTAATAAAATTTATAATACAATATTAAATTGCAAATAATTTACATGGAAGACCAGTGTAAAGTCAAAATTAAACAAATATAAATAGATCACACTTCCTAACCACCCATTTTTCAAAACAAAGTTTTATATTTCAATATTCTATTTACTTATGTATATATAATATTATTATATATGAAAAAAAGAAATATATTACCTTCAATTTTGTATTTGAAGTATAATTAAATGTGTGACACCTTTTCTGATCAGCTCTTTTAGAATTTATTAAATAAAATTGAATTAATATAAATATTATATATATATATGTATTCAAGATGTATGTCTTTTTTGTTCGACCATGAAACGAGTAATTTATTTCTTTTTATTCCAATATATTGACATCTTTCTTTACTTAATAAATAAACTAATTTTGAACGCTAATTTTATTTGTCGGTAAAATCCACAATCTCAAAAAAAAAATGAAAAACTAACCATTAATATCTTAAGTATATATTTGAATTTAATTTATGATTAATTACCACAATTATCTCTACCCATGTTCAGATGTCCTCTATGAATGCTGGTTGTAAAATTAAATAAATTGGTTAAATTAGTATTAAAATTTTAAATAAATTAACAAAAATAAATAATGCTGCTTATTTTTAACATTTATAAACCTACTTCGATTGTTACATCATTTTTCATGCCTTTTACGTCGTTTTTTATGCTTTCTGTACGCGATGATTTGCCTGATTTTGTTTGCGTTGTTTAATAATCTTTTTCAGATTTTGCAAAGTTTATTCACTCTTTGACGTTTGTCAAACAATATTTTAAACAAAAAGAATAGAATAATTCTCATACAATTATTTACCATATTTTCCTATTAAAAATAATATTATAACTGATTTATGGACTAACAACAATTTAGAGTCCACGAATCATGTCTCTTGTGTATCGATTGACAATCACGACATATAATTTAATTGATATTAAATAAGGAAGGACAAGAAAAAGAAAAGCATATTGAATGAGCTTTCATTGGAATAGGAGAATAGGCTGAGTGGTATGTCGTTTCGATTAGATTAAAATTTATATAAAAGATTTATTGAGGAAAAGTTAATATAAGACAGTACAAAAAAAAGGGGACAGAAAAGGTTACGTCATCATGGGGGGAACTGATTTTTTTGAAACCTAAAATTCTAAAAATCTTGTCAAAAAAATAGAACAAAAAGGACCATCAATATCAATAAAAAAGTTAAAATTGAAAAGCAATTAGAACCTCGACATATATTCTTTTTCACATAGCAACTCAAATAATTTTAACATCAATAGATTTTTGTATCAGAATACACTTTTTCAATCTAACCATTTAATAATCCATAATCAAATTTTATAAATCCAATATTATTTGCTTATTTAGTTTTTTGGTATTCACATGGCACATAAATTCCAAATTTTATTTATTTTATCTTACTATAGTTTCTATTTTATTTCTAACGTTTTTTTTATATTATGAAATACTAAATGGTAAAATGATTATAAATTAAGAAAAAAAATTACCATAAAGAAATTCTGACCGTTTAATTAAATATATTTATTCGCTATTGTAATAAATTATCCTAACCATAAATTTTAAATCATTTGTTTTTTTAGATAAAATCAAGGTTCAATTAGAAGGGGTCGGTTATGAATTGGTAAATGGTTAAACACAATATTTTAAAAATGATTTTTGGGATAATGTTTTTAAACATAATGATAGCTAGAGCAAATAAAAATTTTTTCCTATGGATAACGCAAGCAATGTGAACTCTTCAATTTTTTTGGGGAAATCTGTCGGAAATCGGTTAAATTACAATATAAAAATATTCTTAAAACAATGGATATTGCCAGAAATGTGAGCCCTTCAAACTTTATAAGGGATCGGTTAAGACAATGCCCTTTACATTAGTAGTAGTGGAGAAGGGGTGGGGGATAAGAAGTATCAACTTCTTAAAATTTTAATCGGGTAATTTTACAAAATATCCTAAACAAATGAAGAAAAATTTATTGATATAAAACAAATGGATTAAAATCCAAACTATATTATTTCCTTTATTATATAATAATATAAATACCATCTTTTAATTATAGTTTATATTAAATATATAGTTTCGAAATCAGAAGTTAAGCCTTGTTAGTAAGATATATTGAAAACTGAAACGCCTACTAAAATGTTTAAAAGATAAATATAAATAAATATATATATATATATATATATATATAATATATATATATATATATTATAGGAAGGATGAAGACACTATAAATGATAGTATCCCTCCTCTTAATAACCCCATTTATTGGGTTTCTACCACACTTACCTATTTTAACAATAATGACAGGGATATTACTATATAATATATATATATATATAATATATATATATATATATATATTGTATGGTTAATACAACTGGGTTTGATAATAAAAAAAATATAATATGCAAACTTAGTTACATGTATCTATCCCTCGAATTCCTTGTTGGGTATAACTATGGTAGTACATTGAAAGGATCAATAGAGCACATTTTGATTAGAATCTGAATCCCCAAAAAGTTAACGTTGATTTGGTATTATTGTCATCGATTAAATTTAATCATGTTTAATTATGGCATTCGATAAAAGAGGAAATGATTTATAGATCTTATACGAGAATCACATGTATTTCAATAATGTTTCAAGATATGCAGTGCTCAAAGCATGAGTAAATTATGATAAAAAATTGATTCGTATTTTATAGTTTTTTTTATGAGGAGAAAGTCCCTCCCCCATCCCTTCCAAATGACCAAATCATGAATAAAACTATTCTTTTTAATATTAAACATTAATATTTTATCGCTTTTTACTTATAATGATTAATATTAAATATTTATTACGAATATTTGCAATAGAACGAATATGCCATAATACCTATATCGTGTGCTCTGACTTGAAATTAATTTTTGCACATTTATTAATTAATTCCGTAGCTATTTATAAGTTAAATGGGATAAAACTAGTAGATTAAGTTGGGCAGTCGAAAAACAACTCAAGGATCGACGCATTTGTAGGTTCAACCTAAGGCTTACACAGTTGCAGTGTGGTTAAACGACCCGATTGGAATTTTATTTAAAAAGTGTAACATTTAACCCCGGGTTATTTTTGTGATTAAAATATATTTTCTCAATGGTTAAAAGGGATTGTTCTCTGTTATAGCTTGAGTAGAGTAGCTTGAGTTAACCATGACTGATTATTGAGAATTAAAATATTACTTTGGTTATTTTTGGTTCTTATCAAGGGATCTCAGTGTAGGCATTTCTAAGAGGATATATGTACTGTAGTTTGTTGCATTTTAACCCCCCCCCCCTCCCATATTATTATTACTTGGATGGTGCATTGAACGATTAGTAATAACTGTAGCATGTAAATGTTGTAAAGAATTTAATTGTGAAATGATTGAGTGAATATCATTCTCACATCAAATCATTTGTATTCTGTTCTGGTTGGTGAAAAAGATATATGGTGATTAAATTTTTGAAAGTTTTAGGATGCTTATAAATCCATGACAAATATAAATTTAGGCATAGACAATACTACAAAACTATATTGTATGATGAATATCATTAACCGTATGAATATAGAATCAATTCGCAACATTTCATAAGTTTCACCTAATCAAACGAGAATGTCTATGCCTAAATTTATAATTGTCATGGATTTATAAGCATCCTAAAACTTTCAACACCCATTTTCTGTATAGTTATTTAGCAATATTCAAATGTTTAAATTCATTAAACTGGCTTCATTATTCACTAAAATAAACTTAATTATTCAATAAAATATTTGTTTATATTCCCAACATTTTAAATATCTTAGGGCACATTATTGACTGATTTGTATTTGTATAATTTATAGAGATGCGTAATTACCTTCCAAAAATTAAAAATACCACAAATTATGCTAACCTAAATTAAATTTAAAGTGGAACATATACTCATTAATCATTAGAATCTTAAAAAAATATATTAGAAAATCTAATATATTTATATAGGAATAATAAATATAAATCTAAATAGAGAAATTTTATTCATGGATTTCCTGGTAAGATAAGTAACTATCATATACCAATTATTTATTAGAAAACTCAAACAATTCAAGTATATGAGGAAATCTGATATATATAGGAATAATAAGTATAAATCTAGAGATATAAATTTTATCCATTATTCAAATTCCTTTGTTTAAAAATTTTTTAAATCCATAAATTAAAATTTTATTTTATAAAATAACATGCACAGATGTCATAACTTTATGGCATATTGCATATTTGAGAAATTTTTAGTCTTTGATAATGTTTTTCTGGGTATAATTTTGCTTTAGTCGTTTTTAATAATCGTCTCTAATGGAGCGACCTTTCATCACGACCAGCAATGTAACTAGCTATTTCTAAAATGTAGCGGTAACTAGTTCATTGTTTTAGGCGTGGCGTGTTTTATAACACTAAAAAGTAAGCCCGGCACGTACCCGTCTCGTCGAGTCGGGTCGGGCCTAATATATTTAAAAGGATTATATCGAGAAAACATTCTTCTCTTACGAGGACGCTGTTAAATAAATATAAATTTTATCTGATAACGTTGTTTAGCAATATCTAAAATTTTATTATTTAGGTAAAGATTTCTATCCTCAAACTCACGATTTAAATTTTAAAATATAATGGATAAACAAAATATAATTAAGGGTATAATAATATAATTACTTTTACTTAATGCGTTTATAATAGAAATACAAGTCTCCCCTTTTGTTGAAAGTAGGATTAGAGAAATCGAAACATTAACGAATATTATTAAAAACTCCAAAAAGGGTGGTGGCAGAAATGTTTTTCAAACTCTTCCCAGGCATATGATTCGAAGGGCTGCAAGTGAAGATATACGGAGAATTCCAAAATCATTAAGAAATGTTACTTTAACTATTATCAGTTTGATTATTTATTTGAATATAGAATGCATCAAAAAATTACATTAATCAGCTTACTTCTAAAAAAAATTTTAATTCAAGATATTCTACAATCATCAAAAAACAAAAATTATATCGCAAAATTAGTAGACGTCCTGGTTTATTGCGATTACATTATGCAAATAGACAAAAAGGACATTTGTGGTTAGAAACACATATTTGGCATGCAAAAAGATTTCACATGCTTAAAAAATGGAATTGGTCAATTCCCTTTAAACCAAATGATAAATGTTATAGAGCCTCATTAAGAGGTGCAAATCAGGGATGTATAGTTCAAGTTGATTATTTATCATGAGACTTATTTATAATTATTTTTTAGGATATCTCTTATTATAATTGTATAGAAATAACTGGATCAGTCCTGAATATATCAGAAAAATTTAAGTGCATTACAAGTTCTTATACAGGTATTCTATTTACTATCTATATTAACACTTAAAGACATAGACTTGTTTATTTAGAAGGGAGGGGGAGGGAAAAATTTATTTTTTTAAAAAATTTATACTAAGAATAAAAAAATCTTACCATGAATGCAAGGAATTACACATGATGAGGCAATTATTAATTATCATGACTATAGTGTTTGGTAATTACTATATTTTAGCCTTTTCTAAAAAATAGGCTAAACCAAGTTTTTACCTAAAAAATATCACTGTGGCCTTGAGGTTTTTCCTAAAAAGATAGCAATTCAAATTTGGAAGAAACTTGTATCAATTAAAATGTCTTAATATTAAAGAATTTTCTCCTGCAGCGCCTGAAGATCTAGCCATTAGCCAACTATAATTATGACATAATATATATATAAGAGCATCAAAAAACAATCCTATTCATCCTCATTCATATCATTATTATCTTTCTTTTGTCTGATATGTCCAAATATGGCTGTGGCCACATGCCAACAATGGGGCAAATAGAAAAATATCTATGTGCCCTATTTAGGGGTAAATAAAAAAATTTATACTTATATATATATAGTAAATAGAATTTATTGAGATAAGAAAAATTATATACATGTATACCCCATTTATGGGAATAAATAGAAAAAAATATATTCTCTTATATACCCCATTTATGGAGGTGGAGGGGGGGGGGTAAAGAGAAAAATTAAAACTATCTACCCTAATTATTGTAGAATAGTAAAGGTTTCAAACAAATTTGGTTTTTTAAAATAATTATTGTTTTTTTCTTAATAAACATTGTTTTTTATAAACAAATAATGTTTTAAAACTATTTTCTTTTATAAAAAAACATTGTTTTTTAGCATAAACTTTTTTTCAAAATAAAATATTGAATATTTGAAAATAAAGCTATATTTTTCAAAATAAGTATTGTTTTAGATTTGCACCAAAAATGGGGCATGGAAGTATAATATCATTTTTCTACCCCCATGAATTCTATTTGCCATTGCCATTGAATGGGTAGATATTTTATATTTACCCCATATTAGGGATATTCAGCTACAGCCTCATATGCCATTTCATATAATATATTATCCTTAAAGTTTTTTTCTCTATATTTAACTAGAATATACTAATTTTTCGTACAAATCTGCACAGAAATTTATTATAGATATGAGTTTTTTAATTAAATTATACATTATCTTCTATTTAATTATCATTAAAATTTGACATGAAATTATGATCCTCATGAAAAATCTCATTAAAATTTAGTAAATTTCTCTAAAACATTTATGTCCATCATGCATTATTATAAATCTTTTGTAACTCCATATTTACTCAATTACAAGTGAAATTTTTTTAACACAAAATTACATATAATAAGCCAGGAAAAAACAAATTTTATCACATCTCTTTTATATATAACCCCTCACAAGTCACAACACAACCCACCTAGGCATGTATTATACATTCTAGTTAAATTGAAACCAAAATTTTATTGTGTTAGCACAATATATTATTTGGGATATAGGGAGACAAAAATAAACCTTTTTTATTTTTTATTGTTAAAATAATTACTTTATAATTAATAACTAAGTCAATTAGATATTCAATTTTATATTTATAACAGTCCATAGTTAATAATGGAGGTGAGGAGGGGAGGGGCGTCATAAAATATTTTAATACATGGTCATCTTATGTCTAGTTGAAGGTTTAGAATTTCCCAAAATGACTAAAAGTTTCAATTTAAAGATAAATTTTTTATTGATGTTAATTATTTAGCAGTAGAAAAAAAAAATATGAAAAAATTGGAGCTCCTAGGCATTTTTAAAATCTAATTACTTTCAACGACTTAAAAATACTATTACAATGTTTAAAGAAATTTTAATTTTTGTTTATTTATATATTTGTCTTTATTATATTTTGGGGGACAAATATTTATTACACTGTGTGACAAATTTCGACTTGATTTTTTGGGAGAAAATAAAATAAACATGTTTTAAGACAGTTTTTTATGCATATTCTAAATTCGCTGTCAGTTTTTTTCTAACACGTCAGGTTTTTTTATTTATTTTAGGTTAAAGTGGCCAAAAAGGTCATTATTATCACTTTTTGAAGGTTTATAACTTCGGTTCTAATGATCCTTACAACTAAAAAAATATCTTAATTTTTGCAGCAAACCTTCCTTATTATTATTATTATTATTGTGAGTAATATTTTTTATTAAGAAGTTATTTTATGTTGATTCATTAATAGCAAAATTAATATTTCTACTGTCTTCGACCCTTGTCCGAGAGCTTTGATAAATTTTAATGGTATGAGCATAGTACCCATATTTATTTGACACGGGGGTGACCATTTCCGTGATTGAATATGATAAACATCAGTATGAAAAAAATATCGAATCAGTTTCAGGGATAGATGATGAATAAAAATGATGGGATTGGTTTTTTATAAATATCGGATCGGTTATCCGGTTTTGAATAACGGGCCGGTAAAAATTTTGTCTGGCAAAAGTATTAATTATGTTAAAATATTAATTAAGGAAAATTAGCGGACTCCTAAAAAGGTGTATGGGCCATTCCATGTCAAATCGATCAAAAAAGGCACTTTTTCGGTCGACCCCTTTTAAAATTGTTAAAAATTTTAGGATATATTTAGATAGTTAAAAGAATGATAAAGCCGTTTATTTTAGCTCGCTAGCACACCCGGTTCTCAAGATATAGGGGCTCAAAGGTACAAAAAAGAGCCACTTTGGAATATGTAAAATTTTTAAAATGCTTATATCTCTAAAACTATTTATAGTAAACAAAATTATAATATATTTTTTAGGTAAAGATATTCTCTAATGGGCTAACAAAGAATAATAAATATTGGCGCCATTATAAGCTTTTAAAAGTATATGGCGCTAATGGGTGAAAAATATTATTCCTAAGGAAAATGAAAATATTGATATATTTATAAGAATTGTACTAAAATTTCCCAGTTCTGCCCCCCTCCCACTATCCTTAAAATGTTTTACATTTTTTAGATCTCTACTCTGTTACTATAGCGAGCGATGACTTATTAGCTCGATAATATATAACAGATGCAGTAAAAACGTATATTTTATTAGGCATATATTCGATTATATTTTACAAAATAAATTGTTTAAAATGATCTCTCTTTCTGCGAAATAATTTTAAACTGTCCGTTCAGATTAATTTTATCGTCTCTCCACCAATAACAATCTGGATTTGGAGAGTACAAAAACATGTATTCTAGGTGTAGATCAATTAAGATTTTATTCTATATCACAGATGGACGTACCAAATATTAAAATGTTGCAACCCATTTAATCTACAGACACATGCTTATTATCGCGGGAATCTAAGAAAGATTCTACCCTGGATGACCCAAAAAAAATTACCATTCAATTTAGATATGTTAATATGCTCTTCATGGCGACAAAAATTAGCAAACATTCCTTATACTTCAAATAACAATGTAGATATATCCCCTTCATATAATTAATCAAGAGGCTATTGATAACATTAATATATCCCTACAATCAAATGGGGAATCTCTCATTAAAAGAAAACGCTTATGTGAAAATATTCGAAGAAAAAAATATCTAGAGTAAAAAAAAGTTTTAACGACTAAAATTATACCATTATCTTCATCAAATGATGATAAATTCGATGAAATTGTAGATACCTTAAAAATTTAAAAAAATTATATGAAAGATATTTTTTATTGGAAATTTGTTACATTATTAAGTGTCTAATGGGCACATGCCCACTCTGCTTCTCAGTTAATTAGTATATTTAATAGAAAATCAAAATTTTTTAGTATAAAAAGTGAAAATATCTGGTTATTGATAAGTTAGCAGCAAAATTTTAACCATAATCCGTAATTTCATAAAGCGCCATCTATTTTTTTAATCAATTTTTGGAGTTGATAGCGTCGCCAAGGTTTTGATATTGTATATATATTTAGCAAAGGTATCTAAATAAAAAATCGAAAACAAACTCACTATTTTGCTTAAAAATTCAGGTAAAGCAATTTAGGTAAACCGGATGTTAAAAGCCTATAATGGCGCCAATATTTATTATTCTTTGTTAGCCCATTAGAGAATTTCTTTACCTACAAAATGATATATTATAATTTTTTTACTATAAATAGTTTTTGAGATATAAGCATTTTAAAAATTTTACAGATTCCAAAGTGGCTTTTTTTGTACCTTTGAGCCCCTATATCTCGAGAACCAGGTTTGCTAGCTAGCTAAAATAAACGGCTTTCTCACTCTTTTACCTATCTAAATAATTCCAGAAATTTTTAACAATTTTAAAAGGGGTCGGCCGAATCGTGATTGATTTGACTATTTCAAGGAAATTGTTAAAATTTACAAGCATGCTGAAGGGAAGATTATTTTTTTAGCGTTATTCTTAGAAAAGCGTTAGGAAAAATATAAAGTAAGTTTAAAAAAAAGTCAAGGTTCAGGACTGAACTGGCCTAACCCGAAATTAAAATTTTTGAGATCGAGGTCCATCCAACCCAATTAACCCCGAGAGAATGCCTCTCCGATTCTAACCAAACCATACAGCCAGACTCGAATAGATTTGTGGAAGGGGTTCAAGTTAGTAGTTTGAAAGGTTTTGGGGAATGGATATTTTATTTAAATATAAAATTGATATATCATGAGACTTGTATGAATATTATACTATCTCGAATCGCTTTATATATATATATATGTATGATTTCATCAATGTGTTATTTTTTCAACTTTATGTATTCCATCATGTTTGGAATACCTACCCTATGAATGTCAGACAATTTTTTTCATAAACATTTAAACTTAATATAATTTATATTCGATTTTCCCATATATTTTTTTTAAAAATATAAATTATAAATGACACAAAGGTTAACAGCAAAATTGTCTACAATTCATAAGATTGGTTTTCCAAATATGATAGAAATACATTTCTGGTTAAAATCTGATTTTTTTTAAAAATTTTATTAAAACGAACTCAAAAAATGATTTGAAGTTGTAAAAATAACCCATTGTCGGAAAAAAAAATATTGACGCTGCTAACATGTATATATATATATATTAAAATAACAAAAGAATTCAATTAATTTTCTAAAATAACTGGTGTTGTTAAACTGTTATCCCGATAATTTTGCCCAAGAAAATGTTATGCAAGTCCGCGAAATTTTACTAATAGATGTCTCCAAACCTTTCTTCTATCTACGAGCTAAATCTCCAGACTTTGCGGAATATTTATGGCTAAAATATTGGGGTCTAATCATTTTTTTTAAAATCGACCCTTTTTAAGCAACACTATAACAAATGAATCGATTATTATTATTTGATTACACAATTTTATTATATTTATTATTGTAGGCTGTTCATTTGCGCTCCATGATGTTACGGCCCCTAAAAAGTTGATGGAAGAAAAGATGGCTTTTTTGTATCACATAAATAGTTATCCCACGAGGGCAATTGGTCCTGTTCACTATACCATAATACCTAAGGTAGTGGAAGCGAATCAGACTGAAGATATTAAAAGTACCGCATCATTTATATTTCGTTATATTCTTTTTAAATTTTTTACATTATTAATCTATTTTCTATATCGCTAAAAGACAGCCAAATTGTTTTAACATAAGTTTTCATTTTACAAAGGTAACTTGTAGAAATCTGCGCTGGCTGGTCCGTTCAGTCCCGACTCGTTACATTTTTTTTGTTCCTATTATTTGACCATTTAATTAAATTATTCACCAGGCCATTTTCTCCAATCCCATTCAGATATTTTGACCAAAAAAATAAATTCTAAAATTACTTGGACACGATATGACGACAGCTGATTCAATTTATTTAAATATTTCAAATTTGTTTTTTCTTTACTAATTTTAATCATGTATTGTAATCTAAGAGTTGTGAATATTAATGATTAAAAAGATATCATAAACATGGTCAGCTGTTAAATCGTATTACATTATGTCCAGTATGGATTGGGCTTAGATAGACCAAGTCGTACATTTTATGACTGCTTAATAATTAGCACCTGGATCCATTTTAAAATATAATCACGAAAATGCCCGACTTGGTCTGATAACGAGATTTGGATGAATGGCTCGGGACTTCAGACCAGGCCATGCAGAGATCTCTAGTAGTTTGTATAATTGAAGATAAATCTAGTTCAGATGACGAAATGATTACCGTATGGATATGGATGCATCCTGGGATCTACGAAGAAGTATTAAACGTTTTAAGTGAACTATTTGACGTACCACAGATTGCCATTGCTCATACCGCAAAGATCGTTAAAAACGGTAAGGATTTATATCTATAAAACTTTTATTATAACACTGCCTGATACCAATATAATTTATTATTGTATACAACTATTTGTTTATTATATTTAAAACGCCAACTTGCGGAAATATTTTTATAGAAAGATCAATAAATTTATCCAAGATTTTTTTAAAATTGTTTTTTTTTTTATAATTTTGAGAAAGTTTTTTATATAAAATATATACAAAAAAAAATTATCATTAACTTGTCGCGATTATAATTATTGGCACCTTTATCGATGGCAAATTTCCATAAAAATATATGCTAACGTAAATTATAAAGACAAATAAGTTGATTTTTTTTTTATTTAAAAAAAAAAAATGTATTTTAAATATAAATAAAATACTAAATACCTACAAAAAATTTTCGAAAAAAAAAACTATTTAAATAAGAATTTTATAGTACCATTAAACAAATTTTTAAGGATAAAAATATTAAATCTTAAAAAGGATTTTGATCTCGAAACATTTTTTTTGGAGATTTACTTGAACGGGATTTTTGATCAACCTTAAAATTCCAAATCTTTTAAATATTTTGTTATTTTTTATATATTAGCTTGAGCGCGTCCTTTAAATTTGAATATCTTATTTAACCGGAAATGTATCCCAGCATGTTTAAAATACCTATCTTATAAAGAATTGTAGACAATTTAATTTAACCTTTGAATCATTTATAATTAAATATAAAAAATTTATTGGAAAAAAACAAATATAAATTATATTTAGGTCAAAAGTTTCTTTTATGATCAAATCACAAATGTTTATTTTTTTTTTAAATTATAAAACTTTTCAATTTTGTCAAAATTTTGATAGAAAATAAAAATCTCCGAACGCTCATTTGATGATTATTGTCAAACCCTGATTATATCACCGGAGCATACGTTATTGATTTTCGGTTTCGCAGGACTTTCGCTCTAACCCCTCATTCATAGTTAGCGATAATTCGCTGCGAATTGTACAAAACGCGCTGTATTTCCGTATTTTCAGCCGCGGATTTTCTCTAACTATGAATGGGAAGGGGGGGGGGGTTACCCTGAAATTCACAGTTAGCACGACGCTGCGAAGAATATATTTCCCGCAAACTGTGAATGCAGGGTAATAATGGTTAAATAACATATAAAGTGGGGAGGTGGGTGTGTTCTTTCAGATAATCGCAGAAAAATATCTTTTAAAGTTCTTAATAAATAAACTAGGCGGAAGAGAAATTCATATCTTCTCCCCTTCAAACTCGGATCTCAAAATTAATGTTTTATAAATAAATTGCGAATTTTAAATTTATAAAAAGTATTTTTTGCCCTTGTGGATACATTTAAATAACTTGTAATAATTATCACTATTTATTTATTTTTTATTTTTTTTAAAATTGACTTTTCATAAATGAAACTTTTATCAAAAATTTTAAACGTTTTTGTACACAGAAAAATTAAAAGGAAAGATAACTTATATAAATTTTACGATTTAGAAAGTGAAGAAAGGATCCTGAAAGCCCTGAGGGTAGCCCTCAATATAGAATCTAACACGGAAACGATGACTAAATTAGACACCAAACCACTCGATTGTAAAGACGACTTGCTAAGCCGTAAGACGAAAGCAAAAGGAAAAATCACTGTTTCCGAAGACTGCATATACACTATTACTAATTGTGAAACTTATACCAATTTTGAACAACAAAGTATTCCCCCTTTTTCCCTCCTCAATCTTAAATTTTTTTTCATACATGATTACATCTAAAGGCAAAAATTCTTTCTTTCTTAAGTATTTGCTATACCAGGATCCTATGCAAATCTTTACTATCTACTTTACCGAGATCAAACCGGTTGCTAAACGATATCACTTTTTTAAAAGTAATCGACCCTCGAAGAAGCTAGGACATGCCTAATTTTTTTAAACGGCTTGATTTGAGCCGATTTTTACGATTAACTTCAGAAAATGCTCATACATGGCATAAAGGTTTGGACATTTAATCAGCTAAATCTCAAGGCTTAGTTAAAAATTGTTCTGGCTAAAGTGTTGAGTTAGCCGTTTTTTTTTAAAAAATCGGCTTAAATCAAGCCGTTTAACAATGCTAAGACACGCTTAATATCACAGCATTCATTATTATATTAATTTTTTTTGCAAAGAGGATTTAGGTTCTGAAAATCAAAACGATAATCTTAAATCGCGTTATGACGGATTCGTTAGCGTAAGATTGTTAAAAAATAGGATGATTCGATTCAAATTGATGGGGAGGATGACTTTAAAGGTGATCATGGAGACGCTCAAACCTGCCCACGATATTATAATATCAAGATTGAAAGGTTATTTTTTTCTGTCAAAAATTATAAATTCGAGCAAATGATTAAGTTTCACTTAAATTACGAAAATATATATCTTTTTATGATTAACATTTATACATAATAGAATATAAAAAGAATGAGGATTCTTCTGGCAATGACTGGTGGGCGGACTTTTATCTATCCAGTGAAGAGTAATTTTTATTTATAAACTAATTGCTCGCGAATAATTATCTTTTATAACTAAAAATAGACTATAAGAAGTTAAATAATTTGATATAAAGATAAGGCAAAACCATTCAAAGGATAGAATGGGTTTGCCAATTTACAATTAGATTTTATTTGTATAATGAGATCCTCTAAATGGCCTTATATTCCGTAATACGGGATTTTTGTAAAATAGACTACCAATTAAATAATAAGATAACAGCTGTCTCCACTCTCAGCCCCTAACCCTAAAGGGCGGGAGATATGTCCTAATACTAGTGTATGGGCAACCATTCAAGGATAGAATGTTTGCGAAGTGCGAATTAAATTTTATTTGTTTTGATAATGAAACCACTAATTATCCTGCTCTTTTCGTTTATAACTAAACTAAAGTACAAGTTAGATAGTAAGAAGATAGGACAGTCGTTCGAAGATGGAATGGTTTTGCCAATTTACAATAATTAGATTTTATTTGTTTCTTGATAATGAGAGATCTAAATTGACGCGAATAAAGAATAATTGCGCTAAAAAGAATAAGTAGTAGAATAAGAATATGTAAGTCTGGTTTCTTTATTTATTAATAAAACATAATGAACAAAATTATTTATCATATAAAGAAAATCGTTTATTTTTTTAACGTAAAAATTATATATTCTTTAATAATACAAAATTCGTTTTCTCGATTATATGTTTTTTTTACACAAAATCTGGATAAATATATCTATCGTAAATCAATTTATGGTCAATCAATTGTGGCTAAAGGCTTCGTATATAAAAATACAATAATATATTATTTAGTGAATGTTTTTGTATGTGTAAAAAGTAATATCGATTAAATTAAATAATATATTATGTAACATGCACCACCTCCAAAAAATATATAAAAAAAAAATATTGAAATAAAAAGTGAAAGAAACTACAATTTATAGGGAATAAAAGCTCGCTTGGCATGCGGGAGGTAATTTAGATTTACTTTTAAGAAGAAAATAATAACAATAATGCAAAAAGAACTATAACAAACTTTGACCTTAAACAAAAAAAAACAAATTGGTTAGTCAAGTGGGAAAACATAGGGTAATAATGAGGGGACGGATTATGTATTATTTTGATTTGAAAATATATGTATAAAGGGGAAATGGCACCATAGTTGTACATGATGTTTTTTATGTAATTACCCTTAACAAAAGGTATAGATTACACTATCGATAGGTACAATTAACACTAAGTGACCAATAAACAATAAATATATTTGGAATAAAATTCATATAATGAAGAAAATGGCTAATGGGGAAATGGCACCATAGTTGTACATGATAGTTTTTTATGTAATTACCCTTAACAAAGCTATAGATTACACTATCTATAGGTACAATTAACACTATCGGTGGCCAATCTTCACTAAATATATTTGGAATAAAATTAATATAATGAAGAAAATTATTTAATCAAAAAAAAATCATGAAAATATATGATAAAATCTGGGGATGATGATAAAAAAAAATATAAGAAAAGCGTATTATCATAGAAAACAATTCTAATTAAAGAAACATGATCTAAATGAACAATTTTGACCTTAGAAAATTTGAATTTCCAATGGCATTACTGATCCTCTCAGTGACAATACCCCTACGCCATAATTGATTGATGCTCACTTTAACAAAAACGGAGTTGCGTAAAGTTAATTCTCAAAATTTTATTCTTTTAAAATTAAGGTCGTAAATCAAAGTCATTCTCATTGAATAAAAAATCTTTTTTTCTTCTTTTTTTTATATCAACCGATTCCTATTCGAAGCGATAACGGATTATTAAAAGTTAAAAAATTAACCCTATCTCCTATCTCTTTAGTATTAAAATCAAAATTGAATCTAATCAAATCAAATTCTTTGATCCAATCTAGACCACATAAAGGTGGTCCCTCCCCTTCCAAAACATAAAAATCTAAATATTTCATCGTATTTAGAAATTTGACCTTACATTTAATAACTTTACCAATGACTGTGATAGGCGACCCTTCATACGAGAATAATTTCTTTGAACAACTTTTCAACTCCACATCTTCATCCTTCGCAAGCTTTTCAAACTCTTTCATGGGCAAGGATGACACCGGAGAACCAGTATCTATTCTATCATCTAAGAAAAATCATAATTATTAATTTGAAGGTCAATCATAATATCATTAATAAAATTAATTATATTTCTTGGCCTTAAATTATAAGGTGTTTGTATCATATCCGTCTTTTTGAAATTGTTTTAATTGCTGTTGTTGTTGCTGCTTTTGTTGTTGTAGGTCCTACCATTATGCTTATTTTCATTCCATGTCGTATAGCATTGTGCACCATATCTGTCATCTTTTCTCCATGTATCTTTTTCAATGAAGGACTTTTTATTATTAATCTCCAATGATTGACATTTGACAACAATCTCCTCAATGATAATCAAGTCTGTCGTGTTTTCTTCTATCAATCTTGTTTTTAATCTCTAATTGTGACAATTAATAATGAATTGAACCGCTATCAATTCTGAATTAAGGCCAGATCCGCACGCTTTCAGCCTATCCAGATATTCTCTGGATGACTCTAATCTATCTGGTTTAGCACTAAAAACTTCCATTATACGCGTAATTTTGTTCTTTTCAACTTTTTTTTGTATTAAATCCTTCATTTGCTCATATGATAAATTATTAATCGAATCCATTATACTCACCGCCAAATCTTTATTTGTTGTCTCGAACAGTTTATATTTCTTAGTGGGTTCATCAGTTATGTTTTCGGCAATAAATTTTAGGTCAAGGGTTTTGAGTAAGACTTTTATGTTATTATTTCCATCCTCCACCATGACGCAAATAAAGAATAATTGCGCTAAAAAGAATAAGTAGTAGAATAAGAATATGTAAGTCTGGTTTCTTTATTTATTAATAAAACATAATGAACAAAATTATTTATCATATAAAGAAAATCGTTTATTTTTTTAACGTAAAAATTATATATTCTTTAAAAATACAAAATTCGTTTTCTCGATTATATGCTTTTTTACACAAAATCTGGATAAATAAATCTATCGTAAATCAATTTATGGTCAATCAATTGTGGCTAAAGGCTTCGTATATAAAAATACAATAATATATTATTTAGTGAATGTTTTTGTATGTGTAAAAAGGAATATCGATTAGATTAAATAATATATTATGCAACATAAATGGCATTATATTTGTAATACGCTCCCCCGCTCCCCTTGCATTCATCCTTTAAATACAAGTAAAAAACACTTGCATATGGTTTGCGTTTATCTTATCAGAGCTATTGAAAAGTATTTGAAGGGGGGTTAGTATTTAATTTTAACTCAAAAAATTAAAAAAAAAAAAATCGTAGTCGTGTTAAAGCTCTACAAAGACAGGCATCAATTTGGAGAGATCTGAAGGAAATCGCTAATCGTAAATTGGCCGAGCATGATGGAATAATCTCCGGCATGGTAGTCCCATTGGTAGTCAGGGACCCTAGACTCTTCCGGGCACCTATCAAAAGAACTATGAGTCATTATAGTAATGCTAATTTTTTAAAATGAATCTTCAGTCAGTGTATGTATATAAACCTAGTGTTGTTATACTACACGATTTTTAAAAAATCGCTAACATATGATTTAAGCCAAAAAATGTTAATGTAAGCCTCGAGATTTCATTAATAGATTTCCGAGCCTTTCTGCCATCTATGAGCAAAATCTCCAGGCTTGCAAGGTCAAAATATTTAGTTTAGCCTTTTTTTTTAAAAAATCATGCTGTGTAACAAAACTATCACTCTTCAAAGTTCGTTTCAATGGAATGCTCTAAATCGAAATTAAATATTTTTTTTATATATGGGATGACAATTGGAAAGTGGTACTAAAATATATTGATAATGTATTAATATGTTTCGCCTTAAAATTTTCTTTTTTTTTATAGACATAAAAGATACAAACAAGACTACGGTATTAACTGTTCATAATTTTTCTTCTTACTTCTTAATAACGTTTCTCTTTAGAGTAGATGGTTAGAACCAGGGACGAGAACCCTCGTTCTTAATCGAAAAAGGGTTCGGGTTCTAAGTCCAGAAAAAATAAGAGAACATCAGTGTTTTTTAAAATTTATTTTATGATATATGGCTATTTACCAAATAAATATAATTTATCATCATAATTATTATTAGAATAATACTACAATTCGATTCTATTTGTTTTAAATAAATTTTATTTAAGCGAGATAGCATGTTATCTCCCACGATCTATATGTTAAAATCGAAATATAAATTTATCATGCCTAACTTTGATAGTGCTTGCATCGCAACTTGCATTTAATTAAACTATTTTACCTTGCGGTTTTCTTCTTTTCTTTGGTTCCTATTCATTCCAATTATATCCAATACCTTTAACTTCCTTCGAAGCTATCTAGTGATCCTCGAGAAGGCTTCTCCCTAACCAGGGGCTGGCCAAAGCTATCCTTAAAGCTAACTAAATAAACTTCAATGTAGTCTTTTTTCCCAAGAAGCTTTCCTAGACCTACTCTTCTTTCCTTATTTTCTTCTCTGTTTAGATTAACCTACTTTTATATAGTTACTATATTATAGCCTTATTAATTTAATTTAATTATATTAAAATAAAAATAAAAAGAAGTATATTAAAACAAGCAACAATAGATCTTCCTAAAAATATATAATATCTATGATAAAATTTTTACATAAAATATATGATTTTTACGAAAAAAGGATTTTAAATATTGGAAAAAAAACAATTCTCTAACCCTGAAACCCTAAATATAAAAAAAGAGTTTGGTTCGAGTTTCTCTAAATTTTTTAGGGTACCGGTTCTCATACCTGGTTATGACACTCTTTTTGGTTTGGTTTCTGAGACGCTGACTTCTATCTAAAAAAAAAATTTATGAATCCTAATTGAGCTCTTTCGCAGCCTTAGTATCTATCATAGTTCTGCAAATGGCAAAACTTTTGGGTCCGCCCTGGCTTCAATTTTTTTAGGTTGCCAGAGGTCTGGTTTAAAATTTTGTTTTAATACAAGGCCTACAAAAAAATATATACATGTTAGTTGAACACCAAAATAAACAACCATCTATAAATCCTGAGGATTTAATTTAAAACACTATAATTTATGGATTATCATTTCTAACGAAATATCCAGAATTCATTAAATGTATATATACATGTCGTATGGGGTTTCGGAATCCATGGGGATTCGGAATCCTCAATTTTAAATCATTTACTAAGGGCGATTTTTGGATTTTTAAAATCTGATTTTACAGGAATGTATTCCAGCATGGGTAGAGTATTTACCCTATAAATTTCAGCCAATTTCAGCGGTAGACATTTTAGTATTTTTTAATTCATTTGAAAAATCCATATAAAAATTAATATAAATTATAAGTAGTTCTACAGTTCGTGGCAAAATTGTTTGAGAGTTACAGTTTGGGTACTCTACCCATTCTAGAATAAATTTCAGGTTAAATCGAACTTTAAATTTTGTTAAATCGCTCTCGGTAAAGGATTTAAAATCAAGAGATTCCGAATCCCCATACGACATATATATACTTCAGAAATAATAAGATATTTTTTTTAAAGGCAATACCAAATCAAACAAGAACAGTAAAGCCAAATCGAATTCCCAAAACTGTCAAAAGAAAAGCGAACAGATTAACGACATTCAAGTATCATCCAATGGCACCACTGACCATGGGAATGGCCATAATCCTGAAATCAATATAAAACTTAAAAAATTGAAAAATAATCCTTCCATAGATTTCTTGAAAGATTTGCGCAATCATGTTAGCGCTGCTACCTGTCATTCCCCTTTTTGGAATAAAGATGTTAGAGACAAAGTAATGCTCAACAAAGCTCCGGACCATGTCCTAAATAAGATGAGAGCCAGAAGAAAATTATCCGAATTAAGTATTCTTCGAATTAATTCTTTATTTTTCCTGCATTCCTTGTTCTCGACATCTTTTTCTTTTAAATTTTCTTGGAATAGACGTCACTAACATACAATACTATGATGATTTAATGAAACATATTGACGATTAAATTAAAACCCATCCATATAAAATTATAATCTTTGCCAAAATAATTAAAATATAGACAAATTATTATTGAAATTTCTTTTATTATTCCTTTTGTTATTTTAATTATTTTTGCAAAAGATTATAATTTTATATGGATGGGTTTTAATTTAATCGTCAATATGTTTCATTAAATCATCACAACACTGTAATGTAATGGTGTTACCGTTAATCTTCTTAAATAGAGTAGTATCGTTACTTTTTTTAAAAAAGTATACACTTCAAGATATTAATCATTTAAAAAAAATTCATTTTATATCAATTAAGGCACAATTCACAAAACAGTATAAATTTTTATAATATTATCCTATTTCACAATTTATAATAGCTCTTAATATTATCCTAAAATTTTCTAATTAATAAAAAATTCAAAATCAATCAGATAAGATACCGAAAGATATTAAAGACACCGAAACATATGTACCTATGTTATTAGTCCATAGGCCATCGATTTACTGCGGTTATGAGGATTCAAAAGATGATCGTAATCCTACAAAATTATCAAGTATAAATGTTTTATTTAATTAAAGGATTTTTTTTAAAAAAAGAATTTAGTCGAAGAAGATAGATAAACAATAAATATCATATAACATTTTACCTTATGAAATATCATTTTAAGCTTTACTTCTATGGCCTGTCTCAAACTAAGGCAAATAACCAGGGTCTTGTGAAATGATATTACTCAATAGATGTGAATTTAATGTATTTTTTTTAGGTTAACAACATATGTTTTATATGTTTGTTTTGATAGGGTAAATTTTGCTTAATGAGAGCCTGTACTTATCATTTAAAAATCTCTTTTAAATACGTTTTTAAAATTTAATTTCGCAAGCTTGAAGTGATAACTGCAAATTTAGCATGACGTTTTACAGTCTTAAATTGATTTAATTTAAGAGATTTTGATATGATACTCTTTAATAAATAAATAAAAAACAATATACTCGTAATTAAATGTTGGATGGATATATAAATGTGACCAATATATCGTCGCCTGATAATTAGGTTATTCTACATCCAATTTTTAACCTAAATCAATTTTTTTATAATCATACTGTTACAATTCCTTATATGAATTGTAATCAAATTGTCGAAGGCTCGTGGGAGAGACTTGAATTTGATGGAACCTCGTTTTTAATAAAAAAGAATATATATAAAAATTAAATAATTCGGTAAAGTCTTACAAAACCAAATCTCGAAATTTATACCACAAAAATAAATTTCTTGAATTATAAAACCGTACACTGACTTTTATTTTAAAATTTTTTCATTTATAATACATTTTTTTAATATGCAAAACAAATTACAATTATATTAAAAATTCATAAAAATAATAAAAATTACAAGTATTCTTAAAAATAATTAAAATTAAGTCTATTCAAGTTCATAAAAAAAATAAATTCCTAGACTGCATATTCAAATTAATATTTAACAATCGTCGATCATATATTCACAAACTAACAAATTATTATAAAAATATAATTTATATTCAAATTAATATTTAAAAATCGTTGATCACATATTCACAAGGTTCCATGTCAATTCAGCGAAACTTTTATCGCGAATGAATTTTATAGCAAAACTTTTATCGCGAATCCACATTAGCGAATATTTTTCCGCGAAAACAATATCGCGAATTTTTTATAACGAAACTCTTATCGCGAAACCTTTAAAGCGAATACATTAGAGCGAAATTTTTATCGTGAATCAATAATCGCGAAATAGCGAAGTCAATATCGCGTAACATTAATCGCGAAGATAATATAGCGAAAACTATTTCGCGAAATATAACGCGGCCTATTACTATTTTTTCATTTTTATTAATATAATTTATTTTATTTATATTTAATGTTAATATTTTATTTATCAACAAATAAACATATTATATAATATATATTTTTTATTTATATTATTATATTATGAAATGAAAAATGGATTTCTTTTATTTGATATTTTTTTAATAAAAAAAATGATATGCTACTATTGTAATATTATTTTTGTTACAATTTATTAGTGATTTTCACACGCCCAAAATTTTAAGCAAAAAATATTTTTTGAAGTTCAAAAAGATTTTTAAACATATTTTGATAAAAATTTTAAATCTTTTTTGAGGAATTCTTTTGTGAATTTTATTACAAATAAAAATCTTTTAGGTGAAATCTTTTATAGTTTTTTTTATCATTTTTGTAAAATTATCTATTTTTTAAGTATATTAAAAGAGGTGGGTTTTCTAAATAATATTTTTTAAAAATATTTTTATTTAACTTATTTATGTGTATGATCTTTTTAAGGATAATAATTTAATCTGACAATTTTTATATTCGTTAAAGATGTTCCTTGGAAAAATGACAATTATCATAATCGGTATTTTTAAACATATTAGATTTTTTTACGGTAAAATATGTATTTTAAACATGTTAAATTTAAATTTAATTAAGATGCACCATATAAAAGTGACAATTATCATAATCGTTGTTTTTAAATTTTTTATGTTAAATTTAAATTTAATTAAGATGCACCATATAAAAGTGACAATTATCATAATCGTTGTTTTTAAATTTTTTTGACGTAAATCGGTTAAAATAAGTATTGTTAACATGTATTAAAAAAACTTCAGTGAAGATGTACCCTAGATAAGTGACAATTGTCATAATCCTTATTTTTAAAGTTTTTTGAATTTTTTTGATGCAAATGGGTAGAAATATAAATTGTAAACTTGTTAAATTAAAATTTCATGAAGATGTACCACAGAAAAGTGCCAATTGTAATAATCGTTATTTTTAAACTTTTTTGACGTATATGGGCCAAAATAAGTATTGATAACATGTTTAAATAAAACTTCAGTGAAGATGTACCCAAGATATGTGACAATTTTCATAAACATTTTTAAAGTTTTTTGAATTTTTTTGACTCAAATGGGCAAATAAATAAATTGCTAACATGTTTAAATAAAACCTCAGTGAAGATGTACCCTAGATAAGTGACAAATAGTCGTTATTTTTAAAGTTTTTTGAATTTTTTTGAAGCAAATAGGCTAAAATATAAATTGCCACATGTTAAAATAATATTTCAGTGAAGATGTACCCAGATAAGTGACAATAGTCATAATCGTTATTTTTAAAGTTTTTGAATTGTTTGACGCAATTGGACAAAAATATAAATTGTTAACATGTTAAAATAAAATTTCAGTCCAAACAAAAAAACAAATCGATATTTTCATTCTCATAATCGTTGTTCCTTTTATCCTGCTTAAAATTTGATAAAAATATGCAAAGTGATTATTAAAGATTGCTGTAACCTATGTTAAATTCTAAACTTTTAAGATATGGATTCACAATCTTATTATAAAAATGTATAACCTTGCATTCACAGTTAGCAAATATTTTTGTATGCTCGTGGCAAAATAGTGCTGAGTCTGAATTAAGGGTAGGATTTTTATAGAAAGAACTTAAAAACCATATGAATATTACTTAGTAATATGATACAATTAACATCCTATAAATTTAATGTTAAGATTTTATTATGGTTAAAATGGATTACAATCTATATTTTAACCCATTTACATCAAAGAATTAAAAATAACGATTATAAAATTGTCACTTTTCAATTGTATATCTTCATGAAATTTTAATTTGGCATGTTTACAATCTATATTTTAACCCTTTTGCAACAAAAATATTCAAAAAAACCTTATTAACAACGATTATGACAATTGTAACTTATCTATGGTACATCTTCACTGAAATTTTATTTTAACATGTAAGCAATTTATATTTTTGCCCATTGCGTCTAAAAAATTCAAATAATTTTAAAAATAACGATTATGACAATTGTCACCTTTCTATGGTGCATCCTCATGAAATTTTAATTTAACATGTTTACAATCTATACTTTTACCCATTTACAACAAAAGAATTCAAAATAAACAACGATTATGACAATTGTAACTTATCTATGGTACATCTTCACTGAAATTTTATTTAAACATGTTAGCACTACTTATTTTAGCCCATTTTGGTTCATAAAATTCAAAAAATTTTAAAAATAACGATTATGACAATTGTCACTTTTCAATGGTAGATCTTCATGAAATTTTAATTTAGCATGTTTACAATCTAAATGATATTTTTACCCTTTTGAGTCATAAAATTTCAAAAATCTTAAAAATAACATAAATAAGTTAAATATATTAAAAAAAATTATTTAGCCACCTCTTTTAATATACTTAAGAAATAGATAATTTTACAAAAATGATAAAAAAAACTATAAAAGATTTCACCTAAAAATTGTATATTTATAATAAATTTCACAAAAGAATTCCTTAAAAAAGATATATTTACAAAGATTTAAAATTTTTATCATAATATGTTCAAAAATTTTTTTGAACTTCAAGAAATATTTTATACTTAAAATCTTGGGCGTGAAAATCACTAATAAATTGTAACAAAAATAATATTACAATAGTATAGGATATGATTTTTTATTAAAAAACATCAAATAATAAATAATATGTTGTTTTCTTTTAAATAAATGCATTCGCAATATATTTATTATTTCGCGGTAATGCGCTCGCGATAATGACTTCGCGCAAACATATTCGCGATAAAAAAGTCGTTGTAAAGTGTTCGCGTAAAATGTTTCGCTAAAATGTATTCGCTCTAATAAATTCGCGGTTAAGGTTTCGCGGAAATAAATTCGCGACAATGGCTTCGAAATTGTCTTCGCTATAAATGTTTCGCGGATATAAATTCGCAGAATTGGTTTCGCGATTTAACCTTCGCTATATAAACTTTTCACGATAAACGACATTCGCGATAAAAGTTTCGCGATAAAGTGTTTTGCGATAAAAGTTTCGCTGAATTGACCTGATACGTATTCACAAAGCGAATATAACACATACCATTCTATCTACATTGAAAAATCCGAAATATTTATAAAATAACTCAAATTAAATCCGATATAAGTTTAACTATCCTATTGAAAAGTAATTTTTTTTTTTAAATTGCTCTCCTATAAATTTACAAAAAGTGGAGATAGAATATTATAATTTTCTGTCAGGCAACGATATATTTTTTTCTTTTACGATGAGGCATGCCGCATGCAAGTAGGTTACAATGTATACTTCGATTACACTTTTACTGGGATTATATATTTATTTATTTTATTTTTTATCATAAATTTGACAAAGAAAGTCAAAAAATTCTTAGAACCTATTCCTCGGGCTGGGACCTTGTCGTTCCTTCTAATTGGGCCACCGCTTTCTGGGTTACTCTAATCTACGCAGGCGCACTTCCAATCGGTCTTAATGAGGATAATGCTATAAGTGAGTGCAATTTCTTATATAATAAATATTACCGAAGATGCGCGTAAATCAGATGACGCGTATTTTTAAGTGTAATTTTATTGCGCAAAATAAAATCTAAAATTAATTTCAAATAAATCATGACCAAATTTGTCCGAAATTTATAAGATAGATGGGTGTCGACAAAATCAGTTCTTAAAATTTTTTTTAAAAAAAAATCTGATTTTAACCTGAAATATAATTCCAGCATGTGTAAAAATACTTACCCTATATTATTATAAAACAATTTTACGAGTTGTTGCACTTAGCTAATTACACATATCGCTAGTAACATACATTATGTGTCAGAGACTTTTAAATATTAAATTTGTAGGCTCTGTCGGGATTTAGAAATTATTTTACGACGCTTTTCTCTTTCCTTCCTTCCTTCCTTCCTTCCTCCTGTGTCTGCGGGTATCTGATTAAAAAAAATTTTTGCTTAAAGGAACTCGTGTTTATCAATTGGATCAAAATTTTTTTTAATTTTACTATATAAAATAAATTCTTATGATATACGAACCGTAAAATATATTATTAGAATTTCCAAAAAAATGTATAAATTTTTTTTATTAAGAAAAGAAGGAAACAATAATAATTCAATCATTAAAAAAAGAGAAAATTTTCAATCATTAGTGAAAAGTTTTAATCAAATAATTTGTAAAAAGGCAGATCTGGTACATTTCACGAAATGATTACTTTTTATACTGAGTTTGGAATGCTCTCTAAATATTTTTTTAAATAAGATCAAACAGAATTTTTGATCAAATTTTACCTAAAGTTTTTTTTCTTCTTCTTCTAACTTCTACTTTATAACTTTATTTCAGTTATCGTCGATCAGTATTGTTTTTCGCAGTTATCATTAGATAGCTGTTAAGATAAGAAGTACTAGTGCTCACAAATTGAACTTTTCAACGCAGCGTTTCAAAAAGCAAATAATGCATTTCAAATGCATTCGTTTAAATTGGAAACATTCCCGTTTTTGCATGTTAAATTATTTATTTTTAAAACTAAATATCTTGTGATTTTTTTTTTTGAAACCTTTTTAAATTTTGAAGTGATAGCATGGATACAAACATCTTCTAAAAAGTAAAATAATTATATTAACTGATACAGTAATATTTTTTAGTTTATGGAATTATGATATTACAAAAAAATTTGCTAATAAATATAGGGCGAGCCTTGTTTAGATTTTAGACGATTCATATTGAAAAAAAATAAAAGCTAACGTTTCAATTTAAATATAGCTACGTTTACGTATACGTTTATTTATTTGCGTTTTGAAACGCTGCATTGAAACGTTCAATGTGTGTGCACTACAATCAATGAAAGTTAGAATTTATAAAACCCAAATTTTAAATTTACAAATAAAAAAACAAAAAAAAAGCTTTCGAAGGTCGCAACCGTTTTAAATTTCCCGACCATTACCCTGACACCGAATGCGGAAAACGTTTCTTGATAGATTTAGAAACCTCCAATTCCATAAAAAATGGCAAAAGACCGAAGGCTAAAAGAGTCAATTACCACAAAACTAGCAACGGATGTCCCTACATCGAAAATCACCCTTTTCGACCTGATTGGGAAAATTTGGTGATCGATAGTAACATCGCTTTCGTAAAATGTCATAACAACGGTAAAATTATTCCGGAAAACGATGAAATAAAAATGGAGATTGACAAAGTGTCTTCCAAATCTGACACTGGATTTTGGGTTTTGAGGGATCGAGTCTTATTACGCAATTTGGCATTTAGGTTAACCATGTTTAATCATACTACATCTCAAAACCTTCCTACTACTGTTAAAAATTCTAATGTTAAAGGTCCCTTGATAACGCTGTCATTAAAAACGTCAGATTTTATTGCCCCTAAAAACAATATAATTCAAGATGTTTCGCATTTCGATTTTGAATCAATCCAAAATTCTTCGTTACAATACCTCGGTTGCTTGAAGTATATTAAGGAATTATTTATTGATGCTGCGAACTATCCTACCTTAGAGTCAGCCATTATACCCGTAGATGTTGACATAATTTATAGGGGAAACGTACAAAGTGGGATGCCTATCTACGCTAAAACCTGCTTTCCAGAATTATATCCCTTGAGAAATGGCCTAGAAACTATTAATGAAAATGAATCAATTGTTGGAAATTCGATACCTAAAAAAATGTATAATAATGTATCGGAGAACCTGTTGAATAATCCTGAATCGAATCTTCAAAGCAAGAAAATGAAACAAAAATTTCAATCACAATCAAATAAGAAAAAAATTAAGATACTTCCCTTGGTTCCTAATATCTTTAAAAAAACTAAAGTGTCTATGAAAGATTACTTTCCAGATAATAATGGTTTCTATTGTATTGGGTTTATAAGTGGCGGTTCTTATTCTTACATTAGGGGTAGGGAAAGCGGTTTTGGGTACATATCACTCTCGGCTTTGAAAACTTTTTTAGAAACTCAGTTTATACATAAAATCGATAAATTACTAATTAATGCTTCTACACCCCATCAAGATTTGGGGATTGGTCAAATAGTATTACCCAAAAATAAAACAGATTATATTAAACTGTGCAAATATTACGTTAAATCTCTTAATTCGATAGATGGATACACTGCGGTTGATGTAAATATAAAATTTCAGACAGATTTCTAGAATATTCTGTAAGATGAATGACTGATTTATTATAAATTCATATACTATATATATATATATATATAATATATATAATTAGCAAATTTCAATAAAAAATAGTACTGATATTTTTAATTTATTTATAATCGAGTTATATTATAAAATTATTTAAAAAAATTAATATATTTGAAAGATAAGGTTTTTATATCTATTTATAAAAAAAAATTTGTGGGAATTTTCTTTTTAGATAGAAATATTTTTCAATTATTAAGATAAAAACAATTTTATTTTACGTGACACGCAATATTAACGTCTAGCCTTATGTGTTATATTTACATAAGAGCAACGTTTGGTTCTCTTATGCCCATCAAACTGGAAAAAGAAAAATTTACAAGGTATAATTATGAGGGCCATCCATGTTTTTTGGGCAGGCAGCAGACCTGTACGCATAACAAAACACACTTGCTATTTAAATGTTTACGGAAAGTAAAACGATAGGAAAAAGCGCGTATTAGATTAAATAAAGGTTTATGTGTTTCCGTCACTCTCGCTACTAGAAACTCGGATATATGTATAAGGGCGCATATGGATTTATTATATTATTGTTTATATTTTATAAAATATTTCATTATTAATAATTAATGCTTGACGTGGTTGTTAAAAATTAGATAATATATTTACATCGCTTATTTAACGTAAATATATAAATGGCAGATAGACTATATTGATTCCGTATATTATAATACGTACAGGAAAAGGCTAAAAGTCGTATTTCGTTTACGTTGTTTTATATTATTTAAAATCTAGGTAACGTTTAAAGGTGTATATTTGTCAAACCAAGTATCGTAAATAGAGATCACCTTAAAACTTGGACAATATATCTAAAGTAAATTAATTATTACAACAATTCAATAATTTATAACGTGAAATAAGGAACAAAAGATAGGATGCTTAAATCAGTCACATTTATTTACAAATTTCTTTGTTCCAGCATTTATTTATTTTTCTACTTTACAGAAGCCGTTTATATCTTTTATAAAATGTTGTTTTTAAATTGTATATTCCATAACATTTTTATATATGCTTCAGTCGATGTGATTTTATTTATTTTTCTGATTTTAAAAATAATTGGAAATAAAAAAAGTAGTATATTTTCCAGACGGAATTTATATTTTTAACTTGTTTATTTAACTTTTGCTGTTATTTTTTTTATTTATTAAGATATTGTTTATTTCTTGAGAATGAATGAGTTCTGTAATTTCCTAGAGAAACAATGTAAATGAGGGAAGGAATGATTTTTTTACGATAAAGCAACAATATAAATTGAGGATTTCTGTATATTAAGAATACAGGAAGAATTAGTGTTTTAAAAATTCAGTAAAATAAATAATATTAGATAAATGATTTAAACTTAAATATTTATTTTTATAAAAGTAGTAAGGTTCTTTATAAGGGAAAATAGTTATTTAATATATTTAAATGTGTTTATCTACCTAATTATAAAATTCAATATATTATCTATTCAGAGGCGTTACTAACCTTTACAATCTCAGGGGAGCTCAAATTTTTTTTAAAATTACTCATTAACCCATTTTTAGCTAATATCATTTTCAAAATAACCATTTTTGTGGTTGAGGAGGTGGTATAAAAAAAGGGGCTCGAGCCTCCACCCCCTTTAACCTACTAATACAATAATGAAAAAATTATTTAAGAACTCAGTTTTGCAATTTTAGCAAGGTAATACAATTAACCTAAAATTTCCTAACAAAACTACGCGAAACTATATTTGGATATAAAATATCAAGAATATATTAAATAGGACTGACTTTCACTTCAGAAATTTATAAAAGTTCAAGCTATAACTTTTCTTAGATGTTAAATAGATATTGTGTACCCAACAATTGATTGTGACTATCACTTATAAATCAAAATTGATATTGATTTTTAAAACATTTGATTCACATTTTTTTTACAAAATTGAGGCTAGAACCGTTTGCAGACATTTTAGCATTCAGGGCTTGGATACAAAATCATTGAACGGTTCAGGTTCGATGAAAAAATACCGGTTCGGTTTAGATCCCCATATTATAAAAATACAGAGAGACTTATATCTTATTAAATTTAATCTACACTTATTCTTGACCAATTATATTTTAGGGGTATTTCGATTTATGAGGATGGGGATCTTTGGGTACCAATGATATTAAAATTGTTAAATTTTAAAAAATATATTATTATTATTGAGGCATTTGATCAACGTACAAGCTACAAAATGGCGCTACAGCTGATTTCAATGTGTGGACGTTTTTTTAAGCATGATCGCCAATCTATAGTTATATATATCTGTTATAAATAGTTTTATTATTTTTTTGTATGAGTCATGAAATATTTTTTTTGTTTGAAATTTTATTTTTAATATTTTTTTTTAGTTTCGCGCAGTCATCTTGAACGTCATTATATAAATATTTTTTTGTTTGAAATTTTATTTTAAATATTTTTTTTTAGTTTCGCGCAGTCATCTTGAACGTCATTTTATAAATATTTTTAATATTTATTATGTAAAAGAAAAAAAAATAAATAATAATTTAATATTTATAAAAAAAAATAATCTTATATAAACTCTAAAAAAAAAGTGGAAATTTATTATTATTATCAATTATATTTTTTTTATATTTATTGTTTTAAAGAAAAATAAAACCAATATATTCAAAAAAAAAAGGGGTAAAAAAATAAATATACTATTAAGTTAAATATTTCTGTACGATGAAATTTTGAAATTGGTGCCGTGTTTATACAAAGCAACCTGGTTAGTGCGGTTGTCGTAATATCATATAGTGGTATTTGAGTCTTCGAGTGGAAAATATCATATAGTGGTATTTGAGTCTTGAAGTGAAGTGTACATCGTCTTCATCTACATCTACGGTAAAATATCATATAGTGGTATTTGAGTCTTCGAGTGGAAAATATCATATAGTGGTATTTGAGTCTTGAAGTGAAGTGTACATCGTCTTCATCTACATCTACGGTAAAATATCATATAGTGGTATTTGAGTCTTCGAGTGGAAAATATCATATAGTGGTATTTGAGTCTTGAAGTGAAGTGTACATCGTCTTCATCTACATCTACGGTAAAATATCATATAGAGTGGTATTTGAGTCTTCGAGTGGAAAATATCATATAGTGGTATTTGAGTCTTGAAGTGAATTGTACATCGTCTTCATCTACATCTACGGTAAAATATCATATAGTGGTATTTGAGTCTTCGAGTGAAAAATATCATATAGTGGTATTTGAGTCTTGAAGTGAAGTATACATCGTCTTCATCATCGACATCAGCTGTCCATTTATTTTTTTTTCTTTTCTCTGCTCTCTAAAAATAAAAAAAAAGTCTTATCGTACGTAAGTGCTGTCCGAATTTTACGAGTTGTAAATCTGTTACACAAAATTTGCCCAAATTTTTGTCGTATCTTTAGACTTATTAACTGTAGATGTACATGTGTATTATTGGGTTGTTTACACTATTAATAATATCATATCTATTAACATTACAAATAACAAAAATTTTTATTTTGAAATTAATTATAAATTTTTTATAAGGTCGAAATGAAAAGTTTAAAATTTGTAAAATACTGGGAAATACAGTATAATATTTTTGGGGCATTGGTTATTATATTAGTAATATGGATGTGTAGCTTAATATGGGGAAGAAAGTTGAGAAGAAGTCGAAGTGTGAAAATAAAGGGGCAGACATTGACTATAGAAGGACATAATGGGGAAGAGGATGTTATGGGAAAGGTAACATGGTTCCCAGTGCAGGAGTTAATTAATGGGTGGACGGATAGCGAATTAGATAAATTAACCTATAGGCCTGAAAGGAGAGATTCATATACTAATCAGAGATTGGGGACATATAGGGGACCTAGAGAAAGTTCACAGGGAAGGAGAGGAGAAATGAGACCCAACTTTGATTCAAGAGTAAGGGGGAGAATGAAGTGTTATAATTGCGGAAGACAGGGACATATGGTCAGAGATTGCCAAGAAACGAAATGTTTTGAATGTGGAAAATATGGACATATAGCCACGTTTTGTTCAGGAAGACGTGATAAGCTACGATGTGCAGGTTGTGGTCGATTTGGTCATAATAGGGAGGAATGCAATGTGGGTAATTTCAAAACTAGAGGCGGTTTTCCTCGCAGAGGGACATGGGGCAAAGTGCTCCAAATGTTAGAATTATAGAAAGTGAAAAAAATAAAGAGGTAGGAATACCATTTTTGGCTGTGAATAAAGAGCAGAATAGAATCTGTTTCCGTTGCCGGAAGGAAGGACATGGGGCGAGAGATTGCGAGTATTTGTGACTATATGATGGCAAAGAGCATGCCGCAAAGGTCGGGGGGCTTTGGGCGAAAGAGATGGAAAGATTAGATTATAGTGAGAAAGATTGGGTATCAAAGGGCATATATATGATACAAGAGAAAAGAACATGATCCTGCCATAGAGTTTGGATAAATTTGAATGGAAATATGGTATCCATGTTATTTGATACCGGGGCAGCCATATCCGTGATGGGATATGAGAAATATCAGAGTATTTGGTCGGAAGGGATAATTAAACGGGAGGACATCAAGATCCGTCAGTTGGATGGATCAGAAGTCGCAGTGATGGGAAGGGTGGAGTTAAAGGTGGTATTAGAGAATAGAGTGGAGATTTTGGACTTATGGATAGTAGGTAGATCGAAAAGTAGAGTCAGTAGTGGGATGGGATTGGATCACCCGAATTGGTCCAGATTGTGGTTTTTGGGGGTATTCGCATGGTGTGGTGTATTTTTACCTGTTGCAAGATGTGAAGAAAATAGAGATATGAATTTGTGGTATGGAGAGGGATTGCCAGGAATTGAAACCTTTTTGGAAGGGGAAAGGAGAAGAGAGGATAATAGGGTTGTTAGAGACTATAGGGGAGGTATTGGGGAGAATTATAGGGGAGGTATCGGGGGGAACTATAGGGGAGATATTGGGGGAACTATAGGGGAGGTATTGGGGGGAACTATAGGGGAGGTTTTGGGGGGAACTATAGGGGAGATATTGGGGGGAATTTTAGGGGAGGTATTGGGGAGAATTATAGGGGAGGTATCGGGGGGAACTATAGGGGAGATATTGGGGGGAATTTTAGGGGAGGTATTGGGGAAAATTATAGGGGAGGTATCGGGGGGAACTATAGGGGAGGTATCGGGGGAAATTATAGGGGAGGTATTGGGGAGGGTTTTGGGAGGTATTGGGGAGAATTTTAGGAGTTGTCGCGACTTTGGGAGAAAGGAAGAAAGAAATGATACTGAAGAACAGAAAGAAATTCATGATCAAGGAAAGTTTGAAGCGGAGCTGGAGAGATTGGCAGATGGGAAAATAATGTTGCCAGAAGAAGAGACTAGAGAAGATGATGATGTGGAACAAGGAAATACTAAGGGAACACATAGCCAACAAATGGAAATGAATGGAAAGGAAACGAGACGACGGGAAGAGAGGGAATTGCGGGATAGAGAGATAGAATTTGGTATGATCAAAGTACAAGAGGGAGTAAGAAACTTGATGAAAAATTACAAGGAGATTTTTGATGAGAAGTTGGGTTGTCTCCGAGATTATGAAGTGGATATCAAATTAAAGGAGGGATATGTGCCCAAGTTTTGTGCATTACGTCGGATACCGTTCGAATGGCGAAATGAAGTAGACAAGGAATTGGAGCAGTGGGTGCAGAAGGGCATTGTTTGTCCAGTGGAATATAGCGAATGGGCAACAAATGGGCAACACCGTTAGTACCCGTGAAGAAGGCCAATGGAAAGCTTCGTTTATGCGCTGATTTTCGGGTCACGCTAAACCCGTGGGTTGTGGAGATAAAATATCCGTTACCTCGGATTGAAGAAATATTAGCTAGTTTAAAGGGTAGCATATATTTTTCAAAGGTGGACTTTTCGAACGCTTACTTACAATTGAAGGTGAAACCCGAGGTACAAAAGCTATTAACGATCACGACTCCGAAGGGATTGTATGCCTTCTGTAGATTGCCGTTTGGACTAAGCGTGTCGGCTCCAATTTTTCAACGAACGATGGCGGCAGTTTTTCAAGGACTAGAGGGAGTATTTTACTACATGGATGACGTATTAGTAATGGGAAAGACTCCCGAGCAACACGAACGAAGATTGGAGGAGGTGTTCAAAAGGATCAAGGATAAAGGATTGCGGGCAAGCGTTGAAAAAAGTGTGTTGGGAGTATCAGAAATCGTATATTTGGGGCATAAAATCAATGGGAAAGAGGTCAGACTTTTAGACAAAAATATGGAAGACAAAAATATGGCAAATATAACAAGCATGTTGAAGCCTAATAATAAAGTGGAAGTACAAGCTTTCTTGGGAATGGTGAATTATTATCACCGTTTTGTGGAAGGCTTCGCGCAGATAGCGGCGCCGTTGTATAAATTGTTAAAGAAAGGAGAAAGATTTGAATGGAAGATTGAACAGGAGGAGGCTTTTGAGGAGTTGAAATTGAGGATTGGAAGGGAACCAGTACTAGTATGTTTTGATAACGATGTGCCAGTGATATTGGCCGTTGATGCTTCGAATAGGGGTGTGGGTGGAGCGCTATTACATTGTATAGACGAATTGGAGAGACCTATTTTATTTTTCTCAAGAATCTTTAGAGAGGCCGAGACAAGATATTCAGTGATCGAGCAAGAAGCGCTAGCGGAATACTTGATCGGACGTCGATTTGTCATATATACGGATCAAGCCCTTGGTTCATCTTTTCAGGAAGGACAACAAGGAGCTCATGTTGTCGCCTAGGTTGCAGCGATGGCTATTGCTGGTAGGCAGGCAGTTTCGACGTGCAAGTGAAATACCGACGAGGAAGAGAAAATTACTTACCGGATATTCTTTCTAGATGTGGAGCGGGAGAGGATTGCGAAACGAGTAGGTCGAAAGATATAGATGAAGAGGATGAGCACGGGTTGATTAGAGCGATAGTCGGAATATCTAAAGGAGGACCAGTTGCATGGGAACAACTCAAAAATGCTACTTTAAAAGATCGCGAGTTGACGAGAATCAAAGCGTGCATATTGGGTCGGAAGCAATGGCGAGATGGGGACAAGAAGTTCAAGCAAGTGGAGAAAGAGCTAACGATAGTGGACGAGTGTGTGGTACGAGGAAGTCGGGGAGTGGTGCCGTCCAGATTGCGGGAGGCAGTAAAGGCAATGATCCATGCTGGACATCAGGGTATGGAACGAATGAAACAATGGGGGCGGGAATACGTATGGTGGCCTGGCATGAATAAAGAAATCGAGAATATGGTGAGAAGTTGTGAAATGTGTAATTCATGGGCAAGTATGCCTCGAAAGGGACAAGAAAAGTATTTGGCCTAGGGCTACTCAACCATGGGAAAGAGTACACTTAGACTTTTTCGACTTCGAAAATAAAATATATCTCCTCGTAGTGGACGCTTACTCAAAATGGGTAGAGTATCAAGAAGTAAAGGGGTTAACAACGCAAGTAGTAATTAAGACGTTAAAAGATCTTTGGGCAAAGTTTGGGGTAGCGGAAATAGTCGTGTCGGATGGAGGACCCGCTTTTATAAGTAAACAATTTAAAGTTTTTTGTACTGAAACTGGGGCGAGACACATTTTGGCACCTCCTTACCACCCAAGCTCAAATGGGCAGGCGGAAAGGATGGTGGCGGTGGTAAAGAGTTGGTTGAGGAAGTCGAAATATGGGGGTGGAGAGATTTGGATAGCGATTGCGTATTATAACAATAGTCGAAAGGGAGAGGAATTGTCCCCAGCAGAAAAATTTTTGGGCCGTAGAACTCGTATTCAGTTGGATTTCTTAAGACCCAAACCGGCGCAGGAGGAAAATTCAATGGATAAATCAGTGTGAATTTGTGAATGGTCAGACCGTATGGGCGAGAATTTTTGGAGGTACCCGAAAATGGGAGTCAGGAATAATTATACAGAACATGGGGCATAAAATGGTGAGAGTAAAATTCGTGGACGGAAAGGAAGGAGTTAGACACGTAGAACAGATACGGAAGAGAGTAGAGTCTGAAAGATTGAGATCTAGTCATGATGCGGAGAGGAGAGAGGGATAGATATCTTAGCAATTCTCGAGTTAAAGCACATAGAAAATAATAATTACATTTTGATTTTATGTACAAAACCCCCTTGTTTATCTTTGTTAAACAACAATTTTAATTTTTTTTTGTATGTTCAAGGGTTTTCATTTAATGGGGGCGTGTTATAAATAGTTTTATTATTTTTTTTGTATGAGTCATGAAATATTTTTTTTTGTTTGAAATTTTATTTTTAATATTTTTTTTAGTTTCGCGCAGTCATCTTGAACGTCATTATATAAATATTTTTTTGTTTGAAATTTTATTTTCAATATTTTTTTAGTTTTTTCGCGCAGTCATCTTGAACGTCATTATATAAATATTTTTAATATTTATTATGTAAAAGAAAAAAAAAATAATAATTTAATATTTATAAAAAAAAATAATCTTATATAAACTAAAAAAAAAGTGGAAATTTATTATTATTATCAATTATATTTTTTTTATATTTATTGTTTTAAAGAAAAATAAAACCAATATATTCAAAAAAAAAAAGGGGTAAAAAAATAAATATACTATTAAGTTAAATATTTCTGTACGGTGAAATTTTGAAAATATCATTGGTCACAATTTTTGTAGAGTTGAGTGTATTGCCATTTTACATCATTTAAAAAATATTTTTGAGCTTATAATACTTAGAGATAAATAGAATCTAATAAATTATTTTCATTTGGCTTTATAAACGACACACTAATATGTGATTTTATTGATTGTGATGCCCAAGCAAATCTTAGCTTCACATAAGAAGAAACCACACTCTATAAATTAACAAAATATAACAACAAATAAAATATATCGTTGAGTGTAGGCTTGTAGACAAAATTCAAACTGGTTTTTAGAGCTTCGAACTTATTCAATATTTTTTATTTTATGAACCAGAACCTGAACCGTTCTTTTTATTCGAACCTACCTAAACCGATATTCTATTCGGATCTCCTTCATAATTTAATCTTTGTGAGCCTTATCTGGAGTATTTAAAAATTTTACGTAAATAAAAAAAATATTAATAAAAAATTGCAATGATATTTTAATTTAAATCAAAATTATTTTTGTTATCTAAAAAAATATTAATAAAAAAAATAATCTAAAAGTTCCGTTTTCTGTGGATAGAAATATTTCTCAATTGTTAAGGTAAAAAATAATTTTTTTTTGAAGTGACAAGATTTTTTGTTATAATAATTGATATGAATGCATTGAATAAATTAATTTTTATATCTATTTATAAAATATACATAAATATTGCAATTATGTTTATTTTTTTAATTTTAGCAAACTTATTAATATTATAAGTGCTGAATTAGGATCTATAAATTTACTTCTATTATCCACTTTGAAATAATAATTCTTTATTTTTTGCAATATCTTAGTTTATTTAAGATGTATGAGTTATTAAAGAGTTAAACTTAACTATAATTAGCTAAAAATTATAACTACTAGGGTATTTCAATATTTATAAAGTATTTCTATTTTATTCATTTGTTTTAAATTTAGCAAACTTATTAATATTTAATCACTTAAATGCAGAATTAGGATCTATAAATTTACTTATATTATCCATAATTAATATATTTTATTATATTTTGCAATATCTTAATAGTTTATTTAAGATGTATGGATTATCAAAGAGTTAAAGTTTTAACTATAATTAGCAAAGAAAAATTACAACTAGGGTATTTTCAAATATTTGTAAAGTATTTATTTTTAATTTTCTAATTGAAATATGTATGTTCAACAATGCAAATATTTTAAATTGCCCTCAATCATAATAAAACTAAACTAAGAGTGAAACCTTGACTTTAGCCAGTAAATATAATTACAAATATTAATCATGTTTTGCTATATATTAATGCAATCTTATTTATATTTTTAAAATTACATTTTAGGAAGAAGTTAACACATAATTATCCACTACTAATTATATAAAAATTTTATTAACCCTTCAATACTCCAGTGAAAAAAATTAATACTCGGGTGGGGTTTAATAGACCTTAATTTCAAATGCATATATCTCCAGTTATATTCATTATTTAGATTTAATATTTGGATATAGGATAGAACTAACCTTAAACCTGATAAAATAATTATTTATTTTTATTTCTTAAGTTTAAATTAAAAATGATGAAGAGTAATATAATTTGTCCCAAAATTTTCTAAAAAAAGCTAACTTTTTTTAAATTTAAAATATTAAATGAAAAAATTAACTTATATATCATATAATCATGATAATTTATAACATGGATCTTTATTCTTCAATATAAAAAACAATTACACTAATACATTCAAATATAAAAAAATATAGAACATACAAATTTACTCCATTGGGGTCTCACAAACCCCAATCAGTCACAAAATGCTTATATCTTAAAAACTACTCAATCGAAATGTATGAAATTTGGAATATAGATTCTAAGATATATTTGATGAAGCTACTGAAAAATCCAGATAATAATATTTAACTGTTTTTATGCAATATCATTTCTAGCATGCCTGGGGTTTCATATACCCCACCAGAGTATTGAAGGGTTAATAACAATATATCAAAAATTAACAATATAACAAATATAAATATCAAAATTATATAATGGTATTAAAAATATCTAAAGCTGTTTCAGATGTTTCTGTTGGTTGTGCATTTCTATTAATCTTGATTATTTGCATTACTTTTAAAACCTGTTTTCAAAAAATTATCTTCATCTGAATTATCTAGGCTATCCAAAAAGAGTCTATATAAAAGATAAATAAATTATAGATAAAAATAAGAATTACTGGATACTTCCAATACATCATCAGCATTTGCAAATCATTTTTGGCAGGTTTCCTTGTTGGAGGAGGGGATTCCTGGAAGTTACTGACAGTAGGTCTGTCAGCAACAGTGGATTGCATGAAATTAATATATTTCTTTTACTTATATTCATGCACCCCTCCTCTAGATCCGGATGGTCTGCCTAATTTTTCTTTGCTGAGTTGATCCTTGAAATTTCTTAAACGCTTTTTAAGTAGTTAACACTACAGTCATAATCAGGATATTCTTCTGATAATCTAAAAATAAAATTATTAATAATATAATATATTATTTAACTTAATTCCTATGATGGAAAGATGTTCCATCACAACGAATGTCTTCTTGTGATCAGAATGCGCCTGATTCCATATAATCTCTTCTGGTTCCAACATTTCGGCAAACCTCTTTGTAATTTGGTCATTCCATGATCTAAAATAATTAATATATGATGATTTAAAGATAATTATACTTACATTTTTGATGGTGTATTCATTTCTCCATTTCAAAAAAATTTGAAAACGCAAGCAGGTTCACGTTTTAAAAAAAATATTTTAAATGAAAAACGGATATGTGCTCAATTTGAACGAATGCATTTAAAATGCATTGCTTGCATTTTGAAACGCAGCGTTGCAACGCACAATTTGTATGCACTATTAACTTCTTTCTAAAATGTAATTTTAAAAATATAAATAAGATTTTAATATATAGTAAAATATGATAAATATTTATGATTATATTTACTGGCTAAAGTCAAGGTTTCACTCTTAGTTTAGTTTTATTATGATTGAGGGCAATTTAAAATATTTGCATTGTAGAGTTTAATATATATAAATCTAATCTACAACCTTCATTTTATTAATAAAATTTTTATATATTTAGTCTGTTTCATATGTAAATATAGGATAATAAGTAGTGGATAATTATTTGTTAACTTCTTCCTAAAATATAATTTTAAAAATATAAATAAGATTTTAATATATAGCAAAACATGATTAATATTTGTAATTATTTTAACTGGCTAAAGTCAAGGTTTCACTCTTAGTTTGGTTTTATTATGATTGAGGGCAATTTAAAATATTTGCATTGTTGAGTTTAATATATATAAATCTAATCTACAACCTTCATCCCCATTATTAATCCTCAACTTTGGATCCCATTTCATTTAATCTATTACAATTAACACTAAGCTTACAAATATATAACTAAACTTAAACCATTATTTCATGATCAATACTTTATTCAAATTTTATTAATATTAATAAATTTATTATAATAGTAATATAAATAAATTTATTATAATAGTAATATAAATAAATTTATTATAATAGTAATATAAATAAAATTATTATAATAGTAATATAAATAAATTTATTATAATAGTAATATAAATAAATTTATTATAATATAAAAATTTAAGAATTTATAAAATTTTTAAATTTATCCCTAATGATTTTAGATTCCTGTGAGCTTGAGTTGTTTTCCCTGCTTGCCAAAAATGGTCTTGTTGTAAGGTTAGCCAATGTAGGATCTGTATTGATGATAATATAATTTTAAAAATATATATAAATATGATTTTTATATATATATATTTAAATTTAAATATTGGTATTACCTATATCATCAATGGAAGCTGATCCTTCTTTGTTGATGATAATGTTATGTAGGATGCAAATAGCCTTTATCACTATCTCTATGCTAGGTAGTCCTATTTCTATTGGCTTACTTAGAATGTCAAATTTTTTGACTATTCCACCAAAGCTTCTTTCTACACTTACTCGAGCATGGCACAGCCTCATGTTATATTCCCTTTCTTCTGTTGTCAGATTTCTTTTGGGGTAGGGCTTCATCAAATAATTTGATAAAGGGAATGCGTCGTCCCCAACCATTACAAATGGCATGGCCTCATTACAACCTGGAAATGGTTTGGGAGCAGGCATATCAAGTGTATGGTTAATCAATTCTATTAATATATTTCTAAGATATAATAAAATTAATATAAAGTAACCTCTATATAAAGAGCTATTTCTAAATACACCACCATCACTTTGCTTTCCATATGCACCTACATCTATATAAATAAATCTCCTGTTAATATCTGTTAGGGCTAACAGGTTAATAGAAAATCTATGCTTATAGTTATAAAATTGTGAGCCACTATTGGGAGGGCTCTTGATATATATATGCTTTCCATCTATAGCCCCAATACAATTTGGGAATCCTGATTGAAGCAGGAATTCCTGGGAAATCTAAAGATAAGTAAATATTAATCTTGAATCATTATAATATATTTACTTTTTCCCAATCATTTTTATTAGGTTTGGGCATGTGTATATGAGCAGCAGCATTCCAAATTGCTGTGCACACTGATTTCACAATATAACTTATACAGGATTTTGAGATCCTTGAGCTATAAGCTAGTTGTGCAAATGATACACCAGTTATTAAATACCTATTATATAAACAATTTATAATAAATTAAATTTATTTTACCTTAAGGTAACAAACAATCGATCCTCAGCATCGATTTGTTTGTTACAATTAGTAACTTTCGGATTAATGTCCTCATATATGAGCTCCAGTATATAAGAAAATGTTGATCTTCTCATTCTTGTATAGTTATAAAATTGCGAATGTGTTAAATCGCCTTTAATATTAATATATTCTGAAAAAAGATTTCTTTTAACAAATATTTTGGATGTCTTGCTCTTCTTCCTTCCTTTATTTCTTTGTAGTAAATACAAAGCAAGTAACTTTTTTTGTTTTAAATTTAAATGTTTCATATTGAAAAAATAAAAGTTAACGCATCAATTTATACATGGCTGCGTTTACGTTTTTTTATATGCGTTTTAAAACGCAGCGTTGCAACGCACAATTTGTACGCACTATAACACATAATTATCCACTACTAATTATATAAAAATTTTATTAATAACAATATATCAAAAATTAACAATATAACAAATATAAATATCAAAATTATATAATGGTATTAAAAATATTTAAAGCTGTTTCAGATGTTTCTGTTGTTTGTGTATTTCTTCTATTAATCTTGATAATTTGCATTGTTTTTAAAACTTCTGTCTTGAAAAAATAGTCTTCATCAGAATTGTAACCTTCCAATACATCAACCAGGCTATCCAAAAAGATTCTATATAAAAGATAATTATATTATATATTATTTAACTTAATTCCTATGATGGAAAGTTTTTCCATCACAGAGAATGTCTTCTTGTGATCAGGATGCGCCTGATTCCAAATAACCTCTTCAGGTTCCAACATTTCAGCAAATCTTTTTGTTATTTCTTCATTCCATGATCTAAAATAATTAATAAATGATGATTTAATTATATATATTCTTACATTTTTGATGGTGTGTTCATTTCTCCACTTCAACAAAATTTGAAACGCAAGCAGGTTTACGTTTTTAAAAAAAATTTTAAATGAAAAACGGATATGTGCTCAATTTGAACGAATGCATTTAAAATGCATTGCTTGCATTTTGAAACGCAGCGTTGCAACGCCAATTTGTACGCACTAATTGAAAAAAAAGTCATCTAGTATCCAGTAATTCTTATTTTTATATAATTTATTTATCTTTTATATAGACTCTTTTTGGATAGCCTAGTTGATATATTGGAAGGTTACAATTCAGATGAAGATTATTTTTTTAAAACAGAGGTTTTAAAAGTAATGCAAATAATCAAGATTAATCGAAATGCACAACCAACAGAAACATCTGAAACAGCTTTATATTATACCATTATATAATTTTGATATTTATATTTGTTATATTGTTAATTTTTGATATATTGATATTAATAAAATTTTTATATAATTAGTAGTGGATAATTATGTGTTAACTTCTTCCTAAAATGTAATTTTAAAAATATAAATAAGATTGCATTAATATATAGCAAAACATGATTAATATTTGTAATTATTTTAACTGGCTAAAGTCAAGGTTTCACTCTTAGTTTGGTTTTATTATGATTGAGGGCAATTTAAAATATTTGCATTGTTGAGTTTAATATATATATAAATCTAATCTACAACCTTCATCCCCATTATTAATCCTCAACTTTGGATCCCACTTCATTTAATCTATTACAATTAACACTAAGCTTAAAAATATATAACTAAACTTAAACCATTATTTCATGATCAATACTTTATTCAGATTTTATTTAATATAAATAAATTTATTATAATAGTAATATAAATAAAATTATTATAATAGTAATATAAATAAATTTATTATAATATAAAAATTTAAGAATTTATTAAATTTTTCCCTAATGATTTTAGATTCCTGTGAGCTTGAGTTGTTTTCCCTGCTTGCCAAAAATGGTCTTGTTGTAAGGTTAGCCAATGTAGGATCTGTATTGATGATAATATAATTTTAAAAATATATATAAATAGGATTTTTTATATATATATTTAAATTTAAATATTAATATTACCTATATCATCAATGGAAGCTGATCTTCTTTGTTGATGATAATGTTATGTAGGATGCAAATAGCCTTTATCACTATCTCTATGCTAGGTAGTCCTATTTCTATTGGCTTACTTAGAATGCCAAATTTTTTGACTATTCCACCAAAGCTTCTTTCTACACTTAGTCGAGCATGGCACAGCCTCATGTTATATTCCCTTTCTTCTGTTGTCAGATTTCTTTTGGGGTAGGGCTTCATCAAATAATTTGATAAAGGGAATGTGTTGTCCCCAACCATTACAAATGGCATGGCCTCATTACAACCTGGAAATGGTTTGGGAGCAGGCATATCAAGTGTATGGTTAATCAATTCTATTAATATATTTCTAAGATATAATAAAATTAATATAAAGTAACCTCTATATAAAGAGCTATTTCTAAAAACACCACCATCACTTTGCTTTCCATATGCACCTACATCTATATAAATAAATCTCCTGTTAATATCTGTTAGGGCTAACAGGTTAATAGAAAATCTATGCTTATAGTTATTAAATTGTGAGCCACTATTGGGAGGGCTCTTGATATATATATGCTTTCCATCTATAGCCCCAATACAATTTGGGAATCCTGATTGAAGCAGGAATTCCTGGGAAATCTAAAGATAAGTAAATATTAATCTTGATTTATTATAGTAAATTTACCTTTTCCCAATCATTTTTATTAGGCTTAGGCATGTGAATATGTGTAGCAGCATTCCAAATTGCTGTGAACACTGATTTCACAATATAGCTTATACAGGATTTTGAGATCCTTGAGCTATAAGCTAGTTGTGCAAATGATACACCAGTTATTAAATACCTATTATATAAATAATTAATAATAAATTAAATTTATTTTACCTTAAGGTAACAAACAATCGATCCTCAGCATCGATTTGTTTGTTACAATTAGTAACTTTCGGATTAATGTCCTCATATATGAGCTCCAGTATATAAGAAAATGTTGATCTTCTCATTCTTGTATAGTTATAAAATTGCGAATGTGTTAAATCGCCTTTAATATTAATATATTCTGAAAAAAGATTTCTTTTAACAAATATTTTGGATGTCTTGCTCTTCTTCCTTCCTTTATTTCTTTGTAGTAAATACAAAGCAAGTAATTTTTTTGTTTTAAATTTAAATGTATCATATTTAAAAATAAAAGTTAACGCATCCATTTATACATGGCTGCGTTTACGTTTTTTTATATGCGTTTTGAAGCGCCACGTTGCAACGCATAATTTGTACGCACTAACGCATCCATAAAATGTTTATATTGTTACACCCCCCCTCCCCCCCCCTTATTTAATCTTCTTTTGTCTAACTTTGTTTTTTCATTTATTAAATTCAATGCCTCTTATTTTTTAAAATTATAGTAAACATAAATTTATCGTTTGTTTCATTAATTGGCATGAAACCAAATTAATTTTTTTTAAAAAAAGTATGATGAAATTATAATATTTTTCAATTGCACAAAATAAAATAACTACATTGCCACTTCAATAAATTTGAATTATTTACAAATTATCCAACTTGTATTCTTTAACCATAATCATCTTTTTTAGAATTGATAGAAATTTATAAGATAATGACGAAATTACTACTCTTCCTCTGTTCGCTCCTAGCCTTCCAAATGTCGCCATTTATATTTGGCCGCGATCTAGACCTGCCTCAACAGCGAAGATATGGCGATATACCTAACGAGGTTATTTCGCCCAAAGTGGATCATAATGATATTCTCCCCCAACACCTATTCTCGTCGCTGGCCGTCTCGACGTCGCTCGGATACCACGTGGACCCTTTCGAGATGTTCCACGAGTTCATGAGACTTTTCAGTAAAAAAATTAATAAATAATATTATCTTATTAATGTCAATCAGTTTAGTTCAGGCAGCCATTCAGATCGAGCTCAGAAACCGAATAAAATTTTGGTTATTTTGTCCGTTAAATTACAGGCCTTTTCCCACTCTAAACCAATTATTGGCAGACATAATAACCTGGTTCCATTCCTTATTTAAACTCGATCTTCTTAAGAGTTGGATCTCGAAACTGGTATTGGTTGACTTTCTACTTATATCGTTATTTTATTTTTTATAACTTTTAATTTCTGATAATTTATAGTCCGAAACGAGTTTATAACTTTCACTATAAGAGAGTTCGCTTCCAACTATTTTTTTTTACAAAGCCAATCTTATTAGAGCTCTGTAATTTGGTTCGAAATCCGACCCGAAGTTGGGCTCGGTCCTAAACAAATTTTTTGAAAATTTCGGGTCGGGTTTAAAAAAAATTGAATTTGCGGGGTTCCGGTTCCCGTTACAGAAGTTTGTAAAAGATGTTTTATAGGTTAGAATACTCTTGAAAAGAATCGCCTAAAATGTTTCTTCTTCGGATTCTCGTTCGATATGATTTTATATTTGGGTAACCTTGTAATAGCTGCCAAATCGTAATTTTTAAAATGGTTCGCGAACAATTTATCTTTTGGTTTTAAAAAAAAAATGATTTATTTTTTTTTTTGAAGAATATTAATATTCGGCCTTGGCCTTTTTAAACTAAATAAGGTAACTTATTTTTATCTTTGTCTGTTCCTTAATTAATGACTAAAAATAGGGGGTGTATTCTATCTGTTAAAAGTTAAATGCTCAAATTTCCTTAAATTTTAAGTTTTAAGGTTATGTTAAGTTTTTTTTTGTTTAAAAACGCAAACTATTTTTCAAGTTTTTTGTTTTGTTTAAAAACGCAAAATATAAATTATTCATATGAAGATGAACCATAAGCATAACATTTGAAATGCGTCATTTTGAAAGATACCTTCAAAAGTGAAACACATTACATTATAAATTTTGTAAGCGATTATATGTAAAAAAGCACATAACAAACCGAATAAATGCCATTGATAACCTTCCTTAAATAATTATACCTTAATGACATGTATCTCATTTGCTATTTTTTAATTATAAGTTTAATTTTTTAATTTGGCTTCTAATTTTTTTTAATTAATGCCATATTGAATGTATGATGCTCGCTTCTTGGAAAAGAGAATGATTGCATCATTTTTTTTAAAAAAAAAAGAAAAAGAAGATTAATGTTAAACACGTGTCAAATTGTCATTAAATGGTTTTTGCAAATGAAGAATATTATTTTGTTACATTTTTAAATAAAAAAAAATAAACGTTTGTTTCTAACCTGCACTTAATAACTCTTCAAATTCAAAGTAAAGATTGAGGGAAAAAAACGAATGAAAGAAAACATGTTTTTTTTAATGGCTGCCAATGAGAGTTATTTGATATATAATCCTGGTAAATATCGGCACCGAATCTCGCAATCCGTCTGCCCCTAATCATCGATGATCCATTCGCGGAAGAATTACTCTACCCAATATTTTAATGAATGAATGTTTTATAAAAAAAATTTTTTTTAATTTATTAGAAAAAAAATTATTACCTCGAAGTAGATATCGTTTTGCGGGTCAGATAAGAGACCTGAATCTTTTAAATGTTCGGTTACGGTTTAACTCGGGTCATATCGGTTTTTTAAAATCGAACGGGGTTTTGAAAATATAACGATCTTTTTTTTTACGAGTTTTTAAATTTTCCTTAAATAACAATAATATGATAAGAATATGATTTATATATATATATACAAATATTAAAAATTCTGGAAGACGGTCATTAGGGTTAAACTTGAAGCGCTCGGATATTTATTAATAATATTACACACATTTAGTGTTTGTTAAACGGTTCGATTTGAACAGATTTATAAAAAGCGACTAACTCAATATTTTAGCCAGAAAAAATAGTGCCAACCACCTAGAGATTTCGCAAATAGATGTCCAACCCTTTGTGCCATCTATGAACAAAATCTACAGGCTTGCATGGTATTTTTTTTTATAGATAAAATATTGAGTTAACTTTTTCTACAACACTACACGCATTAAAAAATCCTTAAAAAGAAATTTGTGATTTCAAACATAAAGAAATTTTTAATGCCTTTTTTGCTATAAAGACTAATATAAGAATATAAAAAGGTATATAGATAAGATTTGATATAACTTTTTATAATTTACAATGTTTAAAAAAAAATTAAATCATTATTTACAACTAGAAAAAAATTAACGAAGAACGAGTGAGTTAGCATAGTTACTGTTGTTAAAGGGTTTTGAGCCGATTATTTAAAAAAACGGCTAACTCAATATTTTAGTCAGAAAAAATATTATACCTAAGCTTCATATTTCGATAATATATGTCTAGACCTTTGTCTATGAGCAAATTTTAAGGCTTGTGTTTAATATTTTTCTTCCGGGTGAAATATTGAGTTAGCGCCGTTTAACAACTTTAATATTTTATCCAGAAAAGTATAGCGCAATTCCTGATGATGCTTATTATATTATGGCGCGAAGGTCTTGCACATTTGTGAAATATATTGAGATCGAGCCATTTAGCAACACTAAGTGTAGTGTAGTATAGATTATAATTATTTGTCATAGAAATAGTTATGACAAAACGGTTTTATATGCCAGAATATACAAGATCGATTTACCCCATTTAGTGAGACTCCTTGAATATAACAAAATTGTATATCTTGCTTATTTTTTTTTCAAAAAAAAAAATTGCATAGATAAAACTTACCAAAACGAGAAGGAAAAATTGATCAAATTTGCCACATTTATGAAGAACGCCGAGATAATCGCGGAACATAATTTGAATCACCTCAGGGGATTGGTCACCTACAAACTCGATTTCAATTTTTATTCCGATTGGGTTAGGAAATTCTTTTTTTAAAAAAAAATTTTGTTACCGTATTTTTTATTAAATACTTGAATCGGAGATTAAATTGTGTTTTTTTAAAAATAATATAAGAACAACAAAGATTTCGTGAAAGTTCACAACGGGATGAAGCCTGCCCTTGCGAGGCGAAAAAATTACCTGCAATATTCTTCGGGGGAATGGTTCAAACCTCACCCCGACTTCACCATCTCGCCCCCGTCGGATCTGAACAAATCCGTCGATTGGAGACTGCTAGGAGCCGTTACTCCCGTCAAAAATCAAGGCGAATGTGGATCTTGTTGGGCTTTTAGCGCTGTACAATTTTTATTATTCTATATTTAAAATCGAAATTCGAGTCTTGATAAATGAATTAATATGTTATATTATATTTTTTGCTAGACTGGCTCATTAGAGGGCCAATATTACATCAAAAATGGTTTTAACAAGCTAGTGAGTCTCAGCGAACAAAACTTGCTCGACTGTTCCTTTAAATTCGGCAATGAAGGCTGTAACGGTGGCCTAATGGATAACGCTTTCGAGTACATCAAGGTGAACAAAGGGCTAGACACCGAAGCTAGTTACCCCTATAAGGCTAGGGTAAAAAAATATCAGAGATTATTAATAATATATATTTTTTTATTCACTATCACTTACAAGTTTTTATTTTAAAATGTTGGCCAATTAAGGGAGCCTTATTTATAGTATCTTGTCTAGGTGGTGTTATGATAGAATATATACATCTTTTAAAACCAGAATCGATATGTATGATGTTAGTATGTTGAATAAGCTAAAAAAATCAAAATTTTAAAGTTTTTGAAAAAGTAAAAACTTCCGAGACGAATTATCGTCTTACGCCGCGTCATTACCCAGATACGAAGTCTTTGGGTACTTCCCGCTTTCAAAAAAGTTTGCCCAAAGGTGGTTTGACTTATTTTTGATAATTAATGCTGTTATTTAGGGTTGGCATTGCTATTTTTCGTATTATTTTCTCGTTATTTTGTATTTTTGAATTTTTTTCGTTTTTGTCTAGTCAAAGCTAAATGGTCCAATAAACAGCCGGCTGCTTATTAATTGTTGCATATAGTTGTTTTTTTTTAAAAAAATATATATACCTAGAAATAAATCTGTTTTTTATAGCCAGATATTTTATTTTCTTCTTTATTTTTGTAAAGAGAGAAAGAATTATTTTTTTTGTAATAGAAAAAAAAATCATTTATTGTTTTTTTATATTCTGAGAACGATATACAAGCTAATAATTATTGTATTCGGCGACAAATAGATATTTTTTATATTCATAAATAAATTTTGATATTGGATTTTGTTGAAGTGATTAACTTTTAAATATATCCTATTTTTACTGTAAAAGAAAAGATTTAAAGTGAAAGAAGGAAACTCTTGAGCTTACACATAATATATTATATATATGTCGTATGGGGATTCGGAATCTCTCAATTTTAAATCATTTACCGAGGGCGATTTAAAATCAGATTTAACCGAAAATGTATTCTAGCATGTGAAGAGAATCCAAACTGTAAAATTTCTAACAATTTCGCAATAAACTTTAGAACTACTCTTAATTCATATAAATTTTTATACAGATTTTTCATATAAATTTAAAAAAAGTACCAAAATGTCTATGGCTGAAATTGGTAAAATTTATAGAGTAAATACTTTACACATGCTGGATTACATTTTTTTAAAATTGAGAGATTCCGAATCCCCATACGACATATATATTAATTTACTTTAAGTTAGTTATTTCGAAAATAAAAGTATTGTTATTCATTTATATAATTTTACCTTATAATAATTATATCACTCCCTCCTATCGCCCAATTTAAAGGAGAACAAAAGGTGTCTGTTTTCTCGTTCGCATGTTGGAGCGAGTGATTATGGCTTCGTAGATTTACCGACTGGCAACGAATGGGCATTGGCGGAAGCCGTAGCCGCTATAGGTCCCATCTCCATAGGCGTAGACGCTAGTCACGTTTCTTTCCAATTCTATAGATCTGGTACAAATTTTTTTTTCTAAAAAATAGTAATTGTTTCTGTTGTATATTCCTATAAACAATTGAATGATGTCTTTAAAGAATATTACACAAGAAATGTAGAAAAAATGAAAATTATTTAAATCACAAGGGTTTTGCTTCTTTGAACCGAGTTCTTTCTGGAGTTCAGACAAAATTTTATATTTATTTTTGTTACATCGATATTGCATCAATAAGTTAATGAAGCATAGCCTCCATAGTTTGCTAAACCCCCCTACGACTAGTGTTATCCAAATCTTTAGCCGCAATAACTTCATCAGATGCCTCCTTTCCGAGATAATTAGCACTACTCTTATGATGACACCAAATTGAGCATTATGGAAATAAGGCAAACTAGTTTGCGTTTTTATAAATTGTGTTTAATTTGCATTACCATTTGAAAAACGCAAACGCTCAATTAGGTCACACTATTATAAAGATTATTTTATTATCTTCACATTATATTTTATCTGTTCACATCTTACTTTTTTTTAAAAAAAATAGTAGATACCATTTTACGCATTTAATATTTCTAACATTTTATTTTTCTTTCACGTCACATTTCATAGGTATATACCAAAACATTCACTGCTCCAACGTCACGCTAGATCACGGCGTGCTCATTGTTGGTTACGGTTCCGACCTTGATGGCGATTATTGGCTCGTTAAAAACAGCTGGGGAAGTTCTTGGGGAGACAAAGGTTACATCAAAATAGCCAGAAACAAGGATAATATGTGTGGAGTGGCTACACAAGCTAGTCTACCTATAGAGAAAAAAAACGAGGTAATTTTTAAAAAAAAACTCAAACACTTATCTGATTCTTGGGCGCAGGCCATACCAAAACCTTTGAGCGCACGCTAGCCTTAAATCGAGCGTCGAAAATTACGCTTCCGGTTTGAAGCGTGTTTTTGCACATTAAATTTTTTTTATATATACTCACTAATTTTTATATTAATTCCTCTCCATCTTTTAAGGCTATAAGTGTTTTAATAATTTATATTTAAATCAATAGTACCGTGTATAATTTTTAGTTTAATTTTTTTTATATATAATATCTAATTTAATATCTATGTAAAAGTATATAGGTAAGGTTTACTAAATTATATTCACATCTTCAACTTAAGAAGCTGATAATTTTTTAAACTCCTAACACGTTCTGGCATGGTCTTAGTCTATCATTAAAATTATTCTGAATATTTTGTTATAATCTCTTAACCTAATATTATATATTTATTATTAATATTATCCAGGTATGAAAACGGATTTGAGAGAACGCCGGAAAAAAAAATCAACAATTTATTTTGCTTTATAAAAATTTTTTAATATAATTATTTGTCATAGTTCTAACATTATTTTAAAGTATATTTGCATATAATACTTCAAAGCAATCTTACTGTGTATATAATATTAACTACCTGTATTGTTTATTAATTTAATCTAGTTTGTCTCGAAATTTCTTTTAATATAATGTTAAAAATTAATTTAATATATAAATTGTATTTACAAATTTTTTTTACATTCTTCTAAATTATATTTTTAATTTAAATTAGTAATATATTTTGTAAAAATAATAATACACATTTCTTTTATTGTTCATCAAAAATGCTTTTATTTCTAATAAAATTATTTTATCCAAGTGTAAAATTTTTTTTACTTTTTAACTGTGAACCATTTTGAGATTAAGGTTTTGTTCTTAAAGATTTTATCCATTAGGAAAAAGAAATAATCCGAGAGTATAATATATTCAAAATATAAGCTGTTTATGAATAATAACATAATTTTAGATTACAATAAATTATAAAAAGAATTGTATACCTACAATATTTATGACACCCTTCACATGAGATGGATAAAAATTTTTTTCAATATCCACCAGTAAAAGGGGGTTTTATACATTTTGCTTTCATTATATGCAGAGGGGTTTACAGATAATTTTCATAGCGTTCAAAATTGAGTATTTTAGAAAATCAGTTGTGATTAAAAGGGAACAAATTTATATAGTTTTTGTGATTGTGTACATAATTCCGATTACTGAATGGGAAAAGTCCTGAGATTTGTCCTTGAAAATCTCCTAAAAAAATTAAATCCATCCCAGAGTTGGGTCCTTCTATTATATATTAAATAGGCAAATTTATATTATAATTTTTAAATGAAAAAGAATCCTTATCTCTAGTAAGTAGGAAATGTTTTTTAAGTATATATTTCCACTTCTCTAAAGACCGCCATCCCCAGTTAATTCAATTTGAATCTTTAGATCTTAATCAGACAATATCTAGCTTGACGGAATGACTTTTACAACCGACAGGCACTAAAGTATTTCTTGCAAAAATAAGTATTAAATCCAGGATCGTCGATCCTTTGATCTAGATTTTTTTAACAAGTGTATTCATCTGAATATATTCTGTTCTTAAGACGAATTTTAAGTAATTCACAATTCAGTAATAATATCTTCAGAATTTTTTTATCAGTGAATAGTTTATTCATTTAATACTCACCCTTTAATTTTATCTTAATATATCCAAATTAAGTATAGCTATCTTATTTAGAAACATCTACCATAGTCAATGCAGTAAGTATAGGGGAAGATGGGCTATTCAAATATTTATAAAAAAATGCTTGTTGTTAATGTAAGATTTTTAAAATGAAAATAAAATATCTGTCTAACATTCTAAAAAAAATTATCATCACTATTTTTAGTTTATTTCACGAAATAAAATGCAATTTTTTTAAAGGCCAAAAAATCTATAAAGTTAGGCAGTGCTGGTGTAACGTGTTATTTATACTCCGTAAAAAATATACTCATATTTAGTAATATTAGTTTTTAAAAATCTTTTGCCATCGCACTCCAAGGGTTATAGTGGTAAAAAAATGATTTTTCAGGACTCTAGTTGAAAGGCAAATCAATGGCGTATCCTGAATTTTTCTAAAAGACTAAAATATTCTAATGCTTTTTTTTAAAACCAAATTAACCCCGTTATCATTTATCATAAATATAAACAATAAACATTTTAGGAATCTAAATAAAATGGAACTCTAAAAAAAATTTTATTTTTAAAAAGCCTGGTCCTGGTAGAAAATACAAATTTTTATTATAAATCAATGTGGCAAAGTTACAGCTTATTATAAATATAATTCTATCCATTTTATAATACATTGATAATTAAAATAATATTCATTTTTATACACAAGGCTTGGATTGTAAGAACAGCAGATAAGATTTTGAATAAAACTTATAAATCAGGGTGCCGCAGCATACCAGATTTCCAAAAATGAAAAATATTTACTTTCTTATCCAATCTTTTGAAATCGCCAAATCCAATTGTTTTCATTCCAATCCTTTTCTCTGCAAACGATAGCTCTCTTTTAGCTATTTTCTCCTGTATTTTCTTTAAGTTGTATCAATTAATCTAAATCATCTTGTTCCATAGCTTCATCCAAACTATAATCATCAGATAAAATGGGTCCTGGATATGGTTTAAACCCGACTCAAGTTAATAATATACCTTTTCGCACAAATCTTATCATCATTTAAGTAATGTTTAAGGATTTATACCTTTTATATTTAAATAAATTGAAAATATTAAAATATTGATATTTGTATTTACAATTTTACAAATATCTTAATATATGATTTTAAAAATAAAATTCATTGAACGGTTCAAAATAATTCGCGGGTACGGTTCGGGTTTTTAAAATTTTTAAAACTGGGTCCAGGTCCGGTTTGGGTTTAATTCCGGGTTTGGGTTCGGTTAGAATCTCTGCCGACTCGGAACTATTTCCCTCAACGTCTGACAAATTTTTATATTTATTATATTTTTTTAAAAGAATTAAATTGAGACATAAGGAAAAAGGAAGCAAATTATTTAAACCAAGAGGATGACTAAAAAAATATGTGAATAAATATTTACATAGTCAAATATTTGTTTATTTATTTTCTCCGTTACATACAGATACAACCATTGGTATGAGCTGGCCCAGGTTTGTGAAAAATATTTATTTTCTCCGGCCCGAGTTAAATTTGGTTATAATATGTAATTGTTTAAAAAGTAACATTATTTCTTTCTTTTTTTTATAAGTATTTTATAATATTTGATTTGAAAATAAAATTATAATCTTTATAAAATTTTTATCTAGTATAATAGATTAGAAAGGGCAACTTTAAAATTGTATGATTAGACTAAAAGAATAAGAATTATTATAATTAGTGAATAATTTAGATTAAGAATTTCTTCAATTTATTTCTTTTATTAAAGAAAATTTGACATATATAAAATAATTAGAGTTAATATGTAACTTCATTGGTATAATTCGCTTGGCCCCTAAGGAGAAGGCACGTTTTTCACAAGGAAGCGGACAAAACCTTGTTACCCAGATAAGAATAATAAAGAAGATGGCACTAAAAAATTTCGGAATAGCTAGGAATATTTTTATTTCTTCTAAAAATTAACCCCTTGGGAGATGAGGGCATGATTAAAAGGGGTCCCCAGATATGGGGTTAATTAATGATTAAATAGAATCCACGATTTTATATATAAAAAATTAAGCATATTTTCATATACGACTACTAAAAAGAATAAAACAACGTTCCATTGTAATACGTCTCCGGATATAAATTTTGGAAATTTTATATAATTTATATTTTAAAAGATATCAATTTTTTAGAAACTCTATGATTAATTTTCAACTACACTCTTTTTCTCTTATTTTTATTCTTATAACATAAATTAAACATGAAACTTTACGACAAATAATTCCATAGTGATTATTTTACAATATCTTTTTTTCAATTTATAATAATAATCAAAATAGCTCTTTCGAAGTTTAATATAAACTGTTTAAAGAAATTATTTACATATAAAAATATGTAAATACAACACGTATATATTTTAAAATTTCTGTAAACTATTATCAGAAGATGCATTAAATTTATGATAGATTTAAATTTACCATTTATTTGAATCCCTCTGGAATTTGAAAATTTTGACCTGGTAACCATGTTCCTATCCTATGTATCGATGTAAGCGTAAATGTGTCATTATTTCAACTTTAAATCACATTTTGAGCGCATTTTTTAATATTTAAATATCTCATTTTACCGGAAATTTATTCTAACATGTTCACATTACCCTACCCTATAAATATCACACAATTTTGTCATGAAATTTTGAACTTAATTATATTTATTTATATTAGTTTTCCCATAGATTTTTTTTTTAAATAAAAATTATACATGACAACGGTTTATCGTGAAATTGTCTAAAATTCATAAGATAGGTTTTCTAAGTAAACATGCTGAAATACACTTCCCCGCGCTTCAAAAATTGATTTAAAGTTGTCAAAAAACACATTTACGCCAACATGTACAATAATTTAAGAAAAAAATTATTAAATAGGAAAAGTTAGATAAAATCAAAATTTTTATTTAGCGAAAATCGTTTATGTAATCTTTAATCCTAATCTTTGAATATAGGAAGCAATATTCTAAGCATTGCAAAATATTTGATAGATTTAATTTTAAATGGCATAAAGTCACTTTTCAAAAAATTTATTTCGAACGGAGGAAGAAAGGGTGGGGGTAAAACCAAACTGCTTCCTCCTTAATTACGACCAATGAGTGATAGAGAAAATCAGGAAATAATTGTTAAGTTCTTTTTTTTTCATAGATTTCAGATAAAGGACACATTTAAGACAATTCTTGTTTACCTGATGCACAATAAAAAAATACCGTTAAAATATTTCGCTCTTATGAATTTAAAACATATGGGAGTTTAATATATTAATTTCAATATCTTGTTTATCTTTTGATAAGCGCATTTCGCAATATATTCTTTGTTTCGTTTATAAAGCTCCCGCGAAAACGTAGGTTTCGCAGAAATAGTTTCGAGGTAATGGGTTTCGCGATATTGTCTTAATTGTAAACGTTTCGCGGTAAAAAAATTTTTACGTATTGGTTTCGTGATAATAACTTCGCAAAAAAAATGTTTCGCTGAATTGACCTAATATTTTATTTTCCGATATATCTTCCTTATTTTTTATAAAATAAACAATTACCTTGAAAAAACTATATAAATAAAATGAAATTAACCCCAAAACCTCAAAACATAATAATATATATAAAATATTATAGATAATATTATAATTTTGTTCTTTCCTAATGATGTTATTCTAGATAACAAAATTTTAATAATTCTCTTTCTTTCTTTATTTCTTTTCTCCCTTCCTTCCTTCCTTCCTTCCTTCTTTTTAAAATTTGGAACCTCTGAAGGTATCTGCTAGTGGTAAATATATATATAATCCAGGACAAAAATATCTTGGACAAAAAGACTAATAAAAATATATCCATTTTTATAAATAGAATTTTTAAAAAAAAATTTAAATGCCTTTTTAAGACTGTATCCAAAACATCAAAAAATTATATTCACAAACTTTCTAAACTTTAAACAAAATAAATAAATAAGCTATTTTAAATATATATGAAATTTTAAAAAATTTAAACAAAGTTTTGAAACTTTTTTAATATTCTTTTTCTTTCTGAATTTGAGTATTTTATTTTTGCATTCGAGTGTCACCTTCGACATTTCTATTCGGGATTTAAACATACTATTTTTATGTCATTAAAATTATAATATAAAAATAGGAGTCGTTTTTTCCCCCCCCCCATAAATGAATAACAATTATTAATCGTATTTTTAATAATTACTACTTTGGTTTATATTTTTCAAGAAAAAAATGAAATATTTTTACCTGGCCTAAAAAACTCATATAAGAACCAAAGTAGTCATTGGTGCTGGGATTTTCCATTTTGAAAAATCTACGCTAATATCTGTGTATGTGTCTACGTTTAAAAATTAATCACATTGAAGGATTAGGCACATACAGGCAGTGGTGGGGGGGGGGGTGGAAAGGTAGGTTTTTTTTTCTCCATAAATTTTATTGAAGACCTTAAGTCCACTTATTGTACTTGGGTTTTCATTAATGTTTTTTTTCCCCCTAAAAATTTAGAAATTATAAGTCGTTACTTTAAAAAAGTTATTAAATTTATACCAATTTTTCTTTGAAAATTCTTCCTATTTAGGGATGCATAGGGCGAAAATTTTTATCAGCCTAATATAAAACTATATCTACGAAAGCAGGCAAATTCGCGACGGGGGGGGGGGATATTTCCAACAATGTTACGCACACCCCTACACTGCAGGTTCAAGGTCATGTCTAAGTTCTAATAAAAAAATATTTTTTGTGTTGGTTGTGAAATGGGAAGTGAAATAAAAAAAAATTAATAAAATATTTTTGCTTTGGTTGTGGATGTGTGAAGTTGAAATATAAAAAATTTTAAGTTGTTAATAATTTTTCAAAATATGAAATTACTTTTTTTTTATATAATATAATAATCTCCTTTTGTCTAATTTTTTATATATAATCCTTTTTTTATATAATAATCACCTTTGTCTAATACTATTATAAAAAAAACCTTTTTTTTTAAAATAATTCTCCTTTTGTGATAACTTTATCTAATAGTATGTTGTAAATTAAGATGTCTCATTTTTTTTAAAATCTCATTGTTCATTAATTGGCACGAAGCCAAGCCATCATGAAACTTTTATTATATTGTAAAAGAAAAGTATATGATGAAATAATAATTATTTATCAATTGCAAAAAATAATAATAAATCATCGTTCATCAAATAAATTTAAATCATTTAATAAAATAATTTTTTTTTTAATACACATTTCAATAAATCAGAATATATATATTTAATTACACAAAGAAATTCACTAAAAAAAATGGCAAAATTACTACTCCTCTTCTGTTCGATCTTAGCTTTCCAAATGTCGCCATTTATAAATGGCCGCGATCTTGACCTGCTCCAATCTCGAAAACATGACCACTTACCTAACGAGGTGGCTTCACCCAATATGGATCTCAATAATATTCTCCCCCAACGGCTATTCTCGTCGCTGGCCATCTCCACGTCTCTCGGATATCACGTGGACCCTTTCGACATGTTCCACGAGTTCATGCGACTTTACAGTAAAAAAAAAATATTTTTTTTTATTTCTATTAAACTGAAGGTCAAACGGAAAGACATTGGTAGACCAAATATAATCTAGCCATTTTGTCGGTTAAATTGATTCGAACCGATTTTTGCCAGACAAAATAATTTAGATCCATTTAATGTTTGAACTCAATCTAAACAGTGACCACTTCATATAATTATAAATTTATCATATTATTTACGATGGGAAATATATATATATTTTTTTTAAAATGGCTGCTTTGAAAACTGTTTCTGATTTTTCTTTACCACAAAACTGATATCGCTTGTCCCGTAATTCGGTCCGAAACCTGGCCCGAAATAGACACCGGGTTTAAATAAGATTTTAGAAACCGGGCCTGGATCGGGTTTGAAAATATGAAAGAATTCTAAGAAATAACGTAGAAAATTCGAAAGTTTTAAATCATTAAAGAAATCCTAATTATTTAACCTTTTTTGGTCAAATTTTTGTTTTTCTATTAATAAAAAAAAGTATATTTTATGTTTTTTGATAAAGTTTTCGAAAATATTTTGATGTCTTGGACACGGCTTTATCAAAAATTTCAAAATTATGAGTGACAGCGAGGTAGCGATTAGTGAATTTTTTTTTTCACTTCACAAAAATGCCTTTTAAATTTATATATATATGTTGATTTAAAAAATTTGAGCCGGGTTCGGGCCCTAAATCTGGCTTTGGATTCTATAGAAGAGATCTTGATATATTTGGGTAAAACCTGTAATTTATCTGTAGATCTTAATTTTTAAAAGAGTTCACTACTGTTGTGAGGCTAGCTAAATATTTTGGCCCCTGAAAAATTTTGTTAAAGCCTGGAGGTTTCGCTGCTAGACATCCAAACTTTTCTGTCATTTACAAGGCAAAATCTTCAGGCTTGCCATAATAAATTTCCTGGCAATGTTAACCGGGTTTTTAAAAGTCGGCCCAAATCGACCCGTTTAACGGTACTAAAAAATGATTTAAGTATTCGAAGAGTATATATTTTTGTTAAAATAAACGGACTGAATATTTTTCTCAGATAGCACAATAATGCTTTATATACATCTATTAGCGAAGCCTCGAATTTAGGCAATATTTTATCTGACTAAAATATTGAGTCGAGCCGTGTAACAACACTACTACTTTATTCCCAAAATTAATAACTAAAATAGTAGCGGTCTTATCTATTAAAAGTTTAATTCTTCAATTTCCTTATATTAAAGATCCGGACCCGGTCGGACCTTTTGTTTAAAAAAAATTTAGTTTGGGCTGGGTCGGGCTTAAATTTATTAAATATACCGGGGTCGGAGTTAAACGGCTCAATTTTTTAAAAACAGCTGATCCAATAATTTTAACCAAAACAGTATTGCGTTATCTAGATTAAGTTGTTGGACATCTATCAGCAAAAAAGAAAGAATTATTGGCTATAATATTAGGTTAACCATATTTAAAAATAGAGCGAGGTTTACAACACTAGAGCACAGATCTAGGGAAATTCCCATTTCCTGGAGAGGGAAAAAATTTATCAAGACTAATTATTAGGGTCTGATATTTTATATGGCTTCTTGCCCGGAATTATTTTTATTCTCAGTTGTTAAAAATAATTTTCAAGATGAGATTGAAAATGAGCAACAAATAAATTTTAAACGCTTCCATCATATGTTTTCCACTCATTGTTCGTTTTTTTTGTTTCCTAATTTTATAATTAATTCCGCATTGATGTGATTGTTCGCTTCCCAGAAAAATCTCTAAATTCGGTGAGTTTTTTTTGTTTACAAGAAAAGATAAATTACCATCTTAAATAAAATTTTTTTAGGACTACTTCAAAGCCTCATCTCAAATTCGTAGGCAATTATATATATATTAAAATAAAATTTTATATTAAAACCAATGTCATATAATAATACCTAAACTGAAGATGCATTCATTAAAAGTGTACATCAATGAAAAACAGCTGGGAACGCCATTTTGGTTACCCGTACCATTATTAAAAATTTTTAACGAGAGGCCAATCTATTCCTATGTCTGGCGTAAACTTTATTAAAGAATTGCCTGAATCATCGAGATAATAAGGAAGCAAGTTATCAATTTAATCGTAGTTTTTAACATGAGTATAATTATTATATGGGTTACCAAAATGGCAGGTTCAGCTGATTTGAATTCAGCGACGCTTTCAACTGCATTATTATGAATGCATCTTCAGTCTAAGTATTATTATATGTCATTGATTAAAACCTCAGATTTGGAATTAGGGTAAAGCATCGAGACCTTATTTTGGCGGACATAATATCTTATAGCCAAAATCTCTATGTAAATTTCTATTTATATAAATTTGAATCCTTAAATGTAATAATAATTTTAAAAAAAACACATATAGATAAAACTTACCAAAATGAGCAAGAAAAATTGATCAAATTTGCCATATTTATGAAGAACGCCGAGTTAATCGCGGAACATAATTTGAAGCATCTCAAGGGATTGGTCACCTACAAACTCGATTTCAATGTTTACGCCGATTGGGTTAGGACCTTCTTTTTTAAAAAATAATTTTAAACTGTTTTTTTGTATATATATATAAGGACAACAAAGAGTTTGTGAAAGTTCACAACGGGATGAAACCAGCCCTTGCAAGGAGACCCAAAAATATCCTGCAATATTCGTCAGGAGTATGGTTCAAACCTCATCCCAACTTCACCATCTCACCGCCGTCCGATCTCAACACATCCGTCGATTGGAGACTTCTTGGAGCCGTTACTCCTGTCAAAGATCAAAGACACTGTGGATCTTGTTGGGCTTTTAGTGCCGTAATTTTTTTTTAAATATTCTTTATAAAATGAGAATTTGAAGACATAAAAATGAATTGAATGCCAAAAAAATACCATAATTGCAATTCATTTCTAACTGATGTCAAAATTTAATTTTCTATGATTTTTATTTATTTAATAAATAATTGTTTTTAATATTCTATGGAGGAGAAGTCGTTAATAAAGTTAAACCCTTCTCGGTGGGTAGAATTAAAGTGTCAATTTCTATATGTATTTTCTCATCTGTTTTGTCATCTAAAAAATATCTATCCCGATAAGACAAAACAGATGAGAAAATACGTATAGAAATTGACACCATAGGGATCAAAAGAAGAGAATAAACTTTTATCGTATGTAAGTTATACCTAGTAAAGATAAATTTTAAATGAGGACAAAATAAGAAATATTTTTAATTATAAAAAAATGACACTATTGATAAATTAGGATAAGAATGATGAGAGTTTTATAGATCTCAGCAAGCAATTATTGAGTATCATAGAATTACAAACTATAATTAAATATCTATAACTACTTAAAGTTTAATTGAACATCATCAACTTAAGAAGTTGATGCTTGTGAAGGGGAGTAATTTTTTTTCGTAAAGTTTAAAGTTAATAGCTAGCAGAATTCCTGCACAATTATCTAATATACTTCTTCCGTTGCAATTTGGGGTTGGTACGAGCTTAGGCTGTGAAGCAGCTGCACATATAACGCGCATTTAAGCTCAAAATACCACAGCTGCCCAACATCTTGTAAAGATCGATTTTACAAATGCTTATAATAGTATTCATAGACAAGTAATAATCTCACAATTTATAAAACATTTCCTACTTTTAACAAACTATATCCTCTCGTCTTATAAGAAACCATCACATTTGGTATTTGGCCATCATATCCTAACTCTCTTCCGAAGGTATTCAGCAAGGTGATCCTCTAGGTTCCATATTATTTTGCCTTGGTATCCATGATTTGATTACTAAAATAAACAATGACTGCACGATACCCTTACACTTATGGTATATAGATGATGGGGTCATCTCTGGCGAATCTGCAGAGGTGAAAAGGCTATCAATATTATTAAGACTTCTACTGACAGCCTCGGACTCGTAATTAATCAAATCAAAACTGAATACTGCGTTATTAATACAATTCCGCAAAACGTTTTTGGTTTTAAGCATGTCCCCTTGAAAAATCTATCACATTTGGGCTCTCCCATTGGTGAGGAGTCAGTGAATTCTTTTTTTAGCGATATGGACGATATCTTTAAAAATTTAAAACGCATTCTTCCTTCGTCTCACAAGGCCTTTTTTTTAATTCGGAATTTCTTCAACATCTCTAAAATCCTTTATGTCCTACGATCGAGCGCATTATTTTTAGAGAGGGAGCATTTAGTGAGATTCGAAACCAGAATAAAAGTCATCCTTAGCCACTGCTTAAATATCAAATTTACAGACCTAGCTTGGCATCAAGCCACACTTCCTTTCAAACATGGCGGCCTTGGTATAAGATTCCCATTGTCGATCTCAATATGTGCCTTCATTGCCAGCCACCTTCAGGCACGTATATTAATTGTCCAACATTCTGTCGGTTCACGATCCTTTTTTGAATACAGCTAAGATAGAATCGGCAAAATCCGTCACAACCTCAACCCTATTTCCGATCTCTGTGAAGCAGAAGGATTGGGATTTACCACTTGTGAAAAATGCCGTTGATTACCTTATTTCGAGTCTCACCATTGGCTAGATCCACATTTATTGAACTAATCAAAGATCGGGGATATGAATTTTTAGATATTATTCCATCTACCAATCTCAAACTCGAATTGGACAACCATGAGCTCAGTTATGCTTTATGTATCAGGCTCAACATTCCCTTTTCATAACCATATAAATGCAGCAAATGTCATACTGTTGATGACAATATGGCGCTTCATCCTTTACATTGCAATCGTAATCCCGGCCGCCAAACTCGACATTTGAAATGCAATTAAATTATATCTCTTGCACTTAGGTCGGCTGGTTTTCCTATCTCAATGGATCCTTCTGGCTTATTTTCCGATAGTAGGCGTCCTGGTGTGGTCACACGTATTCCATGGTCTCAAGGAAAGTTTTTAATATGGGATTTCTCTTGTGTGAACACTAACCCCCCCCCCTCTAATTTTAACAAGGACGCTGAACAGAGCTCAAAATTTTAAGATAAGCAAATACAGCGCTGATTCCTCAAATTACATATTCATACCCATCATTTGCTCCACCTTAACAACATATGGTGATTTGGCTAAAAACATTTTTAAAGACGTTGGCCGCCTAATCAGAAAAAATTCTGGGGAGCCTCGCGAAGGTTTTTACTTAAGGCAGAGGATCGCAATAGCCATTCTTAAGGCTAATTATGTTTGTTTTATTGATTTGATCTCTCCTGATGATTAGATGAAGGAGGTTCTGAATAATTTCTGCTGCTTTCGCTTTTATTTGTTTATTTAGTATTATGCCTCAATATTGTCCTTTTGTTAGATTTTTTTTTCATAATTGTTTACTAATTATAATAATTATATATTTTTCAATGATGATTTATATAAATGAAAAATATTACATTATTTATTCTTCGTTTACGAAAAAAAAAACAAAGACTGGCGCTTTGGAGGGCCAATATTTCATCAAAAATGGCTATACCGACTTAGTGAGTCTCAGTGAACAAAACTTAGTGGATTGTTCCTTCGCATTTGGCAATGAAGGCTGTAACGGTGGCCTGATGGATAACGCTTTCGAATATATCAAGGTAAACAAAGGGCTGGACACAGAAGAGAGTTACCCCTATAAGGCTACGGTAAAAAAAATCAAAGATTATAATTATATTTACTACCCCCCCCCCCCTTTATTTAAATATTGGCCAAATTAATATTAGGTTTATTTATGGTTATCTTGTCTAGGTTGTATATACATATTAAAAATTATAATATAAATATTTAAACCTTAATAAGCTTAACGGTGGAGTTGTTATTTGTTCCTTAAAAAAATCGGTATGCATTATATTTAGGATGTCGAATAAGACAAAAAATAAAATAAATAGAAATTTTTACGTTTTAAGAGAAAGTAAAACATCCTAGAGTAAATATCGTCTGCTTCTATGGTTGCTTTTTCCGTTTTTCATAAAAAAAGTGACGCATAAAATTAAAATTTTTTTTTAAAAAAAGGTTCAAAATTTTATTTGAATATAATATACATATTTATATATTCATCATATATTTTTGAATTAAACCGGTTCAACATTATTTATAACAGTCGGTTCGATCTTTCTATATTTTCTTTATAACGGTTCGGTTACGGTTCGAAAAATTAAAACGGTTTGTTCCAATTTAGCGGTTTCAGTTCTGTCTGAAACCCTGGTTTTAGGGCAATGAAAATTTTTTCAACATAAAATAACGATATGGGTATCAAATAAAAGGTAATTAAAATATCTCACGATTGCAATAATTATACTCTAAGTATGTTTGCATAAAATTTATATTTAATAAATTTGTTAAATTGTAAGCCTTAAAAAAATTTATGAATTTCCTACCAAAAGTCCTTGGCCGAAAGCACTGTCCACTCATCCTATAAGATTTTATCATTCTAATAGCGATGATTGTAAATAATTTTTAAACAAATTAATTACCATTCTTGCACCGAACTCATTTTTCTAGTTCCAGCTCGATCCTGGAAATTAAATTTTTGTGCCACAGTTTGAAGAAAAAAAATATGATATAATTTTTTTTAGAAAATCTATAAATTATAAGGCTCGAGGAAAATATAAAGAATAATTAACTCTTTTTCTTAAGGAGAATATTTACAGAAGCATTGATATCACCACAATTCGTTTGAATATCTGTTAGGGTTTGACCGATTCGGGGTCTTACATGTCATCAGTGAACCATTTTTAAGTTTATATACTACGTCAAATCCTCTCGATAATAAAACGCTTTTTTTAATTTTTCCAGACTCCAATATTCATTTATCTATGCATCCTTAAAGAACCTCCAATTTATATTAAAATTAAATGTGATTTATAACACCCCCCCCCCCCCTTCAACCCTATTACCTCTACCATATTCAAAAGGAGTCGATAAAATGTCTATTTTCTCGTTCCGATGTTGGAGCGAGTGATTATGGTTTCGTAGACTTACCTGAGGGCAACGAATGGGCTTTGGCCGAAGCCGTAGCCGGTATAGGCCCCATCTCGATAGGCGTAGACGCTAGCGGATCGACTTTCCAATTCTATAAATCTGGTATAATTTTTTTAAAAAATAAAATATGTGATATCAAAAATTTCTTTATGATATTCATAGGTCACGTGTTTCTTTAGCAAATTTTTTTAAAAATCTTTTATGGCGCGCCTACATTAAAAGATAAATTATTTCGCCGGAATAGTATTTTTAAGAGTAGTTATGGTTCCAATTTAAAGAAATTGCCGTTGCAACAGACGATCTATTGAAATTCCTATTCATCTATTTACAATTGACTGTGTCAGATTTTTGAAAAGTTATTAATAAACCTTATTAAATTTTGTTAAAAAAATCTATTTTTTAATATATCCTAATCTAATTAAACTTAACCCATATCTCTTTAACCTTTAATCCTACATCTTACTTCAAATACTTGTTTAAATTTAAATATATCTCATTCGATCAAAATATTTCCTTCAGTTGAACATTCCTTACGTTAGAGCTATTATCGTATAGAGTACGCCTTACATATCTCAGACAAAATTTATTAATTTTTGACACATCGATTTTACATGTGATTAACACAATTCGACTTGGCCCCTGTCAAAAACTTTTATTTATGCGCTTTAAACAAAAATGGTTGAATCAAGATTTTTTTTTATAATAATAATTCTTACAACATTTATTTATACAACCATAACAATTTCTAGATCTGAATATCGCATTATAATAGATGCTATGGGTGCTAGTTAGGTAGTTAACTTACACCCAACATTATATTATTCATAATATACAAATAATATCATATGATATATTCATACATATATTTCGATAATATCAATAATAACTATAATATTTATACCTTCCACATTACTACAATTTTTTAACACCTTGAGATTTCGCATATTGTGGAAAGGCTTTGAAATCTCAGGGGCGATAATGTTCATCAAGCTTACGACTCATAAAGAAATATGTTAAAGTAATTATTATGGTCAAGGAAAAAGAAATGTAAAAACCTTAAGAATTAAATTTTTTTACCTTCAACTAGGTATAAATAAATAGCTTGGGTTCGTTTTTCCATTGAACTTTTAAACATAACCATGATTTCGGTATTTTATTATAATGTATGATCCGAATCCCAATATATATTAACAATAATTAAGCGTATTATTTGATTAAATATTCCACAATTTAATAATATTTTTATATGATTAAATTAATATTACTCATCGAGAGCTAGGGCCAACAATTTTAATCAAATTGATTTAAATAATGACTAAGATCAGGGACTTTAATTTTTCTTTATTTGTTCGTATTTTAATATACACTGGTTTTTTTTCTAACAAAACAGTTAATTATTATTTGCATATAATATAAATTTACGGAGAGTAAGTGTTTTAATCCTTAAATGACTACTTTCTTTATTAAGATAGTACGCAAATTTCTTCTGCACCGATTGTTAAAAAATATAATGGCGGCGACTTATAAAAATGTCTTTCTTCTTACTATATATTCATTTTTTATTTTACAACAATATTCGTAATCAGTGTCACATTTAAAATTAAGATCGTTTGCTTCTTCTTTATTAGTATTTAAGAATTGCTAAATGATTTAGTCGTGTTTGATCGTAAAAACGTAAATACCTATTATTCCTGAAAACGACCGCCCCCCCCCCTTCACACCAATAAAAATTTGTTAATATGAATGAGAAAGAAGCCGGCGTCTATGATAATTATCTCAATATGTTATCCTCATCTGATCGATTTGTACTACTACTATTATAAAAGAAAAATAGGCGTTATTTCTTTTTATTTCCCTGCGAAATGGTTATTTCTCGATTTAAAAGTTGGAATACATATAACAAACAGCATAATTTCAAATGTTGCACTTCTTTCTTTAGGTAAGATGATCTATCTAGTAATCTATTTTTATGGGTTTGGATTATATTCTACTAAAACATAATCGAATTTATATTTTCTTATGTTTATTTGTAACATTTATAATGTAATGAAGAGAAAATTGTTTAAATATATACTTCATAATTTGTCTAATAATTTTATTTAAAAAAATTATACATTTGGATACTTAGTTTCAGTATCAGTATTATTTCATTTAAAAAAAAAATTTAATGACGAAGTTTAAGAACTAATAATAGTACATTGTCATAATTTTAGGTAGGGGAAATGTGCCATGAATGGCCATGTTTTTGCTTTTGTGCAAAAAAAAGGTATTAATATTTGGTTTTAACCAAGCAAATTTTATATCAATGTGTAGCCTAATTATTAATCTTTAAAATAAAATTTGAATCAAAGCTCTATCTATAATTGTTTATGAGCTAGGTGAGGTTATGTGAAAGTTGTTTGGCCAGTTAAAACATAGTATGTATTGACTGGCCATTAATATATTATTAAAGAATTTTATTACAAATATGAAATACTTGCAAAAGACCTATCTTATATATTTCATCATTTTTTAGGCATATAAAAATTTATATATATACCTAATTTAATTAGTATTAACATCTATTATCATCCACTTAATGATAATATTTTATAAATTAATATCTTAATTATCTTTTTGTTAAATATTCTTATTGCAATATAAAATTAACCACTTATGAATTACGCCATCTAACGGAAATTTTTTATGATTTTAAAAATTTATTAGGCCTGTTACATTTTTTTATATAATATATCTGTTCTATAAATATTATAAATTTGTGGACTACTTTTTCTTCCATATTCTATTTTATATGTTTACATAATTTTAATTGTGGATAAATTTGATTTATATAACAAAAACATTTCATTTATATTTTTAAATAACCATTCTCAGTTTAACTATCAATTCTCAACACCTAAATATTGTTTAACGCAAGCTTTTCATTTCAATATGAATGTATGAATTTTTGCCAGTCAATGCATGGCCAGACAATACTCACTTATTTATTATTATTAAGCGGCTTTATATGTCTATTAAATATTAAAATTTTTAAAGTCTAATTTTTTGCGTGAATAATGCTAAATTCCCAAGGATAATTTTTATATAAAATAACAGTAATCTTTTAGTAATTTTTTTCACGAAACAAAAAAAAATGTGTAACGTGATTTTTCCAGAAAGAGGTACTAAAAACAGTTTATTTAAAATATTTTTTTATATTGGATTGCTCTATTTAAGAAAGGAACTAAAAGGGAAGGTACATATCATAAATTTACACTTTTTGACCAATTTTGAGATGAGGAATTGGTCCAATAGATAAAAGTTTAAGGGTGGTGGCCAGTCTTCAAACATGACCATTTATGGAACATTTCCCCTACCTTTAAGGATTCATCTTAATTTACAAATCAACGTATTTCTTAAATATTATCATCATCCTTTTCTTATTTATAGTTGTTCATAAACTTAACCAACCGACTAATGCGCCTCATTTATCTCGTGTTGGAGTCGTTTTTTGACTATAAACTAAGCTCGAGTCGCAGAACACTAACTATAACTGTTGGTCATGTAAAATTTCAACTTTATTCAACTTGCGTTATCTGCTCTTAAAAAATAAGTTATATCTAAAAAAATACAATTAAAATTAAATCATTTTCAGTAATAACGGCTAATAAAGACCATATATTAAGGTTTAAAATTAGCTGAGGTCTTAGATCGTAAATTATGCATGAGGGTTACATTACATGACTTACAATCTTATGTAAGTTGTGGAATATATAACCACTAATTAGCTTATTTATTTGTCATCTTATACAATGTTTCTCTATGGAATTCAATTTACATTTACAAATTATATAAAATACCCGAAATCATGGTAACCAATTTATAATTCACCTTGTTGAATTAATTTCGCGATAGAATTACTTTCGCATTTAGTTATGAGCCTTTTGTATTTTCTTCTTTTTTTTTAATTTGACTTTTAATTACAATACCAAAATACTTTTATATCATAGCAGTCACTCATATTTATCTCCGTATTAATTAATGGTGATCATTAGTTATTCGAATGAATAAAAATCCTGAAAAGAAAAAAAAGAATGGGAATTAATCTGGGTGACTAAATAACTCAACTCCAAAACTTATTTTTTTAAAAAAATATTTTTCTAAGATTATAAGGATTAACACTTTGGCTCTCTTAACTGTAGCAATACTTCGTTTTATTTCTCCCGCGCTTAATTTTAGCTATCCTTAAACCTTTGCTTTTTTTCTACTAATATATCCTAAGCCGTAATAACTTTAGTTGATATTTATATTTTCTAGATAATTATAATTGGTCTTTTCTTATTAGAAATTAATTAAATCATTGTTTATACATTTATTTAAAATGGAAGATCTCATTTTAAGTATTTCACATTCCTAACACTTTATTTATTTTTTTTGTCACGTCACATTTCAAGGTATATATGAAAGCAATTTATGCTCCAGCACCCAGCTAGATCACGGTGTGCTCGTTGTTGGTTACGGTTCCGAACTCGGTGTCGATTATTGGATCGTTAAAAACAGCTGGGGAATTAATTGGGGACATGAAGGTTACATTAAAATAGCCAGAAACAAGGAAAATATGTGTGGAGTAGCTTCGCAAGCTAGTTTACCTATAGAGAAAAAAAATGAGGTTATTTAAAAAAAACTCTCAATCATCACTTATTATATTTTCTAAGGCAATACCAAATCTTCGAGCGCATTATATTAAAAGATGGCAAACCATAAATTGAGTTGTCAAATATATCTCCTGATTGCTAGCCTTTGCATTATTAAAATTATTTTTGTCTATAATTACTAGTTGATATATTAATTCTGAATAATTTCCATATTTTAAAGTTATGATGGGCACATTAATATTATATTTAAATTAATACTTATAGTTATATTTTTTGTTTAATTTTTATATAAATACCTTAAATTCTCGAATATCTTGGCGTGGCCTTAGCCTTAAAAAAAAAATTGAATTTTTAAATATTATTTTAAAAATTTTCCTTTAAAATCATTCTGATTTTAATTATATTGTAATATTTTAACCTAATGCAATATATTAATAATATTATCCAGGTATGGAAATGAATACGAGAGAACGCTGAAAATATCTAAAATTTTTTTGTTTTATAATTTTTTATAAATATAATTATATTTATCGTAGTTGTAACATTATTTTAAGTATATCTTGCTTATTATTCTTCAAAGCAATCTTACTTTATATGTATATTATTAACATATATATTGTTTATTAATTTAATATAGTTTATCTCAATAGTTTTTTTAAAATATATTTAGAAATTTTTTACATCATCTAAATTTAATATTTTTTAATCCAAAAAATTAGTAATATAATTTGTAAAATATAATATACATATTTTATATTGTATATCAAAAATGACATTTACTTCTAATAAAATAATTTTATCCAATAGTAAAATATAAAATTTTACTTTTAAACATAATTTGAGAATGAGATTTTGATCATAAATGTTTCTTCTAATTTTCTGCTGACTAGTCTTATAGGCCTAATACTACCAGAAATAAGAAATAATTCTATTATTAGAATATATTCAAAAAGCCATTTTTAATGAGAGTTTAATTTAATAACATAATTTTCGATTACCGAGTGAAATTAAAAAAACATATAAACCCGAATTACATGTGTGATCTCATTTTTTTTTTCTTTTTCTGCCATTATATTTTTCACTCTTCTATTGGATATTATCTTAGAGAGTATGTACTGTTTTTGGTAAGATAAGTCAATGGCCTTTGCGGTTTGCCAATACCAATGAATCGCGAGCGTTAATTTTCTAACGCGATCCATGATGGCCTCGCATATCGCTATATCGGCTTCCTTGTGCATTCGTTTTACTATCTTTCGTATATGCTTCAGCACATGACTTTCGTTTGCGGTATTTAGGTTCCCGTAAATCACTTATTAGACCTTTCTTTAGATTATTTACATTATGTCAAAATCTGTTCAATGCACGAGGTTATGATAGACAAGGAACAATTTATACAACGCTTTATCATAATCAGTGTATACAGGAGAGACGGGTGAGGGGATTGGGTAGAAGCGTTGCCAATTATTTTTTAAGGGAGGTAGGAATCCAAAGGAAGGAAAATAAAAATAAGCACTATTTGATTAAAGATAAAAATGACTAATAAAAATTTAAATTGATTAATAAATATTTATTTCTCTTACATATAATATATTTTTACAAATTGAAGTGTAACAACTAATTGATTGTCATCAGCTAATGATTATTTATTATTCTTAACCTAAATAATCATGAGACCTGAAAGAGTTTAATTGTTTTGAGGTTATTAAGGTGGTTCATTATAAGATTTTTTAATTAATATCACGAGTTGTTAGAACATAACAGGTGAGAAATATTTTGGCAGAAGCTTTCGAAGTTTTTTATGGGGGTAGGGGTAGATTTTGGAAGGGATTTCCAATAAATTTTCTGTCATGTTGACGCTGATTGTAATGATCTTTACATGAAACAAACGAAATATAAATTTGTAGAGCAATATCAAAAAATCCTTGCACCACTCGCTATTGTCTTAGATAAATTATAACCAACATATGCCATATTATGGGCAGTAGCTTTTATTCAACTTAAGATATTTAAAGAACAGCTTAGAAAGTTACAAGCGCATCAACTTCCCTCAACAATTTTCAATTATTCAACTCGACTTAAAAGAATTTAGAAAGGAAGTGGAACCTTATAATCAATTTTGATGGGGTATAGATGACACAGATTATTTTTAAAATCTATTTGTCAATGAAGCTCTACCGCATAATAAAATTGCGAAGAGTCATTCCCCAATTACAATAATCAATACCGATCAGCAGATGGACGACTAATTTTTATATAAGAATATTTCCATTATCTGAATCATATGAAGTTTTTAAAAAAATTAAATAAATTTGGCAGTTCTACAGTATTTTAGAGACCCTTCTTATAAATATGGAGTTACAGAGTTTTTGATTTTCCTAGTCTCCCAAATTTAAAGAGAAATTTAAAATCCTCGTTTTTTGATTAGCTTACTTTAATGATATAAATTTAATTGTGAAACAAATCTTGAAAATTATTTTTGCATACTTATAGATTTTACTCATTTTTAGATAAATATAACAAAATTAGTACGAACATAGGGTTAAATTATATGAATAATCTATAATAAAAATAATTAAATATATAATTTAAATACCTTTAGTAATAAATCAGATTACCATTCATTCCAGCATATAATAAATTTTTTAGTAACTTAGATGATAAATTTAAAACAATAAAAAGTAAAAGTAATAAAATAAAATAAAAAATAATCTAACAAATGAAAAGTCACAAAAATATAATAAATGGTTATATTGATAATAATTTTTTTCTTTCGTAAATAAAATTTCTAATTTACTTAATCTAATATAAATACTCCTTGGGACCTACGAATCACGGCCCTAATGAACTTCGGGGCGACCTTTTTCTAAAAATAATCACGGGTTCAGACTTTGGTACTAATATTTTTTTAAAAATTTTTTTAAATAGGATATCAATAAATTTTGAGGAATAAACTGATATATTTAAAATTATTGCAAAAAACAAGGGGCCAATTTTTAAATGTAGGTTATTATTTTTACAATTAAAAAAAATATTGAATTTGTATATATTTAAATAAATTTCAGGTCAGGTTGTGAAGACAAATAATTTATAATTACTTAGGGTCGAGCTTTATGGGGCAAATAAAAAAAATTTTGTTTACGATCAGGCAGGACAAATTATTAGAAAATTTAGGGCTTGACCAGGATACAAAAATAAGATCTGATGCAAATTACTAAGTCACATTAATAATGAAATTATATACAAAATCAAATCTTATTCAACTATCACAACATTAAACAATTATTTATAAAATACAGATTATTATTGCTGTATATCAAATAGAACTCCTATTCAATTTTGGAAAAAAAGCTTTAAAGTAAATAGTAGAGGATAGTTGCCCCCAATGAATTACACTAATGTAGACGAGTTGTATTTGTATCAGACGTAGCCAGGACTTTGCTGGGGGAGGGCATTATTAGTTAGGGTTTTTTTCCCATACGTTTTATTGGAGGTCTTTAGGTCCACATATTGTAGGCCTTTGGTCATATTATATTTCTTTTTATAAATTTGGGTTTTAAGTATTTTTATGAAATTGCTTTTTCTAAAAATTTTAAATTATAATAAAAGTCATTAACTTATATTTATTTTAAATTCCTTTTTATAGTGATATAAGGTGAGAGTGAGTGTGATGGAGTAGAGGGAAATCTTTTATTCGTTAAAAATGAATTTATAACTTGCAAATTTCCGGAGAAATAATATTCCCCTGACCCCCCCCCCCCCCCCATGGCTACGTTTATGCAGTATTTATAACCTTTTAGAATTTTTTATCGGTATTGGCGTCTATATGTTTGAAAGTTATTATTAACAAGAATGGAAACAAATTTAAAATTTTCGTATTTCGAATATTTTAAGTAATTCTTCTAGTGAGTCATGTAACTATTCATATTTTTCGAATGTGAAATTTAAAAAAATCGTCGATTTGAAATTTGATGTGAGGGTAATCCATATACATAAGATGAAATTTATACTATTATAATTTTAATACATTCATTGAATAATTTTCTATAAGCATTATGTATCTTTATTGTCTTGAAGTTCTCAATTTTAGAATCAAACATCTAGAAAATAATAAAATATTTATTGGAAATTTCCATAATTTGTTTTTTATGTGGATATTTGGAAAACTTTACAGGTGATACATTACCTGTAAAAATTAGAATTCTGTTTCAAATGAAGAATTCTAAAGAGGACGTAATTGATTTATTATTAGCCAGTTTACAGAAAAACATTGAAAATCTAACTTTATCCCCTAATTACATTCCTAACCTTAATTATAAAAGTTGTATTTGTATTAATTCCATTCCAATAATTCCTCCAGCTGTAAGATAATTATATATTTTATCATATACATATTTTTTAGATGACTCTCATTAAACTCGATGAAATGAGATCCTTTAAAATAAAAGCTTCAAGCTTAGAAAAAAAGATGCATTCTCAAAAAACATCTCTTCTTTTGGATAAAATTCATTCCATAATTGATAAGGTTTTACTAATTTTAATATATTATTTTATAATTTTTATAGCTAGAACCTAATTTTGATGAAACATTTATTAATTCCACACATTTTGACAAATTAAATCAAGATGACACCTATATTGAAACAAAAACAAAAGAACATCTAAATCTTAATCAAACATTTAAAAACAATGAAAATCTATCAATTTCAGATCAAAGCAGAAATAAAGATCAAAATAGTCAGATGAATATACTTAAAAGACAAAATTTTGATTTTCTCTTGTTAGATGCAGTAAACATGGAAAATATTAAAACATCTGATAACAAAATTAATACCCTTTTTATCGACCAATTAAATTGTAATATTCCTTCTAACAAAATTATAGAAAAAATATCACCAAAATCTAAATCAATACAAAACTCTCTCAAACCAATTAAAACCACTATAAAATATTTGAATACTGAATCTGACAAGATAAACATGAGTAATCATGATAATGATCTTAATAATGGGGAGTCAATATGTGATGAAACCTTCACAAATTTATATAATGAAACTCAAGATAGTTCTCAATTATCTAACTACTTGGACATATCAACTTGGTCAAGTTCTAATGACCATATAGATAATAATCAAAAGAAGGATAAAAATTGGAACTCCAAGTTATTAGTTAAAAATCAAGGGGATACCCCTTCATCAAACATGGTAAGAAGTAGTTCTTACACATTGGACAAACCCTCACCTGTATTACTGGCACATCTTATAGACACAGCCGATATTCAGGCCAGGTGTCAGAAAGGGTCACAAATTTACCTAAATAAAGAAATAATACCCAACAAAAATCTTGAAAATAAAATAATTCACGATAAAGACAATTTTTTGAACCAAAATTTCTCCCAATCATTACATGATACCAACCAAAATGTAAACATGACAAAAAATAAAAAATTTGTTCACTGCAATGGCCATGTAGATTCATTCCTCTCAAGTAACAATATGAGAACATCTTCTCCCATCAACTCCTTACCTTCATCCGATGATAAATCTTATATCTCGACTGAAAAAAAAGTTTCCCCTTTTCTGATATACCTTATATTATTTAATAAATTTAGATAAATAATATAATATCATCAATTCTATCAATCATTTTTGTATTTTAGAACTATATTTCATCTAATCTTTCGGGGAACCTCCAAAATAAGGCGTCTCCCCTAATCGACTCCTCTGACATATACCCTGCCTCGCGTCTATCACGCTCACCTTCAACGAACATTGAGCGAATGAACCGCGAAAAATTGGAGAGAAAGGATTACGAAAAATCTTCGAAATTCGCCGATTCGAAATCTATATTAAACGCTTCCGAAATCATTACGGAAAACATGGGCAAACTAGAACACATGGCAAAATACCTTAATGGCTTGGACCCATCCCCCTTTCCGCTACTCGAAGAGCATTACGAGTCGAACGGCGCGAGTCCCGATTGCGGCTCTTTCAAAAATTTTGCCAAATACGAAATGCGCGATAACAAAAATGGAGAGCATTCTATCAACAACAGGGGGGACTCATACGAATCGGCTTCCCAAAACGACTGCAAAGAGACTAATGGTGGCTGTGAAATGAGAGTCAAGTTTTACCCAAGGAATCTTTGTGATTCTGGTTTAAAAAAAATAATTGATATTATCATAAATATATAAATATGTTGAAATTGAGTAAGATACAGTTAAGATATCTAAATTTAAGTTTAGGAGGGATCCGCTATTTGGCTATTAACATAAAATAAAGATCCTCAAATACAAATAAAGGAATAGATTTATATACCGAGAAATTATTTTCGCCACATCGCATCCAACATATTTAATTTTTCGCCAATGACGAAAGTTTCTTAAAGATGCAAATTCGTTATATATAAAAAAAACTTAGATTATATTTGAATTGAATACCGTTTAATAACCAAATCACAAAAATTAACGAAAAAAATGGCAAATTGTTTAGAATTAAATTAATGTAAGAAGAGGAAGGAAGTAAACAAATTTATTTTTTTTAAAATCTTTGTCCAAAATATCCAAAAATTTGATTCGCAAACTTTTGAGACTTTATCGAAAAAAGCCGAAATGTGCTCTTGTGCTCTTGTTTTAAAAAAAAATTATAAAAATGTTCAAAATATATATAGAAAATAATTTAACATTAAGAATTTTTTATATAACTTTTGAAAGTTTTAAAACTTTCAAATTTAAAAGATTTTGGACATAGTCTAAAGTAAATTAAATTTGTAATCCTTCATTTTTTTACCCTTTTTAAAATTATATATATATGTATCCTAACCCACACCTAGTTTGGGGTGATGGAACAAGCTGGCCCCAATTTAACAATTCGTCTCCGAGATACTCGTTGGGCATTTAATAACAGATTTCCCTTTTCATCAAACTGTAAATATTTCAGTTTGAAATTATTATAAAGATAATGTTGGCTTTAATAATAGATTTCCTTTTCATCAACTATAAATATTTTCAGTTTGAAATTATTATAACAGATAATTAAAGCTCTTCGAGTTATTTTTTGACAGAGCCCTGCAGAGATAACAATTGCCCGGCCAGACCCGGTTTGATAAGGCCCAGCCTGGATTAAATTTAAAAAAAAATTAGGTATAAAGACATCCGCCCTCAAACCCATTTGCTCCACTTTCGGCTGGATCCCTCCGTATTATTTATTTTTCTGTGGTTACTTTTATTTTGGTGTATATCTTTATATCACCTGCCGTTAAAGTTAGCAATTGGAAGCACTCAACATTATGGCAATGATTCTTGCTTTATAAATGCCCATGAGTGTAGCCCATTATAGTAGCCAGTATAAAGGAGAAAGTATATTGGTGAAATTTTAGCCGGCTTTACCATAAAAAAAGCCACTGGCAGCAATTATTCTGAAAGTCTTATCGTATGTTTAGTGCTTAATGGTGCAAATAATAATAATCCGTTTGATCAGACTATAAGAAAATAAATTAATAGCAAAATATTTCAAAAAAATTGGCATCTTACCAAAATGAAAAATATAATCTGATTTATACTAATATTTAATGCCTTTCTGAAACAGTGTTGTAAACAAAATGAAACTAATCTTTTGGAAACACTAATTCTGAAACTTACCCTGTATTCACAGTTAGTGCATTCGCGTTGGCATCATGCTAGAACGAAGAATATAAAAGTTCTAAATATCTGATTTGCGTTAATCTTTGGTTTACCTAACATGCTAATTCTTCAATCAATTTCGCTAGCCGCAAAAAAAAGATTACCCAAATTACCAGCCAAATAATTTTGACATCACTCCCTTAAACGTAAAGTCAGCCAAACTTAAGCGATAATTCTGAAATTTATATCAATAATTAGTGCGTAATTTAGTAAATTTTAGTTGCCTCAACCCGTTTGGTAGATGGTTTAAAAGGAAAAAAATATTGGCCAAAAATTTTTTTTCCAAAATTTGTCATCAATGTTAGGAACTTAGTACCTGGGTGAGCCAGTTATGTAATGCCTGATTAGTCCTTATTCTTCAATCAGTGTTTTTCTAGTGGATAAAAACCTGTTATAAGCGAAACAAAAATGGGGGCATGCCTTAGGCTGAGTCGAATATCGGATTTTTAAATTTCGATTCAAAAAATCAATATGCCCATTTTAAAAGAAGCTTAAAATTCCGGCCCAGGCCCACTGGGAAATATAATACAGGCTGATCTGGCTAACGGAGGTCTCCCCATCATTAACAGTGTCTAAATTTAAATATCAGAATAACATAATCATCCTACATACAATACGTAAAATCAAAAGTACCACCATAGGAAAATCAATTTATTTAAATTGTTGATCTCTCATCATTATTTTTTTGTTGACAAACTTTTATTATTATTTTTTATTATCGATCGAATAATGATCCTTATTCCGGTTCATCCTAATTTATATTCAATGAGGAAAACTTTCTTATAGGTTCCGGCGGAGTAAGGGAGGATCTCTGACAAATTTGCGGATAGTTAAAATGTTTTCCAATTTTTTTATTTTTCGATTTATTTTGCAGTTTGGAGCCCTCTCTCCTCCAGGTTCGAAACTTTGGTAAAAAATATCTACCTTACACCCCACCCCCTTTCCCGAATGAATATATTCATTATAAGCAATAAATTTAATAAATAAATGAAGTATATAATCTTTAAAAGAATATTTTTTAAACTAATTCATTCATCTTTTCCACCAAATTAATTTATCATCAATATCATCATTTAAAATAAATGTTTTTTTAAAAAAAATATTGATTGGGTGACCTTTATATCATAACGTTCGAACTTATTTTTGTATCTAATTTGTATCTATAAAAAGAAATGTAACGAGTAAGAGGAAAAACGCTTAAAACTTTACTGCAACTGGTATTAGTTAATAATTTTTTAAAAAAATAATTTATCATATAACTTTTCAAAAAAAAATTAAGGAAAAAACCGTTTTGCCCCAGGCTATTCAGTTTTTGAGCTAGTAATGTTAAAAACCCTATTAAAATTATAACCAAAATAACCATATGTAAGCCTAAAGATTTTGCTCGTAGCTGGCAGAAGTGCTTGGACGGAGATCTATTTGCCCAAATCTTGATGCTTACATAATATTATTTTGGCTAAAATCCGTAATCTGGCCGCTTTGAAAAATAGACCCATATCGAACTTTTTAACAACACTACTTTGAGCTATGGTGCCCCTATTCTGGTTAGTTTTCTGGGCACATTTTATCGGTTTATAAATGGCCTTCTTTTTAGGCTGCTTAGAGGAAGCTATTTAGAATACTAAACAGATGGTTGTTTTAAATAATACGAGCGTTATTTAAAAATAAAATGTAATCCTGCCCAAGGCCTCCTAAATGCGGCTAAGTCTCCTACTAAATGATGAGGGTGAATTGGGAAGGAAGGGGGTGCGCTCCCAAAGCTCGCCTTTATGGAAATCTTAGCAGCTCATAATATATCCTCGCCTCATCTTCCAGAACAGGGTGAAGGTTAGTAGGTGCAAAAGCATGGCTCGCCCACCCGTTTTGGGCATCTCAGCTTGTATCTATTCGAGCGTGACCTAATTGATGACAACACTTTTAAAAAAAACATAAGTTTAAGAGATAGCTATAAGATAGTAAAAATGTAAGAGAGTGGGGGAAGATAGACATTGTACAGTATTAAAGGAAAATAAATATAAAATAATATGTTTGTTTAATTTATAAAATCAATAAATATTAGAAAATAATTTCTTACATTTAGATTTTTTTAAGCATTTTATAGTGTCGAAAAGATAACACCATTTTTTTTTAAACAAAATAAAATCCATTCACATCGAAATAATTTATTTATATATAATATATATAAATTTTTTATATATCTTCGTTCATCGATGCATTGCACTGAGCAAAATGTGTAGTTGTTAAAATTAAATTAATTTTCGGATATTTTTATTTTCTTTCATGGTAGATTACATTTTTTTTTTAAAAGAAATATAAAAATATTTTAAATTTTATAATTCAATTAATATAAAGAAAGAAGTGATAACTAGTCAAAGAATAAAAGGAAGAAAGGAATAAATTATAATAAAAAAAATATTTTTTAAAAAAATTCAATAAATTAGATCTTAACTCTTCGACCCTCTCCTACAGAAAAAGCCTAAACGATTACGGCCAAAATATCGATGGGTATTCTTCTATTAACAACGATCAAAGATCCGTCGTTTCTAATACAGTTTCTCGCGAAGACGAGATTGTTCCAGCGCTCAGGAATCGAAGGAATTCTTTGAGAGTCAAACATTCTAGGAATTCTTACTACGTATGAAAATCAATATTTTTTTAAAAAATTTATTTTTAAACGAAGGCTAAAGCTGAATTTATAGTAAATACGCTATGTTTAAGCTGTGTTTATTTAAAGTTGTCGAAATCACAGCTGATTCTTCATATAGCGTTTATATTTCAGAAATATCATATACCTTTTATTTTATCGAATTCGTAATTATTTTTAAATTCTTATTGCATATTTTTTTATCACCGCATCGCAACATATGTTTCTCAAATTTTAGCGTTATCATCAAAACCTCCCATTCGTAGTTTGCGCGAATTCGTGGTGGATTATTCGAAATACGCTGCATTTTTTATTCGCCGCCGCGATTTCGCGCAAACTAAATGAGTGGACCACGAATTCGCGACAAAATAAGCCGTATTTTTATATACTTATATTTATAAATTATACCTATTTATTGGCTTAATTTTGTAAATAACGCACCGCTCTAACAAAAGTGGTGTTTTGTTTAAGGGGCACGGTTTTTATGTTGTCAAAATCACAGCTGATTCTTAACAGCGATAATTTTTGAAATATGTTTTTTTCAAATTTTATAGCGTTTTTGTCGCTTCGCTCGATATTTATAAATTATACCTATTTATTGGCCTGATTTTTAGTAAATAACGTAGTGTTAAATATTGCACTGCGTGAACAAAGCGCGTTTACTATAAATTAGGCGTAAATAATATACCATAGCTTATACAAATTAATCGAATACCTTAAAATATGGGGAAAATTATTTGGAAAGTAATTACAACGTGGTAAGCAGACGATAAATTATTTTTAAAATTATGGCAAATGCTTCGAAAGACCTAAATTTTTAGAATTTATTTTGATAAGCTCGATTTTTTGAACATTATACGCCTGACTATCGCGTATGTTATTACCCGAAATGACGAATTCAAAGGAGACATATTTTTTTTATAAGAACATTTTTACGTGTATTTAGTGAAAGTCAATCAAACCGATTCTGACCACTTCACATATCGATATAAAGTAGTCGGGACATGACCGATACTAATTTACTAGTTTCATAACTTTTTTTTTAAAAAAAAATTGAGTTATGGAGCAGTCTGAACCGGGGTGAGTAGACCTTAACAAGTTTTGTTTCTAGGTAAAAAGGGAGATTTATAATAGAAAATATTTGACGGGGCTAGATGGACCGGCCTTTAATGGAGATAATTTATACTTTCCCTCTCCCCATCTCCTTAATATAATTTTTTTATGGCTCCTCGTCATTTTTTAGATTTCAATAGTTTTTAATTTTGTCAAAAAAATTGTCATTTATTTATGGGATATGGATGAATAATATACTTAATTAAAATATAATTAAAACTAATAAGACAAGTTTTTCATTTTCGAGAAAAAAAATTAATAATTGTTATTTACTTAATATTAATAATCACATTTTCTTCACTCATCTCGTAAAAAAAAATATATATTCTTTTACCTTCATTTATATATTACTATTTTACATGTCAGGTTAATTATCATATTTTAATGTCATTTTTTTTATGTAAAAAAATTTCTTCATTTTACATCAATTTTTTTATTCCAACATTATATAAAAATATATTAAATTAAACAAGTTTATTTGTAACTAAGTAAAAATTAAGTGTCGTGGTCCTCAAGCCTAAAAGTATTATTTAAAATTGATTTTTAACTTTTTAAATAAAATAAGTGTCGTTCAACGGATCGATTTTTAAAAACCGGCTAACCAAATAACTGAGGAATAGTCCTCATTTCAAAAAATACGAAATCGAATATTTTGTTAACTCAATCGATTGATTTGATATAATTACGAATTATATAGATTATTTCGTATTTTGAAAGTCTTACATATATTTAAAGGAAGAATTAGAACGATTTGCGCTTTATCTTTTACACTTTTAATTAAGCATTTTCTCGTTAATAATAAAAAAAAATAAAATAGTTTTTTTTATTTGTTCATTGTTTTGTTTGACATCAACTCGACATATTGTAATAATTTCATAAAAATTTAATCTTTAGTGTATTCCATTCAATTCCATCACCTTTTTAATTTTTTAAATTTTTTTTTATTAATAAAAGTTTATATCGATTCAAAATCATTTACTACTTAATTATTATTATTATTTATTAGCTTTTTAAAAATAAAATAATTAATTACCATCATAGGTAAACTTTTGTAATGATTACTTTTTTTTTCCTTTCGTTAGATATTTTATATCGCATTTAAAAGTCTTGTAAAGTGACATGTTTTAAATTCGAGGATTATTGCTTCATTTCCCGGAATAAAAATAAATCTCTATAAACTCCGCCGGGAAAAAAAGTTCATTGATTTGAACGGCTATAACCAGTCGAGTGTGGAACGACTTAAAATCCGGTCCGGGTTTGGAGTGTAAAAAATAAAAAAAAACTTTATATTGTCTATCTACTCCTTTTTATTGTTCCTATGAGATTAGAGGGAGGATAAAGCGATTGATGATTTTTTTTGATTAAAATCAAATTTTTTTTGATAAAATAATATGATAACTTTGTACCATTATGGCCAGGAGGAAAATGGGCCCCGAAAGTTATTGATTGAAGATTCATTTCATTACATTATATCTGTTTTCCCGTGGAATTTTATGTAATTATTAATTGCCAATTAGTCAATACATATTTTTTTAATACTTTCTTTGAATATATAATTTATAAAAAAAATAAATAAGAATTTTAAATGTAAGCATAGGCTTGATTATATGTTAATTTAACTACAGTGTTGTGCAGATTTAATTCAAAACATTTCCAAATTTTTTTAAAAAATCGTTTTATAAATAAAATTATTTAACTTTGTAAAAAAATTGATAAGAATAACTATATTTGCAAGTCAAATAATTTTATTTTCAAATAAGTTTTCCAGCAAATCTGGTCAACACTGTAAATATTTATATAAACTACTGAGAATTAAAAATTAATATTTTTCATTTTTCAAACTTGCATGGATGTAGATGAGGAAAATTTTCTCTTGTTAATATCAAAAAATTTGAATATCAAATAATATAATTATAATAAAATAAGGGCAGACCTAAATAATTAATTATAAAAGACTTTTATAATCCCCTTTTCAAATGTAAAAACGTTAAAAATAATAGAAATTTATTGGGAGTAAAATTTAAAAAAAAATATATATTTTAATTTCAGGATATATATGTAATAATTTTTAATATTCATTATATTTAGCAACTTATACCTTTCAATTCGGAATTCTTATAGATCTGCGTAAAAATTCGGGCCGGACAGTAGTGTTGTTAAACGGCTCGTTTTGAGCCGATTTTTAAAAACGGCTAACTCAATATTTCATCCAGAATAGTATTACGCAAGTCTGAATATTTTGTTTGCAGAAGGAACAAAGGTTTGGAGATCTATTAGCGAGATCTCAAGGCTTAGGCAATATTTTTCTGGCTAAAATATTGAGTTAGCCGTTTTAAAAATCGGCTCAAAACGAGCCGTTTAACAACACTACCGGACAGGGCTAACAGACAAGGCGCCAATTTTTATAGATTAATCTCTATATTTTAATCAGATCTGGGCTGACAAATATAAAAAAAAAATTGTTTGGGATCGGGTTGGATTTGATTTAGATCCCAAATTTCCTTTTTCCTTTCATTTTTCATATAAATTTTGAAACAAGAATAACCTTGAATAAAAATATGATTTTTTCTTGTTTCCCATTATTTAGCCCCCACCGATTTTGTTTTGTTTTAATGTTACTTTTATATTAAATTTGTAATTATTTTTTGTCATACCTTAATAACCCTTTTATTGTATATATGTATTTTATTTTAAAGGATAAGAAAAAATTTATTATTTTTGTGAACATAAAAATTATTAAATTGTCGTTGATAAAAAAAAATTATGATAACACGATGCGATGATAGGTTATATATGTTATATATTTTTTTTACAATGATTAATTTGGATTTTTTTATTATTATTTCAGCGACCTTGTCATGTTTTTAAAATAATGATGGTGATTATAAATAATAATATAATTGGTTAAATTAAAATATATTTATATTTTATATGATTAAAATTTTTCGCCCATCTCTAAAATCTTATATTTTATTTTGTAGACCTGGGCCTGGCTAGTGTTTGTTTAAAAGCACTATTTTTTTAAACACGGCTTAACCCAAATATGTTAGCCAATAACTGGCCAGCTTAGAGATTTTGCTCGATGGATGGCAGAAAGATGTGAACTATTTATCAGAGACCTGCAGAGCTACCAGTTGCACTGCACTGATTTTTTTTCAAAAATTATTTTCGGCCATATTATATTTATTTTTGATTTTTATAGGCAATAGATTTCAAATATTTGGTTTTAGAATACACGGCCCGGCCCGGCCCGGATATTTTAAAAAAAAATATTATCAGGCCTGATACAAAAAAATTAAAATATGGCCCGGCCCATGTACCCGGGTTTAGGGCCAGGCCTGCAGATCTTTCTTATTTATTAACAAATAGGGCTTGCGAAATATTATTTTGGATAAAATCGTTAAAAATTGGCTCTGGCCTCAAATTTTATTATAGGTCACCGACTTTTATTGGAATTTTTTTCTTTCAAATTGGGAAAATATATATTTTACACATTTTAAAAGTAAAATTCCCGGAAAAATGATGTACTTATAATCAACGATCCCTCACTGGCTGAAAAGGACGTCGAAAATTCGTTTTTTTAACCATCCCTTCAAAATCTACATTTTGGCACACGGGATAAAAAGAAATATATTTAATGTAAATGTATTGTATAAGAGTAAAAATGTTTTTAAGTTTTTATTTTTACAATAACACTTGGCATACTTTAAGCGGTCCGATTAAGGCCGGACTTATGACAAACTGTCAGTTGGATTGAACTGTGTCCGGTTAATTTTTTAATATCCATCTTCATCCGGTCAAAACATTTTTTTGGATACACGTTTAGCTTACCAAATGCAAGTTGTACAGAAGATTTAGGTTATGTTCAAAACATAAAAAAATTTAAATTCCTAAAAACATGTCTAAAATAAATTTAACGGTTAAGGATTTTATTAAAATTATAAAATTTGCCAAAGTTTTGAAACTTTTAGATTTTTTTTAAAAAGTGATTTAGGACACAACCTTATTTATATATTTATAACTTACATTAATTTTTTTACACAATTTGTTTTTTTTGGATCGATAAACTTAACTTCCTTTTCAAAATATTTTGCTCAATATTTTATTGATACTAAATAAATTTGAGCAAGTTGCTTTTTTCTTACCAAGGCCTTTAAGATTTATGATATTTTTAAAAAGTGGATCATTCATTCATTCATTAAGTACGTAACCCGCCTGAAGGAGAACGCTCGTGAATTATGCGAGGCCCCTCCTCGCATACGTCGCTTGTTACCCAGATAAGAATATTAAAGGGGTAGGAACTAAAAAAATCCCTTCCTAGTGGATTAAATTTAATACTATATAGAATGTAGCAAATAAATGAATAAATACTTATCTTTTGAAATGGAATATTTGATAACCATATTAAATACGTAAACATTTCTTTTTGAAAAGCAGACGATATCGCTATCCATAAATGAGGGATAATTTACTTATATATTTTTAGTTTGAATTCCCAAAATATTAAAACTAAATTCCTAATCAAATTCGGGTTCATATATTTGATCAATCAATTTTGAGTAAATATTGTATACATGATCTTCTCACGCCTCAAGAAGAGACTAAAATATTAGAGGGGAGGGGGAGGCATTTCTTAGGCAGCAAACATATGTCATTTATATTTTTTAAAGTAGAGCTTAATTTTATTTTCACTTTTGGGAAAAAATGTAACTGCAACTAATTGTCATTTTGGAATTGTAACGACAAAAGTAACTAGTTACTTTTAATTTATTTTAATTCATTATCTTTATACGAAGATATTTATTTTAATGCCCCGTTTGCATCACGTGTTCCTTTAGAAATTTGGTTTTTGGAAAAGAACTAGCAACCCTCCCCCCCCCCTCTTATTTTTAGTAAATTTATATATATGTTAGCGTCAAAGTGTTATTTTTTCAACTTTAAATCATTTTTTTGAGAGTTTTTTTTTAAATTTAAAAAATCGGATATTAACCGGAAACGTATTCCAGCATGTTTAAAATACCTATCTTACTAATTGTAAATAATCTTGCCGTTAATCTTTAAATTCATTTATAATTTATATGAAGAGGAAAAGAAACGAATAATAATTATATTAAGTTCCAAAAGTTTATAGCGAAATTGTCTGAAATTTATAGGGTTAGGTATTCCAAATAGTGTTGTTAAACGGCCGGCTAACTCAATATTTTAGCCTGAAAAATATAGCATAAGCCTTGAGATTTCGATAATAGATGTCCAAACCTTTGTTCCTTCTACAAACAAAATCTTCAGGCTTGCGTTATATTATTCTGGATGAAATACTGAGTTAGCCGTTTTTTAAAAATCGGCTCAAAACGAGCCGTTTAACAACACTAAAATTTATAGGGTTAGGTAGTATTCCAAACATGATAGAATACATTTCCCGTAAAACCAGATTAAAAATAACACATTGCCGGAAAAATGCACATTGACGCTATAACATATATAAATTTATTAAGCCCAAATTTTCATGAAATATATTGATGCAAATAAATATTTAATTTCTTACAACAGTGAAAATAAATAATTAAAAATTTTTTTTTTAAAACTTTGATTTATCTATTTTATTTTCCAATAATCGCATAAATTTAAAAAAATAACATATATATATTAAAAAAAACATGAAAAATTTTTTTTTTTAAAAAAAAAGAAACATGTGACCCCAGAAGAGAGTAATGAATACTTAAGAAAGAAATTATGAGGGTAAAATAAAAGGATATAAATTAAAAATTATGGTTCTTGTATAATAAACACATTATTCAAATTTTAAAACCGGACAAAATCATCGCATAGATTGAAAGAAGAAAATATAAAGGAAGTATAATTTATGTAATCCGATCACCCACCTTGAGATCAACTCAAATTCCATATATTCTTTAATTTTCAGGTCTTTTCAGATCTGATGGGAAACGCCCAAGATAGGATTTCTCAAATTCCTTGGAAGAGTGATCGATTCCTGGTCTGGGATTACTCGTACATTTATCCATTGGCTCCCTCCAATTAAACTCCGAATATCATTGAGAAAAAGGGGCAATTAATAGCCAAATATTCAGAAATTTAGCAAAGAAAAACGCATTTATTCCGATAATTTCCACACCACCTTAATAACCTTTTGGGAAATCGCGTTATTATCCTTTTTTTTAAGAACTTGGTTCTCACAATCATAAATTTAACTGATAACTTCCGCCAAGGCTTCTTTCTTGAGGGAAAAATTTAGATATTTGCTATTAACAGAGCTAATTCCACTAGCTTCAGTTCGCGGAAGTTATCCGTAAATTTACGATTGTGAGAACCAAGATCCTTAAAAAAGGATAAAGTGCGATTACCATAGGTTGTTAAGGTGGCGGAAATTATCGGAATGAATGTGTGTTCTTGCTAAATTTCTGAATATTTGGCTATTAATTGCCACTTTTTCGCAATGATATTCGGAGTTTGATTGGAGGGAGTTACTCTTCCAAGGAATTTGAGAAATACTAACTGAACGTTTCCCAACAGATCTGAAAAAACCTGGATATTCAAGAATTAATGGATTTTGAGCTGATCTCAAAGAGGGTGATCGAATTATGTAAATTATATCTAACATTTCGACCTTTACAAGAACGACAATGAAGGCTATGTCTTCCATTACCCTTAACAGTTAAATTGCAACCGGAGCAAGGGTTGGGTTGGATTATTAAACGGTTTAAATCAATGGCGTGAGTTAACTCATGTTGGGTCATTTTTAATTGTAAATTAACCGATGGAATAACTTCGAAAAACTCATGACCAGATCTATTAAGCAGAGGAATAGAATAACGAACGGCCAGATAATTGCATTCTGGCAAGGAGGGATTCAACGCAGCTTGCAATTATAGGCCTATCGCAATTCTTCTACCTATTCGTTTCTGGAAGAGGGTGATCAGCAAAAAATCGCGATTTCCTATCGATAATAACACTATCAAATGAAGGATCAGGTTTTTATAAAATGGAAATTTACTATATTTTTCGTTGATAAACAACTGGATGCCAAAAGCGGCTAAGGCAAGATCGGAAGAAGATCTGATACTTAATCCACTATTCTTGATAGGGAAGCTTGAGTCCACGATAAATTTTTTTTTCATATAATTTTTAATTAAATTATACGATTATTGGAAATAAAATAAATAATTATAATTTATTATTATTAAGTGTGTTTCTCATATTAATTCCTTTGATTAAAGTTTGTAAATCGCCAAAATTATTTTGCACAATTTAAAGGGATCATATTATTTTTAAAAAATGAAATATTTGCATAAAGTAACTCAACGTAACCAGTTACTTTTCAAAAGTAACTTTTAACAACGATAGTCGGTATCCAGCTTATAACTCAATTATTTTAGGAGGGGGGGGGGTGGGGGGAGGAGACTTTACAATACATATAAAATTGATTCCTAGAAGTTTTTTAAAGAACGAGTTCTGGTACTGGAGCAGGACTCTTAGACCTCTCTCTGTTGTGACAGTTCTATATATTTAAAAGTTTTTCGTAATTTATTTTAAACAGAGCAACCATTCCAATAGTAGCAATAAGAGCCTAAACGTCGTGTCCTTAGAAGCGACAAAACTTGCCGCTTACGTGAAGGGATATTTGGTGAGGCGGCTTTACAAGACTAACAAGATTCAGCATTTAAAAACAACCATAAAAGTTTAGATTTAGTTCATTTATAAAAAAATTTTTTTTTATTTTTAAATTACGCTTTAATTTGTTTGAATAAATTAAAATTTAATCGTATTAAATTATTATAAATCTAACCGCAAATGTTTTAAATAATTTAATCTTTTTTTTGAATGAATTATTAATTTAATAAAAAATTAAAATAATATATATATTTTTTTAAAGGATACGCTAGATTGCTTGTATCAAATCAATATAGACAGGCAACACAAACATCGAAATGATTCGCATTCAACCGCCACTCACAACGGGGATTCTAACCATATGGGAAATGCGGAAGATCTTCAATCCTTTATGGATATGGATTTAGTGGAACGCCTCACAGCACAAGTATATTATAAGATTTTTTATTAAAAATCGTTTTTTTTTTAAATTTCGTAATATTTTATATTTCATAAGTTTATAAGTTAAAAATACATTTAAAATATTATATGTAAAAAGCCAAACCAACCGATGAAAATCATTTTTAAACACTGGGCTTGCGGGTTAAACTAGATTTTTAGATAAATGAATGGGCGGTTGGGTGAATTTAAAAACCGTGGGCGGGCGAGCTGTTTAAATTTTTTAAATAGTGGGTTAAAACTCGCCAATGGCAGGCCTATAATCTACACCTATCGTAGCTCCCGCACTGAGTTATAAAATAATAATTCTTGACTGGGCTAAAAAAAAATCTGTCCATGTTACCCCGCATTCACACTTAGCGCGCTCATCGTGAATGCAGAGTAAGAAGGTTAAAAGTCCAAGGCATCGAACTCGACGGAATTTTCAGTTTTAAAGTTTTGTATTCCAGTTCCATTTAAGAGATGTTTATAATCCTATTATTATTACAAGTTTATTGATGGATGGCAATTTGTTTTTTTTTAAAAATACAAAAAAAACTCAAAACAAATAAATTGTATTATATGATTTGTAAAAATTTTAACATTTTTATTATATTGTATATACAAATAATAAGATTAGATTTATAAAAAAATGTAAGATATAATTACCTTTTTCTATAATAATAAAATAATAATGCGATCATTTTTAGTCGCGTTGAAAATATTAGAAATATAATATGATGATGGAGGGGGTAATATTCGCTCAGCTGATTTTCTCGGAAACTTTCTAGAAGGTTATAACTTGTTAAACCCTCCCCCCTTCTCTTTATAAAGAATGGTATAACGGTAAAGATCTTACAGAATAGCGTTGGCTAAAAAAAAGGAATTAAAATATAACAGTTAATATTTGTTCGGGAGATCTGCAACAGCTTCTCTGAAGTAGGGAATCAGATTGAAGGGAGCCCTGAATAGAGATGTAAATTTTCCGGGAAAACTACTGTTAGAGGAAATTTTTTTGGAAAAAAAGGGGAAATTTTCTTTTTAAATTAACATATTAATTTAAACAAATATCATATTAATTTAAACAAATATCATATTAATTTCGATTATTTGGTTCGTTAAAGTTGCTTTTCCCCCCACGAATCGGAGATTTGTTCTTATAAAAACCGGTTACCTGACCTTACCAATTTTTTTTTTTTTAAATATTCCTATTTCGAGATTTTTTGGAATTATCAGTAAAAATTTATAAAGGTATTTTTTTACAGGCTTTTAATTCATAAAAACCAGGGATTTGAACCAGAACATGAATTTTGAATTCTATTTAGTGGAAATTTTGATAACAAGAACTTAATCGAAACCGATTTCCTAAGTGGGGTCCGGACACGCCTCAGGTCCATATTATTCCAGGGTTCGATGAGTTGTCCTTAAATCGGTCACTGTTTGGCCTGTGGTTTTAAAATGCCCAATCAAACAATTTTAAATCCGCGAACATGTTCGGGTTTACATAACTGATAAAAACTTTGCCTACTCAGGGATTGGGCCACGCAAATTTCAAAGAAGTAATCCTATTTTTTTATCTTCTAATTCTAGTGGAGTAGTTTTTTTTCTCCTTAAATGTTGATAACAATGTTTTTGGATTTTATAATAATGCTTTTTTGGTTTTTTTTTTGCTATTAAAAATTTGAAATAGAAATTTATCATTTAAAAGCAAATTAAGTCCATGAACTGCGCACCCTACGCTTTCTATATTTTTTCCTATTTCCTCAATTACTTTATTCATTAGATACATATTGGTCTCGCATGCATATTTGGTCGTCCCTGTTTCAATTGATTTATAGAATAATGCGGTTTGAGGTTGCTATGATAAAATTTATAATGCGTTCACCTCTTATATTTGTTCACCCATCACTAAATAAAGATCAAATCCATTTCATATTCATTGTTTAACAAATGTTTACTGAGTAAATATCTTGAAGGCAATATAAATGTAAGCTTTAACGATTGAAACTCTTTCTTACGATACACAAGTATTATTGAGTTACGGAAGATGGGGAATTTGAACATAAAGACGGCTGTTGCAAATGCAATGTCCCTATAGTTTACTTAGCTTTTCACATGATTCACTATCAATAAAAATGTTTTGTTTGCTCTGTAGTATATTATCCTTGGAAATAATTAACTGATGCACTAAAATTTATATTTTATCTCTATCTAGGCTAGTTAATTAATTTAGACGAGTATTTTTTTTTATTAAAATTTTAATATCCAAAATTGCAAATAAAGTAGAATAATAATTAATTTAGATTATTTAATTAAAAAGCTCATAAAAATTGGTAACGGGGAAACTAAAGGGGGAAATTTCTTTTGCGTTTCAATCCCTATCCTTGAATAATTTACTTCTTTTTCCTTTTATTAAACGTATTTCAAACTGAATTACGAATTTTTTTATTATTATTATTAGTTAGCGTGCGCTCTCGACGAAATACACGAAATTTTTTTCGAGTACCTACCCGCGCAGAAAATGAAGATCATCGAGTTGGATCGTTACGTCATCATCAACAAATTACAAAGAAGACAAGTATTTACTTTAAATTGTTATATATGTTTAGCGGCAATGTTGTTGTTATTTTTTTAAATTTAAAAATGTTATTTTAACCGGAAATGTAATTTCAGCATGTATAGAATACCTACCTTATGAATTGTAGAGAATTTTTTTTGTCAGTGACCTTTGAGTCATTTATAATTTATATATTAAAAAAAGAATCTATGAAAAAACTAATATAAATTATATTCAGTTCAAGCCAAAATTGCCCGATGCCGCTAACATTCATAATATTATATTTATAATATATGCCAAAAAAATCAAGTTTTTCTTGTGCCGGAAGGTAGCACCCATATAAATTTTTAAATTACTAATATGAAAGTTTGGAAACGAAATTAGAAACCTCCGGGGAACCGGGTCTAGTGCAGAATCTAGAACCTTTTGTTAATATTTATAGGAACCGATTCCAACAAGAGTTCAACGAGTACGTTGCGTTGCGTATTAAAGTTTTGAACCGGAACTCAGGAACTTCTACCAAGAAGGACGGGGGGTGGGGGTGGTTAACGAGTGATCTTCATTAAAATGGAAGGGGTGGGATGGGGTAGAAGCGTCATTAGGAAAAAAAAGGGTAGGGTGAGAATAACGTCGGTGTCTTAAATAGGGATGGATGTATAGGTGTTTGCCGAAACATTAAAAACAAAAATGTAAACCGGACGATTTCACAGTAATATTTTATACTCTGAAAACATTATATTATTAGGAATGTTTTAAAAAAAATTAAGGGTTTTTAAAACTTAATCCTTTTGTTAACGACCCAACAGGATGAAGAGCGAAAAAAATTGGCCTTAAAAAAGCAACTGCTAGAAGCGTCTTATCATCATCAACAACACCCTTCTCACTCGAACAACGGTAGTAAAAATAACAGCAATAAGTCGCTGAACGTCAACGCCAATTTTAACGGAAAATATACCGACCATTTCAGGAGGCATAATACTCTGCCCAAAAAATATAAGATACCTCCATCCTTCGGACTAAATTATGTGAATAGGTCATAATATATAATAATATGAAACCCTTGCATTTAAAAATCGTATTTTTTTTTGTTAAGTAAATTTTATATTATTTTTTTTTGTATAACAAATTTCCCTTCCCCTTTTAAATAGCTCAAAATATTTTGATTAATTTTTATATAAAAATTTAAATATTGCATTTTTGTAAGTAATAAAATATATAATTATATTTTTTAAATGAATGTTAATGTTTTTATTTAAATATTTACATGTATAAAATATTCGTGTCTTAAATAATTAAAATAGAGAATTTATGTTTTATTATTTAAAAAACTCTTTTTTTTGTCAATTTTTTCGCAGAATTTTGGTTTTATTTTTTTGCTATACAAATTTATTATTGTATATGTCATTTTTTTAATTTTTAGAGATGAGCATTCTTAAACGAATTTTTAATCTTCATTTTATTATTTTCGTATAATTCTTATTTTATTGTTTTTTCTTTCTTTTTTGATAATCCTATAAAACTTTATATCTCTCCATAATTTCAGTGAACACTTTATAATTAATTTTTAAAGGATTTATTTATTTAAAACCTAATAATAAAAAGATTTTATTATTTCCAATTTTTTTTTATTTTATTTCAAACGGATGGGATGGCATTTTTAAGTGATTTTGGCTGAATTTAAATTCGGTCTGGACACCATATTCATACGAGACGATACGGTATGATTTAATAGATTATCTAACTTATAAAATCCTTTTTAAATGAGATATGTGAGCCTCATTATGTTATTTTTTAAACTTTAAATCATTTTCTTAAACGCGTTTTTTTTTTAAATTTAAAAAAGAATCTGATTTTAACCGGTAATGTATTTCATCATGTTTTGAATACTTACCCTATGAATTTCAGACAATTTTGCCATGAACTATTGAACTTAATATAATTTTTTTTGGAAAAATTATTAATGACTCAAAGGTTAACGGGAAAATTGTCTCTCAATTCATAAGATAGGTATTTTTAAAAATGCTGGAATATTTCCGGTAAAATCAGATTTTTAAAATAAAAATGTTTTTAAAGTTGAAAAAAAATAATAACACATTCTTTCTAAACATATATATATTTTTTTTAAAAAATTAATATTATAACAATATTTATAGTAAATGTATTTTGGTGTAATCGACTTTTGAAATCTTAAAGTAGCCAATATAAGACTTTTTTTATCTAATCTAAACTATCCGCAATAATCTATATTAAGGTGCCAAATGTTAAATTCTATTATTTAGAATAAATAGATCACTTTTAAGTATGGGGCTCTTTATCGACACTGGTTGTAAGATACCACGGGCTTGATAAATATTGATTTCATAAGATAGTATAACTTGGCCAGCTGTTAAATCGTGCATATTATTAATGCAACCTTAGGGTATGTAATGAGGGTAACCATAATTTAGTTAAGATGAGAGGGAAGTCTATAGAGAGGGAAGTCTATAAAGTGGGTCTTTTCCCCATAAATTTAATTGGAGGCCTTTTGGTTCACTTATTGTAGGCCTTTGGCAGAGTTAGCGCGCTATCTTTTGTGCGCTAGCTATAGCTAATAGCCGCTACTTTTTTTAAAATTATTTAATTTTTTAGCGCGCTACTTTTTTTAAAAGTAGCAAAGTAGCGCGCTACTTCGCTACTTTTAAAAAATATAATGAATGTAAGTATAAACATGAAAATTTAAATATAATATCATAATTAATTATAATTTTTATAATTTATTATTTAATTTTGAAATTTAAATATATTTTCAATTTTTAATTTATATTTTCAATCTGTGTTAATAATCTAAAATGGCATCGCCCATGGATATCCAAATCCTTGAAAGTGATTCGGACATGGAAGATTCAATGGAAGAAAATGTACTTAATAGCTCTAATAACGATTTCTCATTCCCTAGATTTGAAAAATTTTTTAAAATAAATATTAAAACAAAATCTGGATTCAAATTCCTGTTAAAATGTAAAAAAAATATATCATCAAATTAATCGAGTAGCTATAACCTGAAGAAACACCTAAAGGTAAATTATTATTTTTACATTATGATATTATTTATTTTATTAGACTGTTCACGCCAATTGCTATAAGGAAATAGAGAAACATATAAAAAATTTTGGCATAGGAGAATCTTCATTCAAAAAGACAAATACTATCCAAACCAAATTAACTGATAATAAACATGCCAATATTTCACAAAAATTGGCTGATAAAGTAATTGTTGATTTTATTATTGACACAGTTCAGCCATTGTCCTTGGTTGATAATCCATCATTTACTATGGTGATTAAAACTTTATCCCCTGGCACAACAGTTTTATGTCGCCAGACACTTATGAATAAAATAGCCGACAACTTCAAAGTGATGAAAGATGCTCTAATAGTAGAGTTATCAGATATATCTTATGTATGTACCACGGCAGATAGTTGGATACATAACAGAAGGTAAAAACTTATTTATATTTATAAATTGATCTGATTAAATATTTTTATAGCTTATTTGGGAATCACAGGCCATTGGTTAGACCCTAGGACTTTAAAAAGAAGATCTGTAGCCTTAGCCCTAAGGATTATAGGATGCCAGACATATGACGTACTTGCAAATAAAATTATTGACATCCACAAGTCTTTTAGGATTCATAATAAAGTTTGCAAGATGGTTACTGATAATGGGTCTAACTACCTGAAGGCATTTAGGTTATATCACAAATTTATTTATAATATTTATTTTAAGTTATGATTTTTTGGGCAGTAAATTAATCAGAATGGAATAGTTATTATTTAATCTATAAAATATTTAGTATTTTAATATTTCACATTATTTATAGAATTTTTATTAACTAAATACACATATTTTAGTAATATTATGATTATCATAATTTATATTAAATTATAAATAAAATTAGTCAAATTAACTAATAAAATATAAAACAGAGGTGGATTATTTCATTAATTTTTATTGTACAGTGTCATTGAGCTAATCTAACATTTAATAAGATATGGTTATTGAATATTTCATGGATGATTAGATTTTTACTATATTTATTTCTTATTGATTAATTGCCATCAATTTATATACAGTACAGGGAATTCATTCAATGTATTCATTTGATAAAATATTTTTGCTTAGTTATAATTCCTGAGGTTCAAAATTTAGAATACTAAGAAATGATTTTTCCACACCATTTTTGATAAATATTACTAGACATTTCTATTAAAACTGGATGAATAATTTAATTTGTCATATTTAATATGAATATAGAATATTTGGTGAGGATAATGCTGAAGATGAGATACAGAATGATAGTCAACATGTATTGGAAGAGGAGGAAATAGGTGTTGATGCCAATGATATTAATGAGATCTTAGAAGAAGGTTTAAATTATTTTATAATACATGTTAATCTAATCAATATTCTATAGGATCTTCAACTAACTCCACAATGTTACCCAGCCATCAGAGATGCTCCTGTCATAATTTAAATTTGATAGTAACAGTAGATGCTGAAGGAGCTTTAAATGATGAAGATTTTAAAAGGGTGTCAAGATCGACATTTTATAAATGTCAAACTTTATGGAATAAACAGAACAAATCTCCTAAAAGTTCTGACATGTTTAAAAAAAATTAGGGAGGTATTTATTAACCCCTAATCGTACAAGATGGAATTCTGTATACCAAGCAATAAAACTAATCGCTTTTTTTCTGGAGGAAAGAAGATTAGAGATTAATTATCTGTGATCTTGTTGAAATTGAATATATTAACGATGAAGAACATACTTTTATAAAAGAGTATACAGAAGTAATTCTAATTAATAATGATTCATTTCCATATCAAATATTTATTTATATTGCTTATTTTTTTATAATCTAAACTAACTATATTTTTATATTTATAAATGTTGATTTTTATATATTATTTATTATACATTTACATTATAAGCAAAAAATTTTTTTATAAAAAGTAGCTTAAAGTAGCTAAAGCTACTTTTGAAAAAAAAGTAGGCGCTACTTTTTTTGACAAATAGCATAGGGCGCTACTTTTTTTGACAAATAGCTATAGCGGTAGCGCGCTACTTTTTTTGACAAATAGCTATAGCGGTAGCGCGCTACTTTTAAAAATAGCGTTTAACAACTCTGGCCTTTGGTCATATTTAATTTTTTTTCAAATTTTAACTCTGATCGCTATTTCCAAGTTATTAACTTTTACTAATTTTGTTATTCTTATATAGTGACGATTACATTGGAAGGGGCAGGGGGGTATTAGCTTATAAAGGTATTCACGATAACAGGGGATTTCAGACAGAAAGTTATCAATTTAATAGTAGTTTTTAACATGAGAATAATTACTATATGGAGTACCAAAATGACGGGTCCAGCTGATTATTAATATGAATGCATCGTCAGTCTAGGTATTATTATATGTCTTCGATACCAATACAAAACTTCTATAAGAAACAAATGAAAAATGTCTATATATCTGGGATGTGAACCCTTCCACAAAAAACTTAGGGTCCGGGTTCAGAGATAAAATTTTAAAAAAGGGTTCAGGGTTAGGAGATCATAAAGAAATATCGTCTCCACATATATATATAATAACAACTTTTTTTTATAAATTTATTTATTTTTTATTACTGCAAAAAATTTTAAATATTTTTTATTACTGCAAAAAATTTTAAATATTTTTTATTACTGCAAAAAATTTTAAATATTTTTTATTACTGCAAAAAATTTTAAATATTTTTTCTTATTCAATTGAACAATCATAACATCTTCCTAAATATCCTCTGAGATTTCCGCCCAAGTCTGAAAATATATATTTCAACTGAAAATTTCGAAAAATAATTCTACGAAAAAATAAAATCACTTTATTTCGTAAAGTTTTTTAAATATATATATTATACTGAAAATAAAGATATCGTGACTTAATTTAATAGTATCTGTCGCAAAGAAGGGGACGGGATTTTCTCGCAAATTTTATTGGAGGACTTTAGATCGACTTGTTGCACACCTTTGGTGGGTTTCATTATTTTTTTTTAAAAAAGGTCATTAATTTATAAATTTTTTTTAACTTCTTAAATCATTGATTGCTATGCTATCTATTTTTTTTATATATCTCTTAAAAGCCTCTAAAAATAACGGTGAGTAAAACTCAAAGAAAAAGGCTAAGTGAACGACAAAGTGTCATTCCAAAGGCATTATCATTTGCGAATCAATTAAATGAATATCTATAAAGACGTAATTTTTATTTTATAATAAAATATATATATTTTTTATTTTGTGCGCATTTCAAATAATATAATATTAGAATGGAAATTTGATGAAAATTATTTAAATGTTATAAATATAAAGGCAACCTATTTTTCCTTTTTTTAAAAAAAATGTATTTGTAATTTTATGGAAATAAAATAAATTGTTATTCATTCCATATATGACGCACGAAAAAAAAAAAATTATGGCACCGTGGGCTATTCGAATTAATCAGTCTTAAAGTCTATATTTTTCTATTTTTCTGTGACGATATAGAGGTTTTGTAGACGAGTAATACGCCCAAAGTAAATGGTAAATAAATTAGTGAGTATCTGAATAGTTTCCTAAAAAAAAATATATATATTTTACATTAATACTATGTAATATACCTCAACTGAACGATGCATTCATTAAAGGTGCACGTCAATGAAAAACAGCTAGGGACGCCATTTTGGTTACTCATATCATTATTTAAAAAATTTTTAACGAGAGGCCAACTTATTCCTACGTCTGACGCAAATTTTATTAAAGAATTGCCCGATCATCGAGGATAATAAGGAAGAGAGTTATCAATTCACTGGTAGTTTTTAACATGAGAATAATTACTCTACGGGTTACCAAAATGGCGGGTCCAGCTGATTCGCATCCAATGACGCTTTCAAATGCATTATCATGAATGCATCGTCAATCTGGGTATTATTATTTGTCATTGGTAAAGGTGAGATAATTCATTCTTTCATCCTAAATTTTTTTTTATTTACCTGGAGGTTTTGCTGTCGGCAGCAAAATAAAATTTTCGCGATAAATGTATGTTGTAAAGACTTAGAGGTATTAAAAAAGATCCGGCGATCACAAAATATGTCCAAGGGTTAAAAAACGCGCGATTTTTCCGCTCGTCCTTCACAAGTTTTAAATTATTGTCGTCGGCGTAGACTCGGGCGGATATAACGTTAGCACCGCTTTTACTGATCGAGTTAAATGTATAGGCGAAAAAATCTTTAACGCTTCTCAGATTCCTATCAATCGTCGAATCCGGAGTAAACCGGAACGAAATGAGGGTTAGCAAGGCAGTGACGATGACGAACGCGTAGAGAGAATGCAAAAAAGCAGTTTTGAGGCACAAGGCAGGGTTAGCGGCAGACATCATGCGATAGCCGGCACGACAATATTCGTGTTTGAGGTTCCAACTCAGGGCGTTAAAGTGAGGGAATTGCCAGGTGTAGAGCAATGAGGCTAACAATAGGGCTACTGTTTATTTAATCATCGTAAAAAAAATAATATTTAAAAAAATGGAATAATTGGTCTTTTAAACATTGAGTAATATTGTGAAGCAGCCTATTACAATCATGGCAAAAATGGAGAATATTTTGTTTTGTTGAGAAGAAAGATATCAAGACCAATATTTAAAAAAAAACGATTCGATATTAAATTTGTCTCCTTTCTTGTAATTTTAAGAAAAATTTCGAGTTTTTTTTTGTTGAAATCGCAAATAAAAATCAATAGCGGATCCGATTATTTTGTATGATTATCGGAATAGCCTTAATTTTGGCCACAGTTTTATCTCAATAATTTATGGACTACAATAACGTAAATAAATATACGAACTGGAAACGTCCTGAACACACGCGCCAATTTGTTCCGACGTCATGTTCGTTAACGCGGAGAGTTCCGGTATTCGATACCTAGCAAAATATCCTATGAGGGGCGGAACCGCTCCTACTACAGCTCCGATCCATGTGTTAAGGATAGTTGTTCTCTTGGAACGAGTGTAGAAAGCGGTGTAAAGGGCCAAATTAAAAGCAGCGAGAAGACCAGAGATAGGGTTCACCCATAAGAAGAACGTGGCCAGACCTAGAAGAGCGGCAACAAGGGCGAAGCATATTGCATGTGGAGGGCTTCGCGAAATGTTAAGGTCAAATATATTTTATTTAGTTTCTATTTTGTAATGTTTGTGTAAGTTAAAACCAGCCAAGGATATAGGTTGTAAGTCATCCGATTAAGAGTCATTGCCATCTTACTCAATCATTCAAAATTTAGACTGAAAATTTATAATTTAAGGAAAAAAGAATAATAAAAACCTTATAATTCCACTGACCAGGACCCTATTTTTTGTTCTGTTCATCTGCGAATCGTAAGGAATTTCGAGGAATTGGTTAATAGTATTGGCCGACGCTGACGTTAAAAATGTTCCCAGCATCGCGGCCACAAATATTTTAGAATCGAAAGCCCCTGGGGCCATCAAATACCCGCACATTTCCGTCATGACTACCATACCTAATGGTTTTAAATCATAATATTTGCTGTAAAATATGTCAATTATAAAATACGCATTGTATATAATATTGGTCACCGTTCCAAATAGCTAAAAATTGGAAATCTCGTTTATATTTCCTAGAAAATTTTTAAGGTAAATTTGAAATTAATATTAATACCCTAACCCTAACTATTGAGTTTTTTTTTTAAAAATCGCTAAAATGCAAGCCACTCTAGCCATGTTGAACGAGAATATGGAAAAACGAGCTATTTCCAAAGAACCTAAAGTGAAGGTCCGACAGGATCCAATACTGGAACTCCCGATTATTATGACAAAGAAACCCGTAGAGCTCCGGCAACAAGTAATTGATCTAACCTTGGACTCGATGGGATTTCTTTTCTCACACGATAAAATCGCTGAACATTATGACGGAGATTAACAAACCCCGACTCATTAAGATCGCTAAATATTTCATTAACTCAGAAGCCACCAGCATATTTGCTAAAAGGGAGAGATGTTTACGAGTTTCCGTCACTAAAGATAGTTGTCGAAGAGATAAAGGAGAACATGTCATATAAATTCCTAAGAGATATTGCATCAAAGGCCCGAATCTACGCTAAAACAGTAGCGTGGGGATGGGAGCAAACTAAATGGGAACCCCAATCCTTGGTCTACAAGTTGGTCGTGGACCCCCACTGATCAAAACAAAGGTACTCTCTCGGGGCCCAACCTAGTCCAAGGATATGGACAAGGCCGTACCATTCAACCCCAGCGATTTTTTAAGAAAAACACAATTTAATAAAAGTGTCTTCCCTACCACCTATTAATTATTAATTTCAAATTTACTGTAAAAATTTTATAGGAGATACAAACGAGATTCCGAATTTTTAGCGATTCAGAACCTATCCCATATAAAACAATTTTATTTTTAAAAAAAATCAATATTTCATTGCCAAAGTAAATATAATTTTATATTGGGATCATGTTTAAAATCAAGAATTTATGTGATGCAAGATCATATTGGAAGGGAAAATTTGATTTTCTTTTTTCCGTTTTTGATGAATAAGATATAGATTCCCATTTTTGCTAATGATTTTGGTAACAATGGGATATCATCCCTGTTTATTTCTAAATACATCTTGCCAGAAATTACATTTTAGATAATTCCCAAAAAGTAGAGCAAAAAAATCAAAATATTATTTAAGTTATCCACCCAGGCCTTATTATTTTGTATACAAAGCTCACAGGATAGCCAAATGTGCTCATAGTAGAGCACTACAAAGTATAAATTCAATAAACCCACAGTAGGTCATTAGTGTTATGCCTTTGGCTTAATTCTGAGATATTGAAGATTTCTACTTACTTAAGGATGTTTAAAAGCTAAGTTTTGATTCTTAGGGGGGGGGGGGTTAATAAAAAATGAAATGATACATCAAAATAAATTAAATTGACATTTTTATTTATTGAATAAGCTAATTAATGTTTTTAAAATAAGTTTACACTGCATTTATAGTAAGCATGATTCACTTGAGCTATGCTAAAATAATCAATAACAAAATCACAGCTGATTTGCCAAAACTATAACATTAGAATATATGTAAACAGTAGTTGTGATCATTCCACTCCATATTTATTAAATATACCCATTATTGACTTTTGTAAATCAAACAATGATTAATTTAACATCACTTGAGAAAATCACACTTACTATAAATGAGACTTTAGGGATGCTAAAAAATTAGAGGGGGCTAATGTTTTATTTTAGGGACATCAACCCTTTATCTAAAGATCAGTGCAGCCCAGTCCACCAGGTTGCTGGGAGGAAGAGTTTTATGGCCAAGACAAATAAATTGTTCAAAATATTTTTTTGGGCTAAAGTTTTGAATGATCTAAAAGCTGATAATTAGGCAAATTTATGTAATTTTCCTTCATTAAAAAAATATTTGCAGGCCAAGCTGGGGAAAAATTTTTTGGGGTTAGGCTGGAAAAATGTTCAAAATATTTTTTACAGGTTAGGCCACAGTTTATAAGATAATGATTGGACAAATGGTTTTCTTTCATAAAAAATTATTACAGCAGAGGCCATATAATCTTTACAAAATAGCTCAGCTAAGTAAAAAATAATTACAGGTTATGCCAGGCCAAATACCTATATTAAAATTTTTATAGGCCAGGCCACCTCTACCTTTCATGAGAATTAATTTGAATGTATCTTAATTTAGTGCAAACTTTTTTAAACTGTAATTCATTTCATAATATTTAAATATATATTTACTTGTTAATCTAGATTTAGATAATTTAAGATAAATTTGAGGTATTTGTTTGATTGTATAAGAATTCTGCTTTTTATAATTATCAGAAATTTTAAGCACATTATTATCAATATCTGATTGTTGTATAACTATGTTGGATAATTTTAAGGATTCATATATGTTATTTAGTTTAGGATCCATTATAAGATTGTAGTTGTTTGTATTTAATATTCTATCTTTATTTTCAATATAGTAATCTTTCCCAATAAATATATCATTGATTAATAATGACTTAAAATTCTTATCAGAAAATGCAATACAGGGATTTTCTACATTTAAGGGGAACATATCTATTGGCACAGCTTTAGTATCTTTAATTTCTTCCTTAAATTTATGATTACTATTTGACCAGATGTTATCCATTATGATAGGAATATTTGGCAAAGAAGTCTTTTGAGATACCTTTGTGGACAGCATCTTACTTTTAAGCTTTAATTATTTTATATTTAGTTCTTATATAAATATGCAAATAATTACTTTACAATATGTGTAACATTTAATATTGCTTTGTAAAGCTTGTTTACATGCAAATTTAAACAATAACATAATGAATTTATAATATTTCCCTCATTTCATATCAAGCGCTTCATCGTGCTTTTTTTAAATACATGCTTGATGTATTGAAAATTTTGTTTATACTATATGTATAATGGTCGATTCATCGAAATTTGTGTATCAACACCAATTATCTTGTGATATGACATTTAAGTTTCATCTATAAATTATTTAGATTTTAATTTATATAGAACTTTCAAAAAAAATTTAGTTTCAATTCATGAATAAAATATTTTCATGAGAAAAAAAATGGAATACATACATAAGTAGATTTGTATAAACCATAACTCCAATTCAAATGTATAAATGTTAATCCAGCTAAGTATCTTATTCCATTAAAAAGGTGGCCAAATGTGGTATATTACTTGATAGTTAGACTATATATTTTTAAATATGTTATCAAAATATATTATATATAAGATCAAATTTTTATTATTGTAATTATTAAATACTGGATAAAGTATCTACGCAGTTAAGGATTTTATAGAGTCGTTTCATAATTTGAATCATTAGCAATTATTTGCTTCTCGCTGAATGGCAAATCTAAATTCTTCGGCCAATTTTATTTTTGAAAAATAAATATATAGGAAAGAATTTCTAAAATAAAAAAAAACTATTTAATCTTACTAGTTGTGGATGAGTTTAATTTTGAAATAAAGCGACATCTGTTAATATTCTCTTACATGTAAATATTATAATCTGTTCCTAATAATTAAAATTTTTCAAATATCAGTCATTCAATAAAAAAAATGGTTCTCTGAAAAAAGGACACCGAAAAACTGGATTATAAAATACCTTAAAATATTATTTTTTTCGAAATAGATTGATTACTCTAAATCACAACTTACCTAATTGAAAAAAATTTAATTTCTGTTTATACATTTAAAAATCTTGTTTAAATTGAACTATTAATTACCTATAGTTCAAAAAGATATTTATATCTAGTAAAGGTCAAAGCTCCGGTCCTATAGGTCTTAGACCAGGATCGGACCGATCATTAAATTTTTGCGGTCTGGATTGGTTTTTTATTAAAATTTAAGTTTACTTTAATTCCCATATTTATAAATTTTGAGTTAATTTTTATTTTTGTAAATTTTGAGTTAATTTTTACTTACAAAAAAAACCATAAGTTTGCCAAAGAAGACATTTTTCTTATGATTCCAATCAATAAACAAGAATTAATATGGATATAAAAAGGAAATTATTTTTAAAATTACAAGAAAAAAGACCTGTCTTTTTATTTAGGTTAACGGCCTAGAACAATCATTTTTAAAAATCGTGGTTAAGTCCGGAATGTCTTGATTGCAATCATAATTATTAATCTAAGTGGTCGGGTCTACATCCTGGGCCGTTAGGAATATATTTCTATAAACACAATATATATATATATAGGTATCAAATAAGGAGTAATTTAAATATTCTGAATGTCATCATAATTGTTGTGGGCGGATTTAGGCCTTTGTGGGCAGGAGTATTTTTATCAACACAATATATCAATATGGGTATTAAGCTAAAGATAATTAAAATATCTTTTCACTATAAGATTAATACGTTAATTGGAAATTTAGATCTAGTGGATTTGGAATTCAAGAGAATTTTCAATGATACAAAATTTATAAAATTCAAATTTTTTTTCTCGCTAAATGTTCTAAAATCATGCTTACCTTTAGTTTAAAAATGGAAATAATTAAAAATCATATTAATTTATTGTTAAAAAAAATTGATTGGGCATAGCTTCGCAGCTGGCGAGCATATAAATTAAATAATATAAATTAGGAAATATATTGCAGGAACGTCAATCAATTTGAATATTACTTTTGTGTATATTTTCATATAAAGGATTTATTATTTGTTTTTATATTTTTTTTAGGTTTGAATTGATTAGAAATAAAAAGGATTATTGTAGTACAAATATTGCGTTTTAATAAATAGCTACAAAAATAAAATAAAATAGCATATATTTTGCCGAAATGAATCCCCCACAGCTAGGTAATGAGGGTTCAGAAACTTCTAAATTCTAAGATAGGCAAAATATTATACCTTGGGAGATATATATTTTTAAAAAAATTTGGGATATTATTTGTTCGTCCAGGATTTCTTACTATATGATTGTGCTCCAGTGGTCTTGGGCACTAAATCGCATAGTAATATTTATGACTAAGAATATTATAACTGGAAAAATGGGTTTTTGTATAAAGTTCAAAAAATGGAATTCAGGAGTAGATATAATTAGATGTATTTTTTAAAAATTTTTCTAAGGTGCTACTGGTTCAATTTAATTTTGACACTTAATTTCTGCTTATAAGTTTGTTTTAAATACTTATTTTCTTGTTGTTTTATTATCGTGTTTTTTTGAAAAAAAATTCATTTACTTATTAGTCAGTATAGTCAAAGCTAAACTGCGGGCTGTTTGGTAATAAGTCTAATATTGTTATAGCTGTATTTGAGAAGATTTTTAAAAACAGCTAACTCAATATTTTAGCCAGAAAAATATCGATAAAACCTCGAGATTTCGCTAATAGGTATCCAAACCTTTGTGCCATCTATGAACAAAATCTTCAGATCTGGCCCAGCCGGAACCCAATTTATTAAAAAAAAAATAAATATTTGAAGATATCTAATATTAATTATAAAACAAATTTCAAGGACTTTGCGTCATAGCTTTCCTCCTATGGTAGAAGTGGCTTATTTAAGGCAAATGCCTTCCAATATCAATGAAACTTATCATTATTTATTTGGACATTAGTTAAAAATAAAGGTGTCAGCTGGCAAGAGCATTGTGCAGTAACCAATACTAAAGTATACATGCTTTTCCTTTTATTTATATATTATATAAAATAAACAAAATTATATAATGTATTAGAGACCTGCAATAGGTGATCTTACCCCCTCCCCCAAGATTTGAATTGGGTTTAGTCTAGGCCTATTTTTAAAAAAATTTCTTTGAACTATCTAAAATTTTGAAGTAGGCTTAATGAAATTTAGCCCTGATGTTTCTCTATTATATATAGCTATACAATTATAGAATAACAAAAAATAATCAATCTGTTAAAAAAACAGAACAATCAGATGCAATCATTTAATATCAGACAGACAAAAAATAAGTAATTTTTTATTAGTTTTTAGGAAAAGGGTCATTTTATATTTAATTTATTCGTGATAATTTTTAATGTTAAATATTTTGCACAATATTACATCATTTTATAGAAATATTAATATAAAATATGCTCAACAATTGGTCATGACATCATGCCTGGTTTGATGTGATAGCAAACTATTCAGTTGATTGAGCAGTTAAAGGCCATAATGAATAATTAGGGTCACTTATATATAACTTTTGATAACCACAACCTAAACACACAATAGAGCACCTGGAATATGGTTGACAATTTGCTTTATCTACATATTTTAAGATATAATTAGTACAATGTTAATGCATACTTTTCCTTTTTTGTCTGATTCTGCAAGATATTCCAGGTATAAGAATAAGGTGACAATATTTACACAGTTTTCTTTTGATATTAATAGATCTAATTTAAAATTATAAATTTGGCATCTTATTCTATGCTACAATCTTATCACAGATTTTTTGGCAATCTCTTTTATCATGTGCCCATAATATCTTGCCTGATTGATATTACTTTTATCTTGTTCCAAAAGTTGATGAGCTGCCTAATCCCAAGTTATTTTGTTAAATTTATTAGTATACCTGGTACAAAAAATTGATTCTTTCAAAAGCGTCATCGTTAATTTTCATTGTTCAATAAGTGACGTGTGTCAAATATCGACAAATATATTTTTAACACATGATTAACATATATGGAATATAAAAATTTCTATATGTATATTTAAAATTAAATTTCTAAATAAAATTTTTAATTTGGAAATATTTAAATTAAGCAAGAATTATTTCCGAAGTAACAATGGTTACATCCTAAATTAACCAAAGGATAAGATCTTAGACATAAACAGAGGAGGTTAGAGGTGGGAGGTGAAAAAAAGATTTAACTAATCATATGCTACTTTAGAACCATTGATATGAAAATCAGGCTTTCCATTTTTTAGATGTTCAAGAATTAAAATATAATAAGGTATAACCAAATCATAAGTAGGCTCCTCCCCACATACTATATTTGTATTTCATAAAGCCAATTGGATAGCTTTAATTTTTATAAGCCTCCTATTTCTTTATGTTAACAAAGATTAGGTTATTCCCTAATTATAAATATTAGTTTACTTCTGATATTTGTTTATCTTGAAGAAGTATAATATGAGTTATTACTTTAGTGACTAATTTTGTCATAACCAGTTTAACAATATGCCTCTTTCAATTATTTGGTAGGTGCTATTCCACCTTATTTCACAATTTAATTTTGATCTTAAAAAAAAATAGAGGAGGGTGTAATGAACTATATATATATTTTTAAATAAATTTAAATTTACGAATCATTCTAATAATGGTTCTCAGATTTAAAATTAAAAGGTCTAAAAATTTTTAAATTTATTTGGAAATCAAATTAATTAAATGGACAACGCATCGGATATGCCCATATCCAAAATAATATTATTAACTCAAATATTATCATCAATATATGGGGCTGTTCAAAATAATAACCTGTGTTGGGTTTGTCCAAATGTCAGATGAAAAATTATCTGACTTTTAGTTTTAGATATTTTTGCTTTTCCAACTGTTCTTTTCCTGTAAATGTATTATACAATTCAAGATTAGAGCATATTGATTTTACAGAAAAATCAAGACTACTTATAAAATCTTTTGTATTAACCAGTTTTAAAATATATCTTATTATTTATAAATAACTAGCAAATTATCTTTAAAAATTTTTTTAGATAAGGAAATTGGTGATGTAGGCTTTAGAAAAATGTCAATTTTATTACACTTTTTACTGAGGTGTGAATAGAATAATAATTAATAAGAAGGGATGTTATTTTGCCTTTATATTTTATAATGCTTTTGCAATGATTGCAAGTAGCCTTTTGTCTTTATTTATTATTTCATCAGAAGCATTTTCCTCTATCATAATTAGGCTAGCTAACAATAATTTATTGTAGAAATGTATTATGATTTTATATACATTTGCTTTATGTAATTTTTTAATAATTTATTATAGTGATTCAAAAAATAAATTCTCCTGAGATTCAAAAAAATACAGCAAATAAAAATTTAAATATTGCTTAAATTTTCATTTCAGAGATTTTTAAATTTGTACTGGTCTTTTTATGATCACATCACCTGTCAGGTTGGCAGGTTATCAAATAAAAATCACAAATATTAGATTTATTAAAATAAATTTATTAAATAGTCGAATTATTCGTTTTATTCGAATAAATGTTCATTAGTATTCGGATAAAGCAAATAATTTATTATTCATATTAGTAATTAATTCGAATTTATTTTTTGAATAGATCTATTAGACACCATCATCAATACACATACTATTATTTAAATAACATATTTTTACCTATTTTCTAAATTCCATCTCAATAAAATTTGTCAAATAGTCAATTATATATATAAATAAAATTTTTGAATGATCACCTGGCTAAATAAATGATAAAACATTTTATTAACCTTAAAATTAAAAAGAAACTATACATATTAGAAGCGTAAAAATATTTATGAACGGCTATCAAATCATTATCTAATCACGGATTTTTTCTTACCAAAATATACTTTAAATATCCATTTTAAAATGAGGATCATGACAAATGTCCCACTTTTGGGAATTGCAATATCACTGTAACTATACCAAAAAATATATTTAAAATATCCTAAATTTTAGTTAATAGGTTTTCATTTTAAGACATATAATTTCGTTGTGATATCGTATAGGTTCCTCGGTGGAATAATAAATAAATTAGTAAAAGAATTGATATTGTAATTTTATTCGCGAAGTCAAAATAAAAGAATAATTATGTTATATCATTGGGAAACGACGTTATTCAAAACAATCGTCAAATGTAAATTGATCATTTTTTATATCATATCTTGTGGGGGTGATATCATCAGCCTCTTGGACATGGTTGGAATAGGTAAGATCAAAGGTTAGAGAGATATTATTTGACCATACTGTAAAATACCTTAGTAAACTGAAAATTCTGCAGTTGATATATTCTAAAATAAATGATTTATTTCAAAAATGGGCGAAAATATAGAAAATATAGAAAATTACTCTAAAAGTAATGATATAAATTTAAAAAAATAAATAAAACTAAAAGAAAAAAAAAACACAAATTATAGAATAAATTACTCCAGAAAAATAGAAGATGCTTAAATTGACGATTGACGAAAATAAATTTTTTTTACCATAATATGAAATAGAAATGTTATGAGTATATTTTTGAATTTATTATAATTTTCAAACGATGACAAATACGTTTCTTTATTTATTATTAAAAAATGGATTTTAAATGTAAATCCATGATTTATTTAATTTAAAATTGTGATCCGAGTAGCGAAAAAAAAATTAACATTTTATCCATTTTAATCCAATAACTTTTTTTTCCTATTTACCTAGAGATATCAGTTCAAGATTGTGAAGGATATTTTTTTTATCATGTAAAGGAATATATAAATCCTTGCTTAGCCACGAAGCCCATTAATTAAAAACAATACATGCACAAAATTGTTTACAGTTATATTAATAATATTTTTAAACGCTACTTAGCTACTATCAAAAAAAGGAGCTCTCTAAAAAAAATAAATCGCTATTATTTATAGCCACTGGCGCGCTACTTGTAGGGAGCTACTTTAACAACTCTTAATTGTCCAATTATAATAATGCTCAAATTTATTATATGCTCTGTAAAACGTTTGTTATTAATTGATAAAAATTGATTAGCTAAAAGTATTCTTCAAAGTATTTATCATGTGCCAAATGTTTTCGACGAAGTATTTGCATTTTTAAATATTTTTATAGAAATTTTTTTTTGTAGGTGTATATTTAGTATATTTATACTAAAAAATTAGCCCAACCCTGTATATAATAAAAAATATAAAAATTTATATAGATTGTTTCTTTTAAAATGACCCCGAAAGAAATAATATTTAAAAGAGGAGTAGAAAATAATATCAAAAAACAAGAAGTAGAACCAGAAACACAAAAAAAAACAAAAAAAATTGGAAACTAAAAAATTTTTTTTTAGAGGTCTGCAATGGATGGGTTTTTAGTCCTAAAAACCGCCCGTTCAATACTTTAAAAAATTTAACCCGCCCGCCCAAACCGTCCCTAAAATTCCGCCCGTATATTTTATAAAAAAAATTTAACCCACGAGTCCCATATAAAATTTAAATAAGCTCATTCTTCCAATTTTTTTAAGCATCCATTAAAAAAAAATGATATAGTTTCAGCGTTACATACCTTCAAAAAAGTTTTATAATTTAGGACATTGCTATACTAAGCATAAAAAAAAATAATATTCAACGTAAATTAAGGATAAGGAATATTTGATCTAATAAAATATTTATGTATATAAAATTAATGTATATTGATAAACTAAAAACCTTCCAGCAATGCTAATTCCTCGTTCAGAAGAAGCACTGATTGCTGGAATTGCCAATATTTTTTCTAGCCAATCTTGATAGTTTTTGTTTGATCAATCTTTTTACTTTTCATTTCCATCAAAGTAAGATATTCGTTTGATGTATATCCTTCTATTCAAGTGAGATATTTAAATTAAAAGTGAAAGCATTTAATAAATTTTTTAAAAAGTAAAATTAAATTAATTGTTTATAAATTGTAAACTAAACTAAGTAAGCCTAAAATATGACTAAATTATATAAAAGCTCGTTACTTTAAGATTCAAATACTTTGTTATGTCATTAGGTAATGCTCTCCTCTGTCAGCCACAACATTGCATTTTACAATTTAAATTTAATTCTCTTTGCTTTTTGGGCAAACGGGTAAAATCAGATTCTCATATCACGTTGATGTTATATTCTTCCATGCAAATCATGTCCAACATATTTTCAATATATTTTTTTTATCTGAGTAATTTTCTTCTATGACAACATCTTCAGTTATCGGCACATTCGGCAATTAAAAATATTGAAATTTCAAGGAGCATATTATTTTGTTGTAATTTTTTTTATCTTAACCCGCCCGCCCGTTTGCCCATGGAGAAGCTTAAACCCCACCCAATGCGGACCTCTAGTTTGGATATACACACATCAAGAAATAATATATTTTTATAAATTTTTTTAGTACCAAAATTTTGTTATAAAATAAATTAATATTGTAAAAGGTGAAACAAAGAATTTTAACGATAAAAATTTGTATTTGTGTTTTTGTTAGAAATTTTTAAGTTGGTCTCTCACAATTACTTACCTATATTGAACGTTTTATTTCTAAAATGCGCTTCGAAGGGTCGTTAAATTCAAATCAGCTGGTGACATGCCATTTTGGTTTCCCATATAAAAATGAAACTCTGAAATTTTAAAACTTTCGTAAAAATTTATAAATGGCAACTGTTTATATAGGTAAATCAAAATGGCGTGCCATCAGCTGAGATGCTAATTCTTAATTGATACCTATCAAAATTAATGAACCATCAGTCCAGGTATTATTGTATGTGATTGGTAAGGATAGATCTATTTCAAAATGATTTTTGGACACTTCCATCAAATATAAAAACTGACGAAAAGATAGATATTTTTTTTATAAAAATCCGTTTTAGCTGGCTGTGGTCTAAATATCAAAAATTAAATTCGGAAATTTTAGTAAATTTAACGAAAAAAAGGAAATATAAGCTATTTTTAATATAGAAATAA